CCACATCTTTCTGTGTCCAATTGCTGATTCGGCCATCTATATGGAGCCTAGTCGGGTTACCTGAGATTTGCATCTGCAAACTGCCTGATTATACACTTCACCTAATTAGTGCAAGTGCAATAGAGAGAGTACGAAAAGGAACGAGGCGAGGTTCCACGTGACGTATTCCCAAAAGGGAAACACACAGCATTGTTCTGGGGCCCTTTTCAACTTGCAATTCAATTCTTTCTCTTCTTTTCTTTTTCGTTGGCCTTTTTTGGAATTCCATTCAGCTTCAGTGCTTTGTGTGATTCCCCCCAATGCGCGAGCTCTCACACTTCTCACCTCGACGTCTTGAAAATGTTCTCAGCTTCCAGGCTCTTCCGCCGACGGGGCGCGGATCGTGACCCCGCTGCCGAGTCCCACGTCTCATACGAAGTGCCACTGTACACAAATGCAGCCTACTATCCGAATTGGAGAATCTATCGAAAGGAACCTCCTTCATCTTTGCGCTTGGGATTTATCTCACATGTGTTCTACGCATTTGCCTGGTAAACACAGCCAATCACCGCCATTCAAGAGTCCGGGTTCGAGCAGATGGCTGACGCGCTAATCTCAAATTGGTTTCTTGCAGGGTGAAAGATGACGGAACTGTCTATGTAAGTTTTAAGTTTTAATCACGCACCTCCTCTAATGTGGGAATATTTACTGACGCTGCGTCATAGCTGAGCGATGAGTGGGCTGATACCCAGATGCCCGTTGACGGCGCAGAAGGTTGCCTTAGAGCTTTCGTCCAATTGAAGCAACAGTACTCTAAGATGAGGGTCATCCTCTCTGTTGGTGGTGGCGGAAAAGGCAGTGAGAACTTCGCCGCTGTAGCCAGCAGCCATTCTCGGGTGGACACTTTCGTTCGCACCGCGCGGGAACTGGTGGATCAATTTGGAATTGATGGAATTGACAGTAAGGCCGCGTATCTTTTTGATGCTGAGACAAGTCGGATGTACATGACTAACTCCATCTGCTATGCAGTCGACTGGGAGCACCCCTCTGATTCCAAGCAAGGAAAGGATTATGTTCGTCTCCTCGCACGTCTGCGGGAAGTGCTACCCGCTCCGCGTTACGTCCTTACCACCGCCCTCCCTGCCGGCCAGTGGGCATTGCGGAACATTGACCTTGCTGCCGCACAAAAACATCTTGACATGATCAACCTCATGACGTACGATTTCGCGGGACCATGGGAATCCGAGACGGGCCATCAGGCGCAGCTTTATGGCTCAGGCATATCTGGTGATTCGGCGGTTTCTTATGTTATAGGGCAAGGAGTGCCCCCTAGAAAGATCATTTTGGGTGTCCCAGTTTATGGACGATCCTTCCTGGGCAGCAACGGTCCTGGTCAGCGGTATACTGGACACGGTGGCGAAGATGGTGTTTTTGACTATCGCGACCTACCCCGACCGGGGACACAGGAGTATTATGATAGGAACATCGGTGCGTCATTCTGTGTTGGAGCTGATGGCGGTTTCGTCACATACGATACCCCAGAAACAGTAAAACAGAAGGCGGAATTTGTGACCTCGTCGAAACTGGGTGGCCTGTTTTACTGGCATGTCTGCTCCGATGCCCGAGGACCGCGTAGCTTGGTTGAGACGGGATACAACACGATGCACGAGATGTGAGGGCTTTCGGCTCTTTGCAAAAGCAACTAAATCAAAAACCAGAATCTCCCATGGCGCGCTGACATCCTCAAAAATGGTATAGGTAGCTGTCATTATTTTAACAATTGTCTCCCAGGTTCTTGGTTACCCCTAGTCCATGACTATATAGGCTTCTAGTAGGAACGGTAAATATAGAAAATATCATGTTTCAGGGTATAAGGTGAATCGTGATACGGCGCTTTTGCGGGCAGATTTAGTACTTTCACTTTCATTAGACAACCGACAGCCGAGGTTTACGCAGTCCTATACCCCAGGGGGCCAAACCTCCATTTTTAGCAAATACTGATACATTAATGCCTGGTTTGGGCCGTCTCCTTGAGGATAGGGAGAAGACATCTTAGAAAAGACACCTAGAAAGACATCCAAAGAGGCTATCAAGAATACTAACTAAATTTGGTTAGTCGAGGCTATTCTTGCAATAGTAATACAGGTATTTTGATTCTTCTACCGATCCCAATTCAGATTTCTAGGCCTAAATCAAATATCAAGGTATGACATCTATAGGACTGCGTAGCCGAGGTTCATCTTCCCCGCATTTTCAACTGCTTTATCAAACTCACTCTGCACATTCTATCTGTCATTTCCCCGTCGTATTCACTTATAAGAATCTCACTATGTCCTACTCGCAGCCCGCGACAGCAGATAGCGGCTACATCACCGACCCCGGCCCATTGGAGAATACCTACACGTCGGATCCCAGCCTCCAACGGACACTGGCATGTGAGTTTTTCATTCATATGTAATTATAATAATAATTTCTAAACATAATCCAGGGTACCTATCATCCGCTGTATTTCAATCTGTACAACCGCATCTCACTCAGTTCGGTGCCGAGGCTATTTCAGAACAGGTTCGCGAATGGAGCGCCGATGCTGAGCGCAATGTGCCATATGTGAAGAGCCATAATGTCTGGGGTAAGCGATATGATCATGATCGATTGGTAACCACGGAAGGCTGGAAGCAACTGGGCAAATGGGGTGCTCGGAATAGGTGTGATCTATAAATCGTATATGACATGCATGATCTAACTTGATCCGATTAGGATCGTCTCGGCGGGCTATGATAAGGGCTTAGGGGTCGATCGGCGAACAGTTCAGTATGCGCTGTGGGTATTTCCTTGTCGATCTTTCTATGCTATCGCTAATGCCATGATTCCAGTACCTATTTGTACTCTCCTTCTTCTGGACTCTACTCCTGTCCGATTAGCATGACCGATGGTGCTGCTTTTATTCTCTCATCGAAAATTGACACGCTGCCATCCACGCATCCTTTCCATGCTGCGTTCCAGGGGCTGATCTCCGAAAAGGATGATCACTGGACTTCGGGCCAGTGGATGACTGAGAGAGCCGGTGGCAGCGACGTCCAAAACACCGAAACATGGGCTACCTACTCGCCGCTAGCTACTCCTTCCGGCTCCTCCGGCTCCGACCTCCTTGGTGATGGCGACTACCTCATTAGCGGATTCAAGTTCTTCTCTTCGGCAACGGATGCCAACCTTGCTCTTTTGCTCGCGAAGACTCCATCTGGAAAGCTAAGCACGTTCCTCGCGCCATTGCGACGGACCGTGGTAGATACAAACGGTGTCTCTAAAGTTGTATCTAATGGCGTCAAGATCCACCGACTAAAGAACAAACTCGGTACTAAAGAATTGCCGACCGCCGAATTGGAACTAAAGGATATGCGTGCGCATCTTCTTGGGGAGCTAGACCAGGGGATTGTAACGATCGCGCCTCTTCTCAACGTCACCCGGCTTCATACCTTTGTTGGTTCGCTTGCTGGTTGGCGCCGAGCAATGAGCATCACAAAGAGCTTTGCAAAAGCGAGAACCACTGTCGGCGAACCGCTCTGGCTGATCCCAATGCATTTACGACTCTTGGCGGACTTGGAAGTAAAGCATCGGGGTGCAATGAACCTTGCGTGGTTGACGGTCGCTTTGTTTGGAATTGTTGAAGATCAAAAACCGTCGTCTAATAAGCTCGCGCATCTCCCTCAACCTGGCAAGGAAGCAGAGGTGGTTTTCCGTACCTTGACTGCCACTGCTAAGGCCGTTATCAGTAAGATGGCCACTACGGGAATTCAAGAATGTCAGGAATCTATGGGTGGAGTCGGCTATATGGACGAGGCTGACGAGCCCGAGTTCAACATCTCTCGGATTATGCGCAATAACGCAGTCAATTCTATCTGGGAGGGTACCACGAACGTGCTAGCCAGCGAGTTTGTCCGCTTCCTTATCAAGAATGACAACCTGAAGATATTTGGAACATGGCTTAGGCGTACCTTGGCCCTGATTCAGAGCGCAAATCTGCAGAATGCCCTGACAGCTGCGTGGTCAGCTTTGCGTGCTCGTTTTACGGCTCAAGATCCCGCCTCAACTGTTGCTGATGGCCGTCGCTTTATGTTCACTCTGGCTTGGATTCTATCTGGTGCTCTTCTGGCGCTTGATGCTGAACGTGATAATGACCTTGTGACGACAGAGATTGCTCGACGCTGGATCTTGAGTGCTGAGGGTGGCGTGGGAGAGCAGGTGTTCCACGACATTGTTATAGTTAGGAGCACTGCTAGCACTATCTCTGAAGGGGAGGAACATCTGCAATGGGACTGTCGTATTGCCTGGGGAGTTGACCTGCCGGCGAACCGTGCCTCTGGTCATCGATCCTTGCAAAAGGCAAGCTCGAAGCTTTGAATCATGAAGGTTGATGCCATATATAGCACGCAATCTTAGCTGGCATTTTTGACGTTTGGATTTCTAGCTGATATTGGATCATTCTACATATGTGAACACGCAATCAACACTTTGCCTGAAGACTAGTAGTTTTCATTCTTTATTTTGGTGAATAATGACGGATGGGGGGAAAAGACGTGCTACAAATAGAAGCATACAAGCACGAGAATACCTAGTTCGCAAGCCAGCTCCTGTTGATCAGGCAAGTTGAACAATAATCTACTAAATGAAGCTTCCGCTTAGTACTATATTCCTTCAGCTTCGTGCGGGGACTAGGCGTCACATCAGCCGAGTAGCAGCATCAACCCTATGAGATGCACCATGCATCGCCGATATAACCGACTTCGACCGATTTCCACCGACAATCACCGAAAGAAGCTATAGTATCATGGGTGTCTCTAGGAATGCGTCAGATTTACCCGAACGAGACATTTCATGCGGGGGTTCAAAAGCCGGGTGCCGACGGGCTATTGGTGTGATTATCGAGATTATCTGCTACTATAAATCACTTTATAAGCAATCCCAATTCTACGTCTTCAAAATCAAAAATCAACAATTGACACCACCACAGAAACAGACAAGAAATGGCAAGCCCTACGAAGAGCGAGTCGAGCGACGCTCTCAGGCCTCGTCCCATCTGGGAACCTACCATCCCGCAAGACCAAATACCCATGAATATCTATCGTGCGCATATCAACAAGAAGTTCAATCAGCAGCTTCGCTCTTCTCATGATCTGCATCAATGGTCCGTTGAGAATCTGCAAGATTTCTGGACAGACCTCCATGGCTATACGGGAATTATTCCACCATTGCCTCCGACAGTAACATCCGCATTTGATCCTAGCACGCCAATGGACAAGGTACCCAAATTCTTCCACGGAGCAACTGTCAACTATGCGGAGAATGTTGTGTCTGGTCGGGACTTGGACAAGACGGCTCTTGTTGGAGTTCGAGAGGGCCATGATCTGAGTGGGGAGGTGTGGACATGGGGAGTGTTGAGGGAGAATGTCAGAAAGGCAAGGAGTGCTTTGCTCAAGCTCGGTGTTAAAGAACAAGATAGGGTTGCTGCTGTCATCTCGAATAGCGTCTGGTCGGTCGGTTTGTTCCTGGCGACTGCGAGTATCGGCGCGATTTGGACTAGTATTGCACCGGATTTGGGTGAAGAGGTATGTCTCGCAGGAATGGGAATTGCTGTCGACATCGGAGACTGATTAGAAATACTAGGGCTGTGTGTCACGGTTACAACAAGTCACTCCACGGGTTCTCTTCGCAGATGCCGAATCCACATATAAGGGGAAAATGCGATCGAACGTCGTCAAGATCAAAAGCATCGTGAAGGCATTGCACTCAAAGCCACAGGTGTTTTTGATTCCTATCATCGGCGCCCATGAGTCGGCATTCCCCAGTCTCGATCGCTTCTTGTCAATGTCACGGCGAGAGGACAGGCTAGGGTTCAAAAGAGTGTCCTTCTCTCATCCACTCTATATCCTATACACCAGCGGCACCACCGGTCAGCCAAAGTGCCTGGTGCACAGCCATGGCGTTATTTTGCAGCACAAGAAGACATCCGTACTGCACAACTCTTTGACATCCGAGGATGTTGTTTTCCAGTATAGTAGTACCTCATGGGTCTTGTGGAATGTCATGGTCGGTCACCTCTCCGTAGGTCCGACTCTGATTCTGTACGACGGATCTCCGTTATGGCCCAGTGCCAAAGGACTGGCAAAGATTGCGGGGTACCATAAGGTCTCATACTGGGGTTGCTCCCCTCGCTATCTACAGGAGCTCGAGATGACCGGTTGTATCCCAAAGAACGAATTCGATCTATCCTCCCTCAGAATGGTGCAGACAGGTGGCTCTCATCTGGGTGAAGACCAATACCACTGGTTCTACCGCACATTCCCTTCCAGTGTTCATCTCACCAGTGTAACAGGCGCCACGGACTTGGCGACTTCTTGGATTGGAACTGACCCTGCAGGTCCACTGTATCCTGGGGAGATCCAGCTTCCTATGCTTGGGCACGACTTGGACATTGCTCATCCTCTCACGGGAGCTTCTATCAAGAACACTGGAAGACATGGCGAGTTCGTCTGTCGCAAACCATTTCCATCAATGCCAGTCTTTTTCTGGGGCGATGAAGATGGATCGAAATACAAGAGCGCCTATTTCGAGAAATTTGAGAATTGTTGGGCTCAACACGATTGGGCGAGTTATAACCCGCAAACAAAAGGTTGGCAGATTCATGGAAGGAGGTACGTTTTATTTCTCTGTCGGAATAAATTTGGGGAAAGTGCGTGCTGACTGGGAAACCGACAGCGATGGTGTCCTTAATCCACAGGGTATTCGTTTTGGGTCTTCAGATATATACTCGATCACCGAATCAGCTCCTTTCAACTCGGTCATTTCAACCACTTTCTGTGTCGGGCGTCGACGATCTCACGACTCTGATGAAGTTGTGTTTTTGTTTGTCGTGATGCAGTCTGGAAAGCCGTTCACGGGCCAACTTGCTGTAGAGCTCAAGGATGCAATTCGCAAAGGCTTGAGCAGTAAGCATGTTCCTCGCTTCGTGATCGAGGTCAAAGAAGTCCCTATGACGGTCAATGGTAAAAAGGTGGAGACATTGATAAAGCAGGTCATTTCATCTGGCCAGCTTCCTAAGATTATTAGCAGCACCGTTGCGAATCCTAGGTCTCTAGATCACTTCAGGCAGTATTATGATCTTGAGGTCCAAAACAACAACAGAAGCAAGCTATAGACGACATGCTGTCTAGCCTATACAATAGACAATGGGTGGTATTTTGAAAGAGAAATGAGAAAGGAACTTTTGTACATGAAAAGAAAACAAGACATACACCGAGACCGATTTATGTATCGCCAATTCTCGAGCTTTGTCAAGTTCATATATTGAGTAGCCAGGAGCCACTCCAGTCAAATCCAGACCCTTCCCAATTATTGCTGAATGGGTCCAAGCCAACATCAACAGAGGCAAAGTCGTAAGTATCCACAGGTTGTCCCGGCGGAGCGTCAAGGGACCGAAGGGCATCATTGGGGGTTTGAATATCCGCCATAGTGCAGGTAGGCGAGATGTCCGCATCCCCACTTGGGGACTCTGAGGAGTGTCCAATGATTTGCCATTGTTTGCAAAGTTTTGTATCGAATCCCTCAAAGAAAGAGGCTGCGTCCAGGTCGAGAGTAGGCGATACACCCCCAAAGGGACCCAGCTCTCGGACTTTCTCGGTCAAGTTGTTCAGTGCACGCAATGGTCCGACCGCCGAGAGCCACCTTTCGGATAGCTTTTGAAGGGAGAGCTTCATGACTGTTAATTCATGTTCGGCAGTATTCTGCAGGTGGGTATAGCGACAGCTAGAAAGGAGTGACAGTCCAGCACATAGTGGATAGAAAGCAAAGACAGGGCCCAGGTATCGAAGCTCATCGCGAAGCAGGAATTCCTCGTAAATTCCAGCAATAAACGAAGATGCTACCAGCGATGCTGCGGGTGGAACGCTGCCTGGCGTAGGCGAGCGATGGAGAATAGTGAGCACTACGAAATACATGACCAGCACTTGTTGGATTTCGAAATTGCAAGTAACCGCATTGTCTTGAGGTGTCACACATGATCGTAATCTTGGAATGACTTGTTTTGCCCATCGGTAGACGGCGTTCTCGAGATCGACCTGCCTTTGGCGGGAGATTTCTTGTCGTAGATGGGACTCGACCGTGTCTCCCAGAAGCCGGGATATCGTGCAGTAGGCTAGGAATAGTTGTGATTTGAAGTTGTTCACGGGGAAATCATTAAGTGATGGCGGAAGGACATCGCTGTCGCGTAGATTGATAGTTCGTGGTCGGCCGACGCCAACAGAAATTATGTTGTCTCGTACCTAAGTATGTTAGCCCATATTATTCCATGTGTTGCAGATTCAGGGGGAGACACCTACAACGAGAGACCACCACAGCCTTCTCCGGAGACCCCGATCTCGGGAATTTGGCGAGGGCTCCTTGTGTAGCCCAATCTGAAACGCCATTGCTCCAGCTGTTCGAATCCAAAACCCACTGGTATCGGTAGAAACATCCTCGGGCCCAACCGGATTGTACCAATGCAGTAGGCAGGCTGCCACAATAGAAATCAAAGGGTCGTCACAACCACCAAAAAAGAAAAGTAGTTTTGCTCGTCGATAGAACACTTCGCTGGACCCATAGTCGAGATGAGCTTTGGAAACTCTACTTCCAGCGAGGAAGACAGACTGGAGAAGCAGCATTGATCGCGGCGCACTCTCATCCAGCCATTTCGGGTCCACAACCGGTGTCCAGGATGCACAGTGCATGTTAAAGCTGGCCATTAGTTCTGTTTGGACTGAGACTGGAGGTAACTCAAAAGCACCCTGATTGCGGAGCATTTTCAAGTCAGTTGCTGATGCTTTGGGGCTGGTGTATGTGGTTTCGCGACCAGGTTTGACCATATTTTCATCAAACGGGACGCTGCCGCCGATATATTCACTGCGGCCGCGATAGCTCTCCTCTTTAATAAAAGGCTCGCCATTATTAGCGATCACGGCTGTATTGGTTTCAATTGGAATTGCCTCATGAGACTCGCTCAAATAATTCCGCTGTGAAGCTACTTGTGCCTCCGGTGACTCGGGAGGAACCTGTGAGCTCCGTGGTGTCTGACTCAAGGGAGCAGACGTTGACACATTCCGCCCTGGTGATAGGCTGTTGGTGAACCTCTTGCGCTTTCTTGTATATGGTCTGAAGGAAGTCAATTATTTTGATTATTCGACTTCTTTTGACCGGGTCTACTTACCTGCACTCCACATCCGACTTTTTGCAGTTGGTGCAGGGGTCGTGCGTCGCAAAGTCGCACCTCACCTATAACCGTTAGCAATTATTCGGGAATAGCCCAATAGATGATCAATGACACACCTTTCTCTTATGGCATATTATACATGCTGTAGACATGGCGCTATTACCGACAGCGTAGATCCGGATGACGATGATGGTTGGAGGTCGAGGGCGGGGTTTAGCCGAGGCATGGAAGGTCTATAAAATGCTCAACAGCAACATTTCTGTCTTTTTTTCCCACTAAAAGTCCCCTGTTTTTAGACATGGCGGAACCCGGCAGAGTTACAACAGATACTTCCTCGTATCCTGGCATCTCGGTGGTGGCAATCAATCGCCCTGATAGGAAGAATGCCGTCGACCCCTTGACAGCGAAGGCGCTTTACGAAGCCATTCTTCTTTTTGAAAATGACGCGAAACAAAAAGTATGTGTCCTAACGGGTGCCGGCGGTAGCTTTTGTGCAGGAGCCGACCTCCATATGGTTGCACAGGCAAACAACGACACACCGAGCGACAACCTCCAACCTGTCAACGGTCGCAACTTAGGGCCAATGGGTCCCTCCAGACTCATTATAAAAAAACCAGTCATATGCGCTGTCTCTGGATATGCCGTTGCAGGAGGCCTAGAGCTGAGCCTACTCGCGGATATGCGTGTCGTTGAAGAAGACGCAGTCTTCGGGGTCTTTTGTCGACGCTGGGGTGTTCCTCTAATTGATGGAGGAACCGTCCGGCTGCAAGCCATTGTCGGGCTTGGTCGTGCCTTGGATATGATATTGACCGGTCGGGCTGTGAGCGCCCAGGAAGCGCTGACCATGGGACTGGCCAGCCGGGTGGTTCCTAAAGGAGAATCATTAAAAGAAGCTATTGGGATAGCAAGACAGCTCATCACATTCCCTGAGTTGTGTCTCAACACAGATCGCCATTCTTGCTACTACAGTGCGTATGAGGCATCCTCGTTCCAGGATGCGATGACCCAGGAGTTCAATGCAGGGAGCAAGGTGATTTCACAGGAAGCCATAGCAGGTGCAGCGAAGTTCAGCAAAGGATTAGGGCGGCATGGCAGCTTCAAGGATCACAGCAAGCTGTGAAGAGAAAGAGGCTTCCATTGAACGTTGAAATAGTTCACATTATCAAATTAATATTTTGGATATCTAAAACCAATTATCACTGGTGGCGGCAGTGATGTGAGAGCTTATTATGCTAATACAAGCTAGACATGTATGTTCAGAAATATGCCGTATTGCGCGAATATAGAGGGACTGCACGACGAAGTCCCTAGTTGATTTTCTTTTCGGTTTCGCTCAAGTCCTCCGAGGTGAATTTGACACGCTTGCCGTAAACCAATGGAGTACGAGAAAGCAAGGAGCCAATGGCATATCCGATGTAGGCTCCAACAAGAATCGTAATTGGGAATGCCTGCCAAGGTCGGTCCCTTCATATACCGAGTTAGCCAGGTATTCCGCATTTGAAGTGCAGTATGAACGTATACATACCAGTCAAGAGGAATAGGAATAGCGCCAAACCACGCCCCCAAGCCTGTACCGAGCGCACTGCCCCAGACCGCATCAGCGGGTCGGGCAATGCCCCAAACCTCGTTCCATACGCCGCGGTCCAACCCGTGGGCGTAGATCAGGGCCGTCGCGGATAGAACGGCCATGTGGGCCGCACACAGGATGGTCTCGGAATTGTGGGTTGTGAGCGGGGCGCCGAATAGAACCAGGAGGATTGTCAGAACCGGGGTGGCCAAGACGAAGGTCAGGGAGACCGAGAGGAGGGCCGGCTAGAAAATCGTGTTAGTATCAATCACACGCAGGTTCCGCTTAATTGGAGAGATATCGCGTACCAGTGACCGAGACCAAATGCATGCCCAGCTATTGGCGTGCTGCTTCCGCTTTCCATGTTTGCCATGTCGCGCGGCACCACCAGGCCCAGATGGCCGAGGACTTGACTTCACATCAGTCGGGGCGGACGCGCTCGTCTCTGTTGATGTCGACCCAGCGGGCGGAAGACATACAATCACGTAGAAGATTTGTATAAGGGTGAGCCATGGTAGGGTGGAAAGAAGCTCCTTAGTAGGATTAGCCACCAATGCTTCGAAACGAGTGGCACCCAATGCCAAAAGGAGTGCCGGATGCGCAATTGAGTAGATCCGGGCTATCAACGAGGGGAGGATGTTGACGGGAGGGGCGGAAGGTTTCTCGACGAGCGTCTGGGGTGTTGAGGAAGGAGCCCCTAGCGCGGAAGAGGTGTCTTGGGGCATTGCTGGGTTCAACTGGCAGTTCTCTGTGGAAAACAGACCTTGAGAAGCTCCCGGTTGATTCAGGGTGGAAATCGGAGGGTCTTGAATGGAGATGACAGCTCGATAGTGATTGGCTGTGGCCTTGATGTCTTAGGCAGAACATATATCTTGCCTTGCCCTTCAGGCAACAACTTCATTTCCGAGTTCACAAATGGATTGTACTACGGAGTAATATATAACTATGCAGTCCATGGGATTGTAGCGGCCCTCATTACAAGCTCATGGCTGACATATTATTCGTTGGGCTTCTTATCATTGTGAAAATGTATACAGCTGTCTCGCATTGTGTTCTTCTCTTTTATCTCCAGTATAACAACATGCTAGCAAGCCAGAAAGACAAGTCGCCTACCTACAAAACCGCCTCCAGTCTCAGAGGAAACAAAGCTGCACTCATGAAGTCGCCCCACTTTCTATCTCACCGATTGGACTAACATGGTGAGCTATCGATGGGTGTTGTACTTTTGAGTATGAACATGGTTGCACTGTGTCTACCTAAATGCATCCAGCAAGTATATATAAGCGCCCCAGATAGATCCGATTAAGAACACACAAGAAAGGCAATTGCTTCGTTCTCGATGAATTTTGAGCCGATAAATACCATCGGGATTGGATATAACCTGACGAATTCTTCAGGATTTCTCCGGCGCGGCACTTCGGCCGCAGACACACTACAGCTATGCAGAAGTGCGAAATAATTGAAAAGCAACATCCCTATTTTTGTCATCGGGTTCATAACAGTATAACAGACCGATATCGCAAGTTCAACCTAAGAATAGGACGAGATCGAAAAAAAAAAAACAAGAAAAGAGACCAAGACAGACCGGCTGCAATTGCAGAGACAGACATACATTCATTCCACATGGCAACGTGATCAACTGAAATCCGGAAACGGGCTAATAATATGAAAAGAGCTTCGGACCATTGCAGGAAGGCGGGGGTAGGTGAGAGCAATGGGATAAAGAATACATGAGGGTCGTTCAAAGGGAACTTGGGTTGGCACCACACCACCCAATCGAGAGCAAGGGGGATGGAAGTGCAAGAGGGTCACGAATACGAGGGCAAAGCCCATTCATCACAAACGAAGATAAAAGACGAGAAAACAATATCATCCAACGCCTCGGGCGTCAATGCTCCGTGAATAAGCCATACCCTTTTAAATGGTCAAACAAAACCCGCACAACTGGATAAAAGATAGAGGTGCAAGCCGTGGAAGAGCAATCATGAAAGCAGTCATGAAAATGATGGGAGCGAGGAGTGGAAACACTGTGCGAGAGCACTTTGAAGTAGATCAAGCAGCCGAAGTGGACGGTCCTGCGATCTCTTCCAAGATCTCATTAGACAATGGTGGCTCTGGTGCGGACACGGACTCGGTAGCTGGCAGCTGAGCGGACCCCTTCTGTTCAATGACAGGTACAGACGCAGATGCTGCGGGGCTATGCGGCTCTTCGGGAATAGATGGAGGAAGACCAGCGCCAGGCAATGGAGACACAGGCGAACGTATATGCTCTTCCTTGGGCTGTTCACGTGGGACTTCGACCGAGGCATGATTGCCATTTGTCGACTCCGTAGCATTTGGAGAAAGAGGTCGGTTGGTGAGGGACGGCTCGTTCTCTGACCGGGTGGGGCTTTTTGTGCGCTCGCGATCATCCTTAACACCATCCCGAACTTGAGCAACTTTCGCCTTGAACTTTCCAAACAGGCTCTTTTTCTCGGGCTCTGATCCTGCGGAAGAGGTGCCTTGAACGCCAGCATCCAAGCTCAATGGGTGGTTGGAGAGGTCAGTGCTTTGATATTGACCGCTGCCGATTGAAGTGGTGCTTTGCTCGGCTCGAGGATTTGTTGCTCCTAGGGGTGGAGACGCGAAACCTAGTCCAAGTTGCTCGCTGGTGCGCTTCGGAGACCGATGAAATCGCCAACTTCGACGATTTTCATGGCGAGTGACATCATCGGGCTGATCCATATCGGACTGATCAGTAAAAGATGAGCGTGAGTTCATAGAGGGCGTACGCGACTTGTTAGGTCGCAGAGAGTGGTCAGTGTGATGTTGCAAAGTACCCTCTACGAGAGCCGAGTTCGAGTCAAAGGGGTTCTCCCGGTTGCCGAGTGTCGCAGCATTTGGAGGTTTCGGAGTGGTGTCACCAACAGCAGCTTCCACGGACCGGTTTTCGTGTTTAGGTTCAAGATCCGCACTGTGAGCTGGAGTCGAGGCATGGAGTGAATTAGTCGAGCTTTGTGCGCTCATGCTTGCGCTACCGGGAATGCGCTTCTTCTTCAAGCGATTCGGCTGCCGATGTTCTCTCAGTTCATAGTCAGGTGGCGGTGACTTCGTGAAGAAACTTGAAAGCTTACGCTCACGACTCGGAGTGACAACCTGTGGGGGTAAAGTGACCGGGGGTGAGACGACCGTGTTGAGATTATCATGTGGCCTGGTAGTTTCGTTGATGACAAGACGTTCAGCAGTTGCCAGGGGCAATGGGCCATGGGTTGACGTGTGCACATATACGTTGCCTGGAGTCAATGATGCGGTTGATTGACTAGGGATGCGCTGCTCAGGACGCTGCTCGGAGGTCTGTTCAGGGACTGGCCGAGGAACCGGATGAGATACAGACTCAGGGATCGGCTCAGGCTGCTCAGGCTCTTCGCGCACTGATGGCGTTCGACTATTCGATCGAGAACTTTGATGAGAAACAGAGAGGCCGGAAGGGTTGTTCGAGCCAGTGTCATTGGCTCGTGCATAACGAGCAGAGGTCAAAACGGGGCCCATCTTTGAGGGTAGGGTGTTGCTTCGGTGCACACCACCGCCACCACCGCCAGTGATTGAGGTGGGAGTTACAGGGCTTTGAGTGTTGTTAGAATGGCGGGAGTTGCGCGACGAAACGGAGACATTTCGACGGATACTGTCCAACTTGCGATGGCTTTCCGTGTTCGCACTAGCGTTGGATACCGATCGTCGAACGGTGGGGTGAGGTCGTGCAATCCCTGCCTCAACCTCCTTCACAGTCTGCTCATCGGCAGCCGTGCCGCTCATTCCGAACAGGAAGTGGTCCTGGTTCTCAATCAAGAAGATCAACACATCCTGACTTAACTTGTATTCCTCCGGCGACATATCATGCTGCGGGTGGGACAGCATGCCTGGTTGGAAGATCGCGGACAGATTAGCTGACGGCATGCGATTCTGATCGGACTTTGAGGCGAAAACCGCGAGAAGATCGAGGATATAGAGGAGGAGCTGCTTGTTCAATGGGGGCAGCTCGATGATGAGGTTCTGGTATGTCGAAACAGCCTTTGCGTGGTCGAACTTATCGGCGTCGGTTGTGTTCTTGCCTTCTAGGACCTGTCGTTGGTAGATCCGCAGAGGTTCACGGAAGCGCTCATAAAACTCCAATGGTACGATGGGTTCGGGGAGCTGGTTCAGGTATCGGCGAAGTACGTTTGCTGCATCGTGGACGGTGTATCCGGACCAATCGAGTCCTTTGCCATATCGCTCGGGGGAATCAAAGACCTCCTGGAGGTCCTTAATACGCTTGGCTGATCCGTTAAGACGAAAAATGCCTTCCACATCCGTTGCTATCCAAAAACGTCAGCGTTAACTCATCGAGTACAGCAAGGTAAATGCGAACCTTTTTCTTTTAGAAACACTCCACACTTTGCAACAACAATCGGCACGTATCCATAAATGAAGCTCTCGCCGTGGTCGTTGGTCAAGGAGATTGCCACATTGGCATACTTGATGCTGACATTGAGCGCAATCCCGAAGATGCCGCGGGGTGCCTCCTCTGCGATAAACGGGTCAGCGTACCAGTTCAAGAAACGATAAAGAACCTAAACAAATCAATTGGAAAGCGAGCAAAGTCCCCAGCTCCGACATGTTGAACTGCAACAACCATCTCCTGTGCGACGAGGGGAGTATACCCCGAGGCTCAGGGGGATTGCGAACCGCCGCGAGCCGGAGTAGCTCAGGAAATATTTACGCGATTGCCTGTATTCTGATATCGCATTCACCTGATATGGCTTACCTTTCAATTCATCTTTTCTGGTGCTCCGTTTGAACTGCTTCCACCATGAAGCTAAATCTCGCTTTGATGGTGGGGAGTTGGCGCTGACCGGATCGGGTGAGGTGGGGAGAGGGTGAACGGGGTCAGCACCCGGGTGCGACTTGCCGACCGTCACCATGGCGAGTCCGGAGGACGACTCGAGATAGAAGCGAAGATACTGGGAAGCGAAAAAGCGCAAAGAGGTGGGTGTGTCGATCGAGGGATTCGGGAAAGTTGAAGGGGCCCTGCGTCACCGCCCTCGTGTGGGAAATCCTGGGGCTGGGCCCAAAATAGCACAGGCACGTTACCGAGGCGAAGCAGAACAGAGATGGGATTTGAGAATAAGAACCTGAGAACAAAGGAGTTGAGAAGAAAAGTAATAGGGGATGTGAGTATGTAAGTCTGATGGATGAAGGGATGCGAAAGGGCTAAGAGGTCAGGGTTTCGAAAGGGTCAATGGGGGGGCACGAGCCAAGAGCCGAACACATATGACAGAGTTTATTCTCTGTATTTTAATGACAGGGACTTACTGATCAGGGGGATTTTCATTCTTTTTGCGAACATAAGACTATGAATAGCACAATCTAACCAAGGTTCCCGGGACAAGTTAAAGATGGGTCAGGGTCACCTGTCATATAGAATTGGATCATTGTATGGAGTGCAGGTACGCAATATTCTAGGGATTTGGAATTCTCTGTCATTTGCTACATAGAAACACCCCGATGGAGTAAAATACAGATCTCCCAATACTAGCTTATTGTAGAATTTCTAGAATTTCTAGAATTACGAGCATAAATGTGAAGAGCCGGCCCCGCCTGCGAGTAGTCTGGAACCAACGGGTCTTGGATTGTCTGGAACGTGTCTGGACCCTTTCAGGAATAATTTTACTGGAGATCAGTCGCTTATATCGGGTTTCATATTTTCCGGACCAGGTACCGATTTTCATTTTTTTCTAGTTTTTCAACTCGCTTGACCTTTTGAGTTAGCGTGACCAATAAAGTCGACGGAGTATACATTTAGAGCATATCCATTGTCACTTGATCTATGGAAATGGTGGCTTAGGTACAGGGTACGAGGCATCATATCTACCCTTGGGTCTGTGCATTATTTCCATCCTATTTTTCAGAGATCGTTTCAGAATGCATGCTCTAGGTACATGTAGTTTTTGATATCTTATACGTCATCTGGATCACCGAAAAGTGTAAATAACACGATTAAACCAGATAATCTTTCCGGCCTTTGGTTGTATCTTTCTATCTATGGCTCACCCCTTGGACTAGTCATAAGTCATTGAGGTGGGATTGGCTGTCCATAGCGTCATGAAGTGAGGTTGGAATATCGGTGACGTTGAGATATCACGTGGACTGTAACATCGAGGTTTTTGGCATATTTATCCGATCGGAGAAACTATCCTGCGGGACAGTAGGTAGAACCGTAGAGCTAACAAAGCATCATGACAATACACCGATCTAGCTGGTACAATTTCTATGAAGATTGATCTCCCACAGGCCTGGATTTTAGGTAAACTGTAAAATTGCTGAAGTGAAGGCCCTATGGGCTAGACAACTACCAAGAGAGGAGATGTTGATTAATTGATGGCCTAGTAGCTAAGGCATAACATTTTGAGTCGCGTGGGCTATTATTTATCCGGCACCCGAGAAGCTCAGAACCAGCGGAGCTGACAGCTAACAGAATGACTTGTTGAAAGCATCTTACCATCAAAACATCTTGATCTTATTCATCTATCACAATGGAAGGGTAAGTACACCCTTTGAACCCTCTTTAATTTTTTTGCTATGTTTTCTATCCCATTGTTCCTGAGGGTCATCCTATGAGCAAGCCACTAATACTCAAGTCACAGACTTAACGCAGCGGAACAGCGCGAGTTCGCCTCCCGCATGGAGCGGAAGCAGATGAAGGAGTTCATGACTGTATGTATCTCCTAGCTTCATTGTTCAAGATTCAAGTTCTTATTCCTCTGCCCATGTTCCTCCTTGCCATCAACCACCTGTGTTCTCCCACGCTCAAGATCTAACATCTTCTCTTTCAGATGTACTCCAAGATGGTCCAGCGCTGCTTTGATGACTGTGTCAACGACTTCACCACCAAGTCCCTCATCAACCGCGAGGAGACCTGCATCATGCGCTGTGTCGACAAGAACCTCAAGAGCTCCGCCCGGTTGAACGAGCGCTTCCAGGAGCAGAATGCTGCCATGATGCAGAGCGGCTCCATGGGAGGAAACTAAGAGTCTATTTTGATAATAAGAAACATATTGTCGATGACTATTCTTTATTTTTGGCAACATGCATTCGACAAATTGGGTGGTTGGCGATGCGGCTCGATCGACCCGGTTGTCTCCGGCCCGACAGTGGCTTTATCTGGAGGTTTAGAGGGATGATAACATGGTCGATGACCTGTTGGCGAGGAAGCGAACAAGATCTGCTCCTTTCCGTGTACAATAGTGATTAGCACGGGAGATATCTAACTCTCCTCTCCCGGGGCTCAAAATACAAAAGACTTGACCAAATAAGGGAAATGAGATGTACGTGACCGGGCTCGCAAATCAGAGCTCAGCTTGGATTATATTTGTCTTCTCAAACTCGAGATAGATCCTTTGTTGCTATCAAAGCAATGCAATTTAGGCTTGTGAAGCCCGAGGGTGCGTATTTTCTTGTTTATTCATTTTCCTTGGCGTACACATTCGATGTTCCAGTAAAACTCCGATTCCATGCTATAAACCGCGTTGCCGGATGGTGAATACCACTATTCTGCGACTAATGCGGTCGGAGTCGTACCGTGAGAGGTAATACTATTATATACGTATAGTGCATCCGGACATACAGGGTAGGATGTATACACCTTCCTTTTCCCGCGGAGCTCGGGAGCATTCCCGATCACGCGTTTTTCTATTCGGAAATGCCTTATCGTACTGCATTTCCCCAAGTGAGGAGAAACATATGAGGGGACTTGGAAGCTGTCCGGATCTCCAACTTCTCAAATATTTGATGCTTTATCTTTCCCCTCATTCCCGGATCCACCCCCCACTCCTTCAAAAGCCCGTCATTTCCTCTTCTCTTCTTCCACCACCGTCGTATTCTTGATGTGAGTCCTTTTTTTCCCCCTTGGCATTCCTGTAATTGCTAACAGTATTCGCGTTAGAAATCAATAAGCACAATGGCCAGTACAGTAGGAAAGGTAAATTACTTTTTCCTTCTTCTTTTTAACTGAATAACCTTGCTAACTCGGAAATCTACAGACAATCACTTGCAAGGTAAGCTCGATCCGACCGCCCCGCATATATGACGTCGACCAGCACAGCTCGAATCTGTGAGTCATGAATATTGCTGAACAAATTGACAGGCTGCCATCGCCTGGGAAGCCGGTGCGCCTCTGTCCGTTGAGGATATCGAGGTCGCTCCCCCCAAGGCTGGTGAGGTGCGCATTAAAATCCACCACACTGGTGTCTGCCATACCGGTAAGCCCCGCCATCAACCCCGCCCTATAAAATAAATTGCCGAAAAAAATCCGATCTATCAGAGCCATGATTATTGACATCCCTCAGATGCCTACACTCTCTCCGGCAAGGACCCAGAGGGTGCTTTCCCCGTTGTTCTCGGTCATGAGGGCGCCGGTATTGTCGAGTCTATTGGCGAGGGTGTGACCTCCGTCAAGGTGGGCGACTACGTTGTCGCTCTCTAGTACGTTTTCGGCTCCGATCTCGGCGTTACGGTCCACTGACAATTGTAGCACCCCTGAATGCCGCGAGTGCAAGTTCTGCAAGTCTGGCAAGACGAACCTCTGTGGTAAAATCCGTGCTACCCAGGGTAAGGGTGTTATGCCGGATGGTACCTCCCGTTTCAAGGCCCGCGGCAAGGACCTCCTGCACTTCATGGGCACCTCCACCTTCTCCCAGTACACCGTCGTGGCCGATATCTCGGTCGTCGCGGTCACTCCTAAGATCCCTACTGATCGGTCCTGTCTGCTCGGCTGCGGTATCACCACCGGTTACGGTGCTGCTGTCGTGACTGCCAAGGTCGAGGAGGGCTGCAATGTCGCTGTCTTCGGTGTCGGCTGTGTTGGTCTGTCGGTTGTGCAGGGTGCGGTCAAGAACAAGGCCGGTATGATCATTGCTGTTGATGTCAATGATGGAAAAGAGGCCTGGGCTCGCAAGTTCGGCGCTACCCACTTCGTTAACCCCACTAAGCTCTCCGGCAAGACCATTCAGGAGCACCTGATTGAGATGACTGATGGTGGCTGTGATTATACCTTCGACTGTACTGGTAACGTCGGGGTCATGCGCGCTGCTCTCGAGGCCTGCCACAAGGGCTGGGGTGAGAGCATTATCATCGGTGTTGCTGCTGCTGGTCAGGAGATCTCCACTCGGCGTAAGTTCCCCCCCGCTATTCTTCACCCCCCAGTGTATATTCTCCTGGTCTAACACATGCCACAGCATTCCAACTCGTCACAGGCCGTGTCTGGAGGGGATGTGCCTTTGGTGGTATCAAGGGTCGTACACAACTGCCCGGTCTCGTCGACGACTACCTCAACGGCGAGCTCAAGGTGGACGAGTTCATCACTCACCGCCAATCATTGGATGGTATTAACGCCGCTTTCGATCAGATGAAGGAGGGTGACTGTGTCCGTTGCGTCGTCGACATGCAATAAGGACAATAGTTTGCCAATCGATGAAAAATAACTGATGTGAAATATGAATTTAATTATTTCTTAGATTTGGGTCTTTTTAAACAAGAGTAAGAGTACAATATACGGGGGAGCTTGGAACTTTGTATGGCTGAGGTTGTCATCAAGGTCCTCAACCCCGCGGCACCTTGAGGGTGACCTACTGATGTCAGCTCTATGGATTTCTATATCCCTAGATCTGTCAAAGAAACAAATTGTAGGGCTATAATGTCAACACCGTGGTAAGTAAACTGATAACTGATTCAAACCGCATAATCATAGCATAACAAAGTCCCAGCGCATCAGGCTGGCGGTCGTTGATTTTTGAGACCTTCCTCTCTCTGTTTCTTCTATTTCCTCTCTTCGGGTAGATCTCAAAGCCTTGCAAATACGAAACCGTCTCTTGACCTAGATCAAAGCCGCGGGACAGAGTCAAACATACCTACCGCGCGGTTTATACTTCTGCTAGCGAGAGTCGGAACCCCACCATGTCTGCACCAACGAGCTATGGATGAAGACGCCAATCTCGGTTCTACTTCGGTATAACATAGCTGGTGGCCTATGATAGGTGGTATATTGACTGAATATAGCGCCATTCATGTGCTGACGAGTCTAGGAGGGGCTGTCTTCTGTTATCAGACCCTAGGCCCAACCCCGTTCGCCGCGGCGATGCCCGCGGCGATATCTGGGAGGGGTATATAGTCCACAATATATCAGGGTGTACTGAATCAAACTGTTTCAGTCCTTCTCTACATTCGGTCTATCACTTCTGCTTTGCCTGTCTTATACTGGAGAACAAGTCTCTTCACCACCACCACTACTACAACCATACAACCATACCACCACACTCCAAAACACCGTGCAATCCCCAAAAATGACAGATCCAAACCCAGTCACCCTACCAGCCCCCTTCTCCACAATCCCCCGAACCCCCCTCCTGCTAGGCCCCTCACCAATCCACCCCCTCCCCCGCATAACCGCGGATCTCGCCAAAAACAACCCCCACCCACTCGTAACCATCTACGCCAAACGCGACGACCTAAACTCCGCGTACGCCTACGGTGGTAACAAAACCCGCAAACTGGAGTACCTGCTGGCCGACGCCCAAGCCCAAGGCTGCACGACGCTAGTCTCCATCGGTGGCGTGCAGAGCAACCACACGCGCCAAGTGGCCGCGGTAGCCGCGCGCTCCGGGCTCAAAGCCCGTCTCGTGCAGGAGCACTGGGTCGACTGGACGGACCCGGGCTACGAGAGCACGGGCAACATCCAGCTGTCGCGGCTGATGGGCGCGGATGTGCGGCTCGACCCGTCCGGGTTCGGCATCGAGCACAAGAACACCGCGCAGGCGGTTGTGGAGCAGGCGAAGGCGGATGGGGAAAAGCCTTACTATATCCCTGCTGGTGCGTCGGACCACCCCCTTGGTGGACTTGGGTTTGCGCGGTGGGCGTTCGAGGTTCGGCAGCAGGAGGTGGAGATGGGGGTTTTCTTTGATACGGTGCTTGTGTGTGCTGTCACTGGGTCGACTTTTGCTGGCATGATTGCTGGGTTTAAGTTGTTGGAGAGGTTGTATCCTGGGGATGCGAAGAGGAAGGTTATTGGGATTGATGCTTCGGCGACAGTTGAGGCGACTCGGGCGCAGGTTTTGCGCATTGCGAAGAATACGGCTGCGAAGATTGGGCTTAGTGCCGATGATATTACGGAGGATGATGTTATCCTTGATGATCGGTACCATGCTGGTATCTACGGTATTCCTGATCGTCAGACTTGGGATGCGATTGAGTATGCGGCGAAGATGGAGGCGTTTATTACTGACCCGGTCTATGAAGGCAAGAGCTTTGCGGGTATGATAGATATGATCCGTCGTGGGGAGATCAAGGGTGGAAATATTTTGTATGCGCACCTTGGTGGACAGTTGGCCTTGAATGCTTACTCCGACCTTGGTCGGGTTAATGAATAGACCAACGAATCAAGAGATCAATATGCTTAACTAGAGAATGAAAATGTTACATAAATCTACGGCTTTTTGAATAACTAGGAAGTATAGTTGTAGCATTGTAGCTTGTATTATTTCAAACGAGTGACTATAGTTGGCGCGTAAAGATGATCAAACTAGGGAAGCATGGACGACGTCCTAGAACAGCTTGTGCTCAAGGGTCATATCGGACTCTGGCTGGAGACCAACGCAGGCACGGAAGATGTTAATCAAAGCGGAGCGCTGCTTGCCCAGGGCATTGATGACAGGGGTGCCGGGAGGGGTCAGGGGAGCCTTGAGCATGTAACTGAGAATGCTCAGGACGCTGTGGAAGCCCTTGTAGTCTTCACCCTCGCTGTCGGATTGCCAGCTGATACGGGTCATCATCTCGGCGAGCACAACCAGATCGATGATCAGGGGCGAAGCCAGAAGCGAGTCCTCACAAATGTTGAACAAGCTGATGGTCTGGTGGCCACCCATGAAGATCTCAGCGTAGTACTCATCCAGAGCACGCTTGTTGTCGCCGACAGCAGGCATGTACTTGATGACGACAGTGTGGTCGGGGTGCTCATCCTTCTCATAGAGAACGTGGTTGGCCGCGACCATGTCATCCACAACGTTGGACTTGGAGATCTCCTTAGAGCGGAACTGCTTCTGGGAGCTCAGGTTCTTGCCGTCGTTGTTGCCCAAGTGGTTGTAGCTGGCAATGGAGGTAAGCTTGATACCAGCGTTGATCAGGAAGTCAACGAGAGCCGACTTCATCTTGGTCTGGCCAGACTTGAAGTCATCACCGCCAATGAAAGCACGACGCTGCTCGGCCAACTGAAGGGCACCAGGGACAAAGGTGTTCTGGGGCGAGCCGTTGATGAACGGAGTGTCCTCGAGAATCGCGGCCACAGCAAACACGGTGGAAGGAGCAACCTCCAGATGACCGGCCTTGATGGAGTTTATCAGGTTGTCGGCAGTGTCGTTGACACCGGGAATGATGTCGGCGTACCGCTCAGTGTTGGCAGTCCACATGATAATCACCTTATCCAAGCCGTTCTTAGCCTTGAAGTCGCGAATATCCTTCTGGATCTGCTCGACGTGAGCCCAGCAAGCCTTGTCGCCCTCGATGACATTGTCGGCACGGTCTTCCTGGTTGGCAGCGATAAAGTCGGGGTAGTAGATACTAGGCAGCGGCTTCATCTCGGCCATCTCCTTGCGGACCTGGTTCTTGAGGGTGGGCTCCAGCACCTGAGCACGGTCCATGGACTCGGCGAGATTGAGGCTGCTGATATCCCAACCGCCAATGGTCAGGTCGTTAGGGTGGACCATGGGGAGCAGGTCGTGGAAGGGGATGTTGATCTCCTCGCCGGTCTTAGCATCAGAGCCCAACTTGACAGTGGAGCTCATGACGATAGAACCGTAGTAGTTGGAGGTCTGCTTGCCATCGCGGGTCTCCCAGGAGATATTACGACGGTTGGCCAAGATACCAGCAGTTACGGTGGAACCGTTGTTTCCACCCCAACCGACCAGCATCATACCCACCTTGCCAACCTTGCGGTTGACCTTGAAGTTGTAGTTGGTGGCCTTGGGAGTGGCAACCAACTTGTTGTCCGCGGTGCGGGTGATCTCAGTAGTCTGATAGGCGTACTTCGACTTGATCTCGTCTTCGGTATAGACGACATTGGGGGACTGGACAGTAAAGAGGGAAGATTCTTGGCGAACCGACCCGTTCAGCGCGCCATTGGCAGCATCCGAGCTAGCGTGAGGGGCCATTGCGTTCACAGCGGGATGAATAGGCGAATTGATAGTAGTGTGTGTGATAGCGTAGCCTTAACGGATATAGGGTGCGCAGTCCGATGCTCCTCCACGGTTGGATGAGCGTCGGCCGTTGAACGGGTGGTGCCGCCTGAAGAAGCAGTTAGCAATTGCATTTCTGGATGACGATTGCCTCCTCCTAGAGGCAACAGGGACACTCACGAGTTAAGACTTGTCGCGAAAATTGTGGCGGTTGTATGTGACCACTGTCTCGACGAGAAGTGATCTGACCTGCTGACAAGGTTTATACGAACCTAAGGTAAACGGACAAGAATAATTGAGGATAGAGAGAGAAGAGGAAGGGGAGGAAGAGAGAAGAAGAGGAAGTGGCATGATGGTGACTTTATGTGTCTCCGCCTGTCTCCGGGACCTTGTCCCGTCCCCCGGCTTCCCCCTTTTTCTTTTTTTCCCCTTTTAGCTCCAGAGCTTCTCGTTGGCGATTGATCTTCTTATTGGTTATATCTCACCGTCTATTCGAAAGAAGTCATTGTCAAGCCGATACCGCAGTGATGGCCTTTTCGATGTTCCCGACTACAACACCACTTCTTTGTCCTCTAAGGTACTAACCTTCTCGGGTCCATAGTTACATTATGATCAGCAACTTATTCATAAATCTCCAGTTTTTTTGTGCTGACAGCTACTGGGGCTCCCGAGGTCCGCTTCCGGCCTCGGGCTTCTGCCTGGCCGAGGGATTTATTTCCAAATACGAATTTCGGTGACGTGATTCAGTCTAGGTTGTACATTTTGTGATAACTGTATTTGAATTCTCAATACAACGCAAGCATTGCATTGCAATTGCACTTGAGGTTATAACATACCGGGGTATACGTCAGGCCACGAGTATGGGCGACGGATCGGACCACTACGACAAAACTAATTTTCTGCCTGGCAGAAAATTAGTCAGCTAGCCATACGCTGTTCCACAGCTGTAATGAGTATACAGCAATTTACATTTTCTCTAATTACTCGGTTTCTAACGGTCGTATTGAGTTCAAATTTGAAGATAATAATTAATTAAAATACCCCTCTCCAAAAGTTCTACAGATTGCAAACTAATTACGACTATTAGAAGCTAATAAGTAAGTGTTTTAGGAGGAAAACGTCTTACTAGTATGATCCCAGACCCTGTTATGTGATCATGTACGAGCACGTGCCTTGTTATATGACCATTGCGCCCGTGCGGTCCCGTATAGACCATTCTGCACACTTGGGTACTCCTAACTCCTATACTAGATTGTACTTAGTCGTTGGTTTACCTAACCTAATAGAAACCATACGATCCTCTCCGTATCACACTAGACCGCCTTCGTATTAAATATACTGCCGACTAAGAGTTTCAAATCGGCAGAACTAGTAGAATTCTACTCTGTAAAAGACGGTGAATTCTGGTAGTAGGTTTATGAATGTGAAGACTATTTTATATAGAGTATATTATTCTAGGTCATATGACCTTACTGTAAACCCTACACTCTCCTCCCTTAAATATAGTACTGCAATTATAGAGAGACGTATACTAGAGGTAAATGTGAAGAGGTTGCAATAGTAATTTACATACAGGCCCAAGACCATAATCATACAGGCGGTGATTAGAGCGGTGAGCCAAAAATTAGTTTTGTCGTAGTGGTCCGATCCGTCGCCCATACACGAGCCCTCGGCTGAACCGTGCTGCACATCTGCACTGCACATCGGAGGGGTCGACTCCGCGGGGCAGAATAGCGGTCAGCCATACGCTCAACCTTGGAACGTTGCTTGGCATTGGATTTTGCTTCATTGGAAGTTTTATTTTTCTTGATAGCTGATCATTCACTTCATATTATATGTGGATTATCCTGGACTCAGAAAGGAATTGCGCAGGATAGAGAGTAAATGGTTGCCGAGCACAGGTTGGGAGACATAGCCCTGATTAACCTAGGTAGACCTATAACCTTACCTAGAACTTTAGGATATTGTCAGATAAACTTACCCCTTTTTGTGGTCCTTTGGAATAATTAGTTATTCACATCCTACGCTGAACTTTAGGCAAACATTCCTAATTGAATGCTTAACTATAGGCTTCTAAATCCACACCGCCTTTGTGCTAAACTCACATAGTAGCAAGACAGCAGAGCAGGTACCTACAATTTGTATGGGTGTCCAACTTTATTATCTCGAGGACGGAGTACGGAGTAGAATCCGCCACGATAATGGATCTCGAGATGTTATCAGAGCCCCACAGCAGCAATACCTTCGAAATTTCAACCCGTCTACTTCTATCAGCCTTCCTCACAATGACCGTCAAAGCTTGTGTCACACCAGGATGTGCCAAAACTGGCATTTGGGCCTGCGCAGGATGTGAGCCACCCAACCTAAAGCCTGGCACTGCGGCAGAGAGTGCCAGAAGGCCGACTTCAAAGGCCACAAGCTCAGCTGTGGTCCTACAATTCCATACCACTGCTTCCTGATCAGTCTAATGCGGCCTACATTGAGCCATTCCACCTCAACTCTTACCGAAATTGGGGCCTCGAAATGAAGGAGCTCAAGGAAAGGCTTGGCTGGCCGCAGGCTGATGAGGCTGGAAAACTCTATCCCGAGAAGAACATTGATACTTGGTACTACTACATGTATCAATCGGCCGGTTTCAACCTCCCCAAGAACAAGCTTGCCAGTCAATGCCTGGGACGAACCGTGAAGGGCGATGTAGCTGTCGTCAGATCCTCGCCGGATGATGTCGATGGTTACGACGAGTCCTTTTCCAAAATGGATTTGGTAAGGACCATCGATTACTACAAGACTGCAAACTCTCGCCAGGTGTTCCAGCAACGAGAACACTCGCGACTTCCGCGCAAAATGGGGATGCCAGGGGACTTTTGAAAGGGGTTCCCCATTTCAACTCCTAGGGTCACCGACCTTAGCAATGTTGTGTCCACTGTCTGGTCGTGTCGCTTCCCATGTATACTTGTATCATTTGTCTTTTTGTCTTGCTAAACTGTGTTGTTGCTGCTTTATGTCTCCGTTGTTATTGAACGGGCGTCTCAAAAGTCTTTTACTGCGAAAACATATTCCGGCCTTCTTTGAAACAAATCTTGTCTGCAGTTCATGAAGATATCCATATTGCTGTTATTTCTGGTTGACCAAGTATTCCTGTAAATCCCACTCCCGTTTCTATTACAAAATATCACAAATCGATTATGCAGGGTACTGTGGTGCCCTATATGCAGCAGGTGGTTTCTTGGGGACCATCATCTACATTGGGCTGGCTGATGTGCTTGGGCGTCGGCGAAGTATCATACTCACTTCAGTGACGCAAAATGATCGGGGCTTTCCTCATGGCTAGTTCTTTTCCCCTTTCCCAGTTGGTAGTATCACGAGTTATCCTAGGTCTAGGCACTGGTGGTCAACTAGCTACTATGCCTCTGACAATCGGAAGTATTACTAGCTAGCACGCGTGGTGCCCGAGTCACCCCGTTGGCTGGTCCGGCAGGGCCATGCTGCACGGAAGGTATTGGCAGCTCTGAGGGCAAACTCGAATGTACTATGCATCGATATAAAAGCCAGCCTTCGCCACCGTTACTTGCATGGTGAAAGCATTATTATGGCATCAAGCTCATATGAACCGCAAAGACGTGACGTTTTTTACATTTGGGCTCGTGAGTATATATTGGCGTTGGGCAAAATTTCCTAATACTACTTTCGGAACCAGGTCCTTCGCAAAATACTTATGTAGGTACTTATGGAGTTATAAATTAGCCCTATTTTCGATAAGATCTCGAGAAGTGTCACTGTCGATATTGTGGCACCGAATTAAATCCCCGCAGTGGGGAACTTCCCCGAAGTTGTGAAGAAATTCAACATCTCCATCATGCCCGGTGCGAAGAACACCCAATGCTGGTAAGCCGCCTAAATGACCATAGCGCTTTGGAGACTTGACACTGACAATATTTAGCGATCCATGTCGTGTACTTCATCATAAATGTGATACTACCATCCCACCCCCGGGAACCAGCTCTCTAACTGTCATAGGCGACGGCATCTTGCCGCAATGCAGCCGATGCATTCGCACAGGTCGGGAATGCGCTCGAAGTAAAAAAGAGACGAAGTTCCGACAGGCAAAGGGTCGGACAACGCGTACTAAGTTTCCTAGCAACCAAGTTTGGCTTCGGCCACCACCTAGAGGTTAGATTCCATCCGATTTCCTTGAGATCTAGTCTGACATTCGACCGTTATTTAGTTGACTTTGTACTAGAAAACGGAAGTGGCCAGGTGGATAACTCGACTCAAACGACGCTAAATGTGCTGTCACCTGGGAATTTGCATAGTCATGCTGACTCTATTCCTAAACCGGAAAGGCTGTCTCCCGGGTCCTCATATACCGCCCCTTTGCCGCAACATGATTCCCCAAACTATGAAGTATATACGAGGAGTAGTGCTATCTCGCCAACACTGCAGGTGGTGAGCACACCCGAACGATCACACCGGCGGCCATGGCCCTTGAGAGATCCCGAGGAAGCGCGGCTGTTGCGGCATTTTGTTGAAAAGGTTGCACCGTTCGTAAGTGATGATATTTTGTTCTGTATGGTGAGCGGCATTCTGACTATAATATCAAGTTTGATTGCACGGATCGCCAGCAGCATTTTGCCATCCATATCCCTTACCGAGCACGCCGTTGCGAGACGTTATTTAATGCAATATTGGCCATGTCAGCTCGTCATTTGAATCGCACAACAGGGTTTGACCCTTTTGTGTCGGATAATTACTATCAAGCATGCCTGGAGAAGTTAATTCCCGCGCTGGATGACCACGGTGTTACGATGGATGATGATTTATTGGCTGCTACTGTAATCCTACGCTTGCTGGAAGAGTTTGATGGTGGGTAGTGGATCCCTTCGCACATGTGTCAAGAAGCCAGTTAACGATGATCATAGTACCACTCGCGGGGTCCGATATTCGAGGCCACTCCTTCGGGACAAAGGCTTTCATACGGTGTCCATCAATGATGACTACAACCCCGAGTCTCCGGCAGGCTGTCTACTGGAGTGGCCTACGCCAGGAGATATACAATTCCCTTAGCCTCCATCAGGCCCCAGACATTGATTTGAGGTCCTTTGATTTGAATTTCCACTCTAACTCGCTGGGCTCTGATGCAGGTGATTGCGCATGGGCGAATCAAGCAATCACTCATTGTGCCCACGTTCTGGTATTTTGTTTTGGGAAGGGACCTCGCTCAGCGGCTGTGCATGCAGAGCTTACGGCACATAATCAGCAATGGAGTGAGACTCGACCGAACTCTTTCGACCCCTATTTCGTGGGTGAAGATGTGGTGGTGGGAACTGAATTCCCCGATATTCGTTACAGTTGTCCCTGGCACGGTACGTATCGGCGATATATCTTGGAAACCGTTCGAGATATGAACCGAGGCTGATCGCTTGTGATGATAGCAATCGGCAATCAATATATCGATCTTGCCCAGATTCTGCTTTCTGTGCATGACCCAACTCTGCCAACAGTTGGACCTCTGCGCAGAGGCCTGATACAGGAGGCTGATGTAAGTGTCCCAGTAACCCGTGGACCTTCCAATCTACTTTCAATACTCAAGCGGAGACTGACAGGTGGTTCAGGATCATATCCGTAGGGGGGTTTGGACATTATGTGGCGCTTCATTATCCAATGCCTCTGTACCCCCAGCCATGGTTGTCGGTTGTATGGCCATCCATCTCTGTAAGCATCCGAAACTATTTTCAACATCTTCTAGTAAGTATAAACGAGGCTGACCAATATCACAGGCGGCGATCGTTTCACGGACCCACATGAACAGGACCACTTGATCCAGGTTCTTATCCAAACGGATACACTTCATGGTTGGCCAACCCATGCCCTCCAGGGACAGCTTTGGGACACCTGGGGCAAGCGATGAAAGCGAGATAGGCGCTAGTGTAGGTACGCTAAGCTACATATATGTACATGTTGTTATGGTTCCTATTAAAATACCCGGGCTTGGCGCGTTAATTCTTGCAACTACCTAAATGGTAGCAGCGTAACCAACAAGGTACGTATGTTGTATGTTGTATGAAATATGGAATACGTATTTCTACTTTTGGCCAAGTTCAGGGTCTTGCATGATCCGTGGCGTTGAGTGGGAAGTAGTGGCCAGTAATAGGAGCGGGCTCGGATGGAAGAAAAAAGGGCCCCGCGGATCGCCGAAAACCACAAATTGATTCTTTTCCTTGCCGTCTTCTAGGAATATCCCGACAACCTTTGGAATATCGCCACATAATCCCATCAGGCCTGTCTGCCAGAAGGAAGTCTGATATTGCACTGTTTGTGTCGAAATCCATTCAAAATTGCAGATCGAGAGATAACCCGCCGATCGAATGATTGCAAGTCTCAAACATTCACCCGGGAAATGTGATTGGTGCTAGTGGAGGATCAGACACTAGGTACGGACCAGTCGCATTGCAAGCTGTGTCTCTTTTTCCGTGATGTGCGTATGTTCCCTGTGCACGCATTTCCTTGGGCTCCACTGGCGGTTTGGGAGAATGGATGGATTTAGTGATGTTAGTGGATATAGTGGTATAGAGACACTTCAAGGGCTATTATTACAACAACGCACTCGGTATATCTGTAAATAGAATAGGCAATATGGCACTCATATCGCACAATATCTCATATCAGTATCTTATAATAACCTCAGTACTCCGTAACTCCCAATGTAACCCCTGAAGACAGTTACGCACCCCCTTTCCGCACTGGAGACGCTAACTAGACTAGCGTGTTTTCCGGGTCTGGCACAAAGCGCAGTCCCCCATACAATCACAATCGCTAATTCTCCTTGAGATCTCAACTTCAGCTTTTCTTCGGACTTGCTCTAGAATAGTCTTCCCCATATCTCGAGGGGATATGGCCCACTGAATTCGATGTTCACGATCTTTGATGGCTTCAATGAACATGGGCATGTTGCCCACCATCAAATGCTCCAATTGTGGGTGCAACGTCGAGATCTCCTCTATGGGGGATCATACCTGCATTCGAAATGAGTTCGGTAGGCTTTGAATATCCAATATGGCCCCGGGGAAGTCTACATGCTGACTTTTGCTCCAGTTGCACCTATCCCATCACCGCCTTCATCGGCAGGATTCGAATCGGACCGTTTCATAGAGGCAAAGGTTGGCCGAGGGAGGCCGCCGGCTATAGACTCCTCCGCTGCAAGTATGTCTCAAATCGCCATGTGGAAAGCTGGAGGGATTCCCGACTGACCCTTACATATAGATCGAGCATTCTTGCAGCCCAGTATGCCGACACCAGTTAACAATCTCCATCTACCACCTCTCCCTGCCAGTCCAGTACCTCCATCTACGGTGCGCCCGTATCAGCACAGTCTGACCGATGATTCGGTCTTCTCATTCCCCATGCCTGGAAACAGATCGCCGACTGAAGTGAGGACACCGAGTCCAATGACGGATCGGACTGCGCCTAAACCACGGCCACCACTTTCGTCGCAGGGACAAGGGCTGAGCTTGATGCCAGAGAATATAAAACTTCCACCTAGTCCAATGCCACCTATGTCCCCGGATAAGAACCATCGCAGGGAGGAGTCGGCGGTGAGCAACAGCAGCTATCGGACCTCTTTGGCTAGCAGTCGCTACGGCGGTTCTACAACGAGATCATCATCCAACAGCCTTTCGCGTGGTTTCCGGTCGTTTATGGACGATACCCCACCGATGCCACTGGCACCTCTCCGCACCCCCAATCAATCCTCTTTCTCCCGTGATTCCAACCTCTCGGCGGGATCCCGGATTAGCAAGGAAGAAGCCAGTGGATTCGACTTTGGTATTCCAGAAGCCCAAAGCCCGATTACCGGACTAGATGATCTCCCGGAGGAACCTCCTTCGTCCAAATTCCAGGATAATACCAAATATGTCGCTTTCAATCCTGCGAACCTCCACCCTGCGGCAGCGACGACAGAGCTAGGTAACGATGCACCAAGGAAAAGCTCTAACGCGAGTACGACGAGTGCATTTTCCGTCACTAGTTTCGCTCGAGCTCTCGGTCTGGAAGAGCAAATGAATCACTCTGAAAGCTCTGGCTCCGATTCATCTCCTTCCGATGCCCGCAGTGGTAGTTCCATGTCCAGTGTTCCTTCCGATGTCAGCTTGAACCGACACAAACCCTCCGATCCGCTAAATCTGTCACCCTTGGTTGAAGAACTGCCCGCTCGGACCCGAGAGACTGTTCTAGAAATACCTGGCAGTATACCGAGCACCATGGGCGATGTCCCTCTTATTCCGGCTGCTTTCTTCAGCCCGGATTCACCCACCGACCCTTCAATCAACCGAGATGGCTTGTCGTTGATTGCAGAGAGGAAACATGTGCCTCCGACTTCGCTCCCAGCACAACCCAAGCAATCGATCCCCCGGAAGCCACCAGCACAACGCTCATTTACAGCACCCGTACCACAAGCACAGCCACAAACGCCACCGACACCCACCCGGTCCGTGACACGTTCGAAGGGAAAGTGTAAAGGCTGCAATGAGATAATCACAGGAAAATCGATATCATCCTCGGACGGACGTCTCACAGGTCGATACCATCGTGGCTGTTTCGTTTGCTTTGAGTGCCACTCTCCTTTCCAAACGGTCGATTTCTACGTCCTCAACAATCGACCCTTCTGCGCGCAGCACTACCACGAGCGCAACGGGTCCCTTTGCGCCGGTTGTCACACCGGCATCGAGGGTCACTACTTGGAGACCGTCGAGCGGAACCCTGCACGGTCTGATCGCCGTCGATTCCACACCCAGTGCTTGCAGTGTCGTACATGTCATATCCTTCTCAAGGGCGACTACTTCGAGTGGAATGGCGAAGTCTTCTGCGAAAGAGATGCTCGCCGAGCCGCTGCTGCCTCCCACCCGCCACCCCCTGGTCCTCCTGGTCCTCCTGGTCGTCTCCGCCCCACACTACCTCCATCTCCCCTGGCCCAGTACCCACCAGGCCCATACCATACGCCTGGTGGAAGACACGGACCTGGATATGGGCCTGGGCCTGGGCCCGGACTCCACCCCGGTGCCCCATTCCCCCCTGGTGGTGGAGGACGATTCCCCGAACGACGGACTACTAAGCTTATGATGACTTGAGCAAACCGTGCTTGTCATTCTTCTTTCTTGTGAAATCTTGCAAAACGCTGAGTTGCACATTCCTTTTTTCCGCATATCTACCGCGGTTTGTATTCCACTTTCTTCATTCCTTTATATATCGCGATATACCCTCTGTGCTATCTCGCCCATTTGGCTTTCGCTGGCAATGGTGTTGGTCGTTTGTTTTCCCCTCTACATCAGGGCTATCCTACATCTGCATCCATCGAAAATGCCCCATTGGCATGTTTTGTGATTTTTGGGCCATCATTCGCGGTGGTGTATTTGTTGATTCTTCATGCCGAAATGTTTCTAATGTACTCTCTATCGGCTCGGTGTTTGGTTGGCGGATTATCTCTTGTACATGATTTACAACTAGAATATGAGGACCTGTGAGATTGATGCCGAAAATGACCGCTTTTGAGGCCAGAAACGGCTGCATTTCCACCCGTAACTTTAGACGTGCAGCGGCCCTCAACCGACCCTTTTTTGCCCGCCCGCAATACGGTGATCTCTCGCCTTTATGGCATTTCTGTGCTTTACGGGCGACTAAGTGTGCCATCGGAACATGACTCTCATTGAATGGAGGGCATGGGTATATGTGGATGTGACCGAGAGCGGCGGCTTCCGAGTCCGACGGGGACCACAGGAAGTCTGTGGTCGGCGGTAGTATTCGGACCGTCTAAGAAACCTTACCTATATTGAGCGAGTGGTTGTATCCATCCTGGTTGCCAGCGATCACACGTTGAAGGTCTATTCTTCCTGCTAACTGCGGTCTTAACGCTGCGGGATAGATAATCATCCAACCAATTGAGATGAAATAATGATTTGTCTACGTCATTTTGAATACTCTGCGGCGAATTAGACGCATCATGCAGCTCCTCGGGGGATATTGAAATAGTTGTAGTTTCCAGGGCATGCGTGAAGGCGTGCAATGAGAGGGATAGGAAGGCGAGGTAGAATCCCACGCTTTTGCTTCTATTGGACTGGGACATGATGAACTCCCGATGGTTCCATATGAAGGAGGCTAGGAAACCAGAAACAAAAGGAGGGCGTGCTGGTTATACAAGTATGGATCCATAACAAAGAACGGCTTCCGCCCCCAATGTACGGAGTGACTGCAGAAAAATGGGGGCTGACTACGGCCAACTCAATGTTGGAACCGACTCTCTCCATCATACCATCTTTCTACCACCGCTTTCCTGCACTTCGGCCAACTCCAAAATGAACGCTATAGACTCTGAAAGATTTTTCTGGGGCGCTCCAACTTCGAACGCTAAGTCAGTATACCATCTTGCGCATTCTTTATTTGCTGACCTCGACAAAGCTTCTGTGAGACGGACTACGCCGTGAGCAGATACATCGCCGAGTTTGTCAACAGCTTGACGAATGTCGTCTACAGTAAGATACTGGAAAGAATGTGAAATTCTGATCTAACTGATCTTCATCGGTAATCTACGGCATCTACGGGCTACGCTACCTACGACGGAAAGCGAACAAGTATGGTGATTCTTTACTGAATCCACGCAAATCTAGTCTATGGAGTACTTTTCGAGCCAATGCTTGCGTTTGATGTGTGATCTGCCAATCGGATTGCGGAATGTGCCCGGCAAGTGGGTCTCCCAGCTGGCATAATGGGCTGATGTGCGGTCAATAGTTCGGTGGGTGTGGGGGAAGAGCAGGGAAGACGGGTCTTTTATATCGGGAGTATTGAAGGGAGGCTACGAGACGGCGTATTGATGCGCTAAACCCTCGGAGGCAAAACTAACTCGAAAAGGCAATTCACAGGGCCGCCGTTTACAAGTTTAATGGACGTAAGACATAATGTGTGTTCTAAGTTTGATCAAATAACCTAAATCCATGCCTCATTATATCGTAAACATTGATATACCATTGCAATCATTTCGACTTGTGATTCTCAAGCTCTAGTGGCTCAACCGGATAGAGGTACACACGCTTCATGATCCAGCCGAAGCAAATGACATAAAGCGCCACCGCGATGATCTCCATACGTTGTCTCACAGTGATGCGGTCTAAACTGGGATTTGGAACACCCAATACACCCGAATGTTCCTTCTCCCACCCATCGCAGACCTGGCGGAATCGACCGGGCTCGTCGGAGATGACGCCGTCGATCTCGTGTCGGATACACCAACGCATTAGGTTCGGCGAATTCACCGTCCAGACATAGACTTTACGCCGGGCTGCGCGCGCCTCATCCAAAAACCCCCGTCCTAGTGGGCCCATCAGGATCTTCTGGTTGATGTTGAAGGATATAAGGGGTACTTGTAGGAATTGGCGAGCATAGCTCACGTCGACGCAGATTAGTGTCACTGCACACAGTGGCAAGTGCTTTGCTCGTGCGGGGAGGTATCGTGAAGACCAGAAGCCGAGAACGATTCGTCGCTGCCAGTCGGGGCCGCCCGCGGGTGTAGGGACTGACTCGATGGTTTTGGCAATCAGTTCCATTATGGCGAAGGGTTCATTGGCGAGCTGAGAAGTTGATTATGTTAATGAATGATGATGTGCGAATCGGGGAGAACCACCTACCTTTATGTCTAGCAACATCCAGAAATTCTCCCGACCTGGTTGTCTTAGGTATTCTAACACATCGGCCAACCGGGGCATCGGTTCATGGGGAGCTTGTATAGTTCGCAGAGTTTTTAAATACTCCCAGTCGCACTCGCTGACCTTCTTCTTAATACCGTAGCAGCGCATGAGGCTTGCATCCTTGGATCGATGAGCGTAGTTCTAGATCGGGTGTATGCACCTACGTGTGATAACACCACGATTCCATCGCGGGAAATATGAAGGTCAAGCTCGAGGGCTTGAGCTCCTGCCCGAATGGCGCCATCGATTGACAATATAGTGTTCTCGGGATATTGGCCCTTGAATCCCCGATGGGCGATGGCTTGAGGCAAACGCGGGCAGGCGTGGGCAACCGGTGATCGGTGGAAATGAGCTTGCGAGGACGAGTTAACTTGATAACACCGACACGGAGAGTTACACACCTGGAATTTCATGCAAATGATCTTGCGAAACTATAGACGATGGGTCGCCCATTTTGAAAAGAGTTGTGAGTGTTGAAGAAGAGATGCCATCGGAGTTTGGCGGAGATAGACCCCGCTGCACGGTCTAATGTGGACTCAGGTGCTCACAGTTGCTTTCCAGACTTTCTATTCTCGTGCGGAAAGAGGCCAAAAGATCGGGATCAGCACTTAAAGATCTCTGTCTGGTCTTCAACCGCCAGGAAGAAAGCAGCCCTGGAGCTTTAGAGAGGAGGCTGGTCGAACACCCCGATTACTCATCACTAGTGAGGTGGATCCGTCTCCAATTTCCCCATGTTGATTTATAGCCTCCATTTCCCAAGTTGTTGTGCTCATTAAATTGCATCTGTTCTGCGACTAAGCTGGTAGACAATGGCCGTTCAGCAATGGATCACGCCCTTGAAGGGAATTGACAGCCTTAGCCGGACCGAAGCTCCCGTTCCCGTACCAGGGCCGAGCGAAGTCTTGGTAGAGATCCGTGCTGTCTCTCTGAACTACCGCGACGTGGAAGGTAAGTCGCCCACCAAGAATAAACATGTAGGACATATGCTGAAAAAGTCTTTCAAAGTGACCAACGGCGAGTATAAGCATCACAGAACAGCCAACCAGGATGCCACCATCGTACCCTGCTCGGACATGTGTGGGGTAGTGACACAGGTTGGATCTGGCGTGAGCAAGTGGACAGTCGGCGACCGGGTGCTTTCGACTTTCCTGCCAGATCATCAAACTGGCCAGGTGACTGAGAAGGAGCTTGCCAGGAGCCTGGGGCTGCCGCAGAATGGTGTCCTTGCAACTCACCGCGTGTTCCCTGATTACGGCCTGGTGAAAGCGCCTAGCTTCATGTCAGATGAGGAGGCGGCTACTCTTCCCATCGCTTCAGTCACAGCATGGATGTCTATAAATGGTTTGCGACCGATGGGGCAGAGCGGCGGGAAGGATGAATATATTTTACTCCAGGGAACCGGTGGTGTGGCTATTGCCGGACTACAGATTGCGAAGGCCGCTGGCGCGAAGGGTGGGCAATCGGATTATTACCGCTTATAAGACCTAATCGCTGATCTTGCAAACAGTTATTATCACCTCCTCGTCTGATGCTAAATTGGAGCAGGCTAAAGAGCTAGGCGCCGATTTTACCATCAACTACCGCACCAACCCCAACTGGGAAATCGAAGTGATGAAGGTGACTGAGAACCACGGTGCTGATATCATCTTGGAAGTTGGTGGCGCTAAAACCTTGCGGAAGAGCTTTGATTGCATCGCTTTTGGGGGGTTGATCGACTGCATTGGCTATGTCTCAGGCAAGATAGATGCCGATGAGGACCGCTTGAACGTCAATCTGCTGGCTCTTCGTCGGACGGTCACCCTCAAAGGAATTATCAACGGCCCGAAGGATCGGTTTGAAGAGATGATACGGTTCTACGAAGAAAATCAGATTCACCCAGTAGTTAACCGGGTCTTTTCATTTGCCGATTCCAAGGAAGCATTCAGATTTCTGGAAAGCGGGAGCCACTTTGGTAAGGTAGTTATCAAAGTTCAATAGAGCCCTAGGGCTCTAATGGTGTCGAATCTCATTGTCGAATTATCATTCACTCCTGATTGCCACTTGGCTTCATTATCCCAGCGCCAATTCCCAGATCTTCTCCCATTTCCTTCCCAGCCACCGTCAATTTCTTGCAATCCTGCAGCACGAACAGGAGACGGGCCCATTCTGTCCCGCTGGTATTGCGCCATCCATGCATCGTAGCCCGCTGCACAGCAACATCTCCTCTGTTCATGATGACTGGCTCGCTATCTTCCAAAATCATTTCAACCTGCCCCTCGAGTACCACGCCGTAGTCGAGGCTCTGCGTCCGGTGAACGACAGCAGGGTTGTTGGGCGCGAAGTCCACAATGCGGCATACGGTTCCACCAGGGTTAACGAGTCCCAGCTGGCCGGATTGTGTCAATGTCTCGTGGGTCTTGATGTCCGCGTCGTTGTTGAGATCCGGAGGGAATTGGCTCGTATAAACAACATTGAATGCCATCTTGCCTTTTTCAAGTGATACCCATTCAGCCGGTGTCGACGAATGTATCACTGCCTTCCCGTTCTCGTTGTGACCTGTGATATGCCGAGTGACTACCCGCAAAGGCGACACTTCACTGGGATTGGAAGCCATTGTTTATAGGACACGAAGTGGAAATGGAGGTATGAAGCTGTTGAAATCAATCAATGTGCGGAATACAATGTGTGCCCTCGGATGATTATATAGTCTCACTCCACGTGACACGGGGCGGTGCATGTCAGCTTGAACAGCGGTGAGCTGGATGGAACCGCAATGGCTTACGAGTATCCTTGGTTGGATGTGGGCGTGTTCGAAAGCGACCATCACGTCAGACCTGATTAGAAGATTGTCGGTTCGGTTGCCACTTTCGGCGCTGACTGCGATCCCGTAGCTCAGATCGGGCGCACAAAAGAAAAATCCAAGAGACAAATGTTGCAGACGAGTTCAACTACATCGATATAAGCCAGGAACCCTCCCGGGGGAGCTTCAGGATTCTTTTTTACCTTGGTCCACAGGTAGGACTACCAGCACCACCCTAATTCGCACGCGAGGCCCATATCCATGGCTGGGTATTTAGAGGATTGTGATGATTGCAAGGGAGTACCCCTTGCTTTTGGAGGTTCGATTTCTCTATGCCGACTCTTTGCCGACTCTGACACACATTCGGCCGACGAAGAATCCCTCGATGATATGTCCAACGCGCATTTCGTCGAGTCGTGCACATATAGACAATCACCAGGCAGTCTGGCTTTGCAGTTAAGCATGCCTCGGTTTGACCGTAACCTCAGCAACTGCATAGAAGCATAAACGCCTCGTACTCGAGATGGCGACACCACGCTCGTTCCAGCGCGCTGCTCGTGATCCCACCAGGTACCACCATCAGCAGAGCGCCGGCATGCCGAGGAATGCCTCGCAATGCTTATATTAAGGAGTCGGTTCCGATTTGAGCAGTGGAGAGTTTATGTGAACCAATAGCTTGATGCAATCTAATCTAACACGAGAAGAATAGTGAGTTGATACACCAGAGTTGGGGGGCGTGGGGGTGTGGGGGTTCTTGGACGACGGAGGTTATAGTTATCTTGGAATCAGATATGGATGGATGTAGGTAACCCTAATATGAAGTTAGACTGTATGTGTCAGCGAGATTAGGAACATGAGGCTTATGGACAGATGTATATTCATTTCGCCTAACTAGATATAGATGTGATGTTTCAACCTTGCTTTTACAAAAACCATCGGAACTCAGCAGATGCAGGCCCATCTCTCATTCGCTCCGTTGGAATATCCCGTGCCCGGATCGTGGTTCCATCACGACGGTCACGTCGCTTGTTATCTAGCCACATGTAGAGTGCCAGAGAAGCCGTCAAGAAAGCGCCAGTAGCACCGAATGCACCAACACTGATTAGTGCGGGAGTATACTTAGGCGCATCCTGCTTCCGGAACAAGTTGCTGCTCACTAAGCCCATCAAGTTGGCCAATGGCACGCCGATACTCGTCAACAGTACACGGCGACCCTCGTGGGCGATGTTGTTATTATACCAGGTGCTGAGAATCACAGATGGGGCGGACGTTCCCCAGGTCATCATGAAGGTTGCGAAGTAAGCGACGTGGATGTTTGCTGGGACATCGTCAATGGATGCGTAGATCATGAACCCGGAGAAAGTGAGCAGGAAGCCCAGAACAATGAATGGCGATCGGAGTCTGGTCCAGTCAGAGGAGAAACCGAGCACTAGCAACATCACTGCTCCTGTCACATTGGGTGCAACGGTGTACAGGTTGGTTTTGACGGTGGGAAAACCCAATCCCGCGATGATCTGCGGCATGAAGAGCGCGACACCCTGCAAAGGCACACCGAGACAGATTTCAATGCACAAGAAGGCGTATGTAGTGGGGCTCTTGAAGATACCGAGGGCCTCGCGGAAGCTAAACTCCTCGTTGACCACCGCACTGGAGTCGACTTGAATTCGGTGGAAAGCTAGCGCCTTCTCCTCCTCGGACAAAAACTTTGCCTCGGCGGCGCTCCGTGGGAGATAGAAGAAGGCAAATGCAGCGAAGAGAACAGTGACGCCGCCCTCAATGATAAACAAATAGCGCCAATTGGGGATATGGGATCCCTTGATCTGGAATACTCCAAACGCAATAAGTCCGGAGAAAGCGTTTGCAATGTTCGACGCAGCGTAGAAAACAGCCAGGCGACGAGCCAGCTCACCACGACGGTAGAATGTGGTCAAGTAATAGATCACCAGCGGGAAGAATGCAGCCTCGGACATGCCCAGGAACCAGCGCAAGGCGAACATGCCACTGAAATTATAGGTGGCCGAAGAGAGCACCGTGAGCGAACCGAATGAAAACATCAAGATTGGAAGGACGCGGGCTGGACTGAACTTCTTTCCAAGCATCGAGAATGGCGGCGCAAAGATCACGAACGGAACAAAAAAGATGGATAACAGGAGATTGTACTGATTCGGCTTGAAGTGCAGATCTAAAGATTCGATTAGACTCAAGTTGCTGCCACTTAGGTCCAGGATCTCACATACCCGTGCTCATTCCATCCGTTTCCGCATTTCCCAGATTTCCCTTGTCGAGGGCGTTGAATAGATCTGTCGCTGGTCAGTTTTGCATGAATGACAAGATTGGGGTCGACTTACACATGATTGCTAGGATAGGGAGAAGGCGATAGTCAAACTTCCGACAGAGACGCCGTTCAGCCTTGTGGTCGACGACTCGGGTCACCTCTTCCATCACACCCGGGACCGAGCCATAGTTTTTCAACGTGTTGGGCTCCTCGATAGTGGCCATGGTTTCTGTTTTCTTCGCTGTGCCATCAGGCGACGATGCGCGTGCTGGGCTCGACATACTGTATCCAAGGTGTTATAGACGAAGAAGCGTAGAAAGGCCAAGTCAGCGCACCGCCTGTCAGTTATAAAGGTCCAGAATCCAAGCTTCTTATCAAAGGAGAGGTGGCATCCCTTGTTCTCTCTGAGATAGGAAGACTTCGGGAATGTTGCACCCACGCATAAAGGACACCCCCACGTTTCTCCGCATCATGGAAGCTTTAGCTGAACAGGCAAAGATCGCCTGAGATAGTCGCATTTAGGCCGTTGGGGTGCTTATAGTCTTATCTGCGGGGGAAAATGTAAGTACATCCCGCGAGCTTGATTTGAATTCTATACCGATAAGTTTATGTTCGTATCGCCGATAAAGTATGCCCCTTTCTCTCCCTTGCTATCCTACGAAGATCCGTATCTCACCGATTTATTCCCGTTTCTCAATCTCCTAGACATTTCTTCGCATAAGAGATATCCCAATTCCGGTGTATCAGGTACAGTTACATCCGTCGCATGACCTCACCACATCGAGCCACGCTTTTGGAATAAGACAGCGAATTGGAGTAGAAAATACTCCAAAAAAAAACGTTATTCTTGATCAGGGACCTAAACTTTATTAAAACTTCCATGGCTTTCTCGGAGGCAACATTAGCATATTCCCGGAAACGGGACGGCGTAATTATCCTAGCATAGCCAATTATATATTGAGAGCCAATTCGAATCACTTCCTGATTACTCTTAAGTTAAGCAATTGGAACTGTGTGGCGCATTCCAAGTCTCATGCAGGGCCTTGCACGTGAATGTTATCGCAGCCTTGGCGGGGATAGTCAGGACAGATAACAGGTACAACTTGTACGGAGTACTTCTACATCGACTGTCCACTTGAAACATTTAGTTATTCTTCAGGATACTGACATTACCTAATTTATCCAAGATCCCGGTAAGAAAGCTGAGAAAGAAGCTGCATTTAACCACTCCCCCGCAATCTGTCTTTGCGGAGATACAGCGGGGAAATAGAGGAGTCAATGTCGAAAAGAATGTACCCACATTATCCGGACAAAATCTTTTGATGATTCATTATAAGGTGAGATTAAGGTTGTATTTGAAATCTAGGAAAAGGTGACCCTTGTACCAGTTGACTACCTACCACCGACTATGTTTCAACTCATATATATATTTATAATCTCCCTGCGTGCTCACTTAGTATCTTCCTACCCTTTACTAGCCCGAGGAAACCATGATGGCAAGAATTTCCACTGGGTGAATATATGGACTGCTATGCCGCAGTTGGTCGAGCCCACTAATCTACCTCCTGTTCCATTTGTACGTTGGATATTCATCATGGTAATGGGATCAAGTAAGGCAAGGTCTCTATACTGATAGTGGCGTGCAGAATGGATCCACCGCTGTATTCAATAATACTACCATTCGCCAAACCCTCCAGGTTTCATTAGCAGCACAGGAAATCCGTATTCGTCTCTCTAATGTATTCGGGCCAAACGATCTCAAGATTTCCAATGCGACTATCAGCCTACCTGCAAGACACCAGGTGGGAATCAGAGCTCTACAGACAGATACATTGAAGACCGTGTTCTTCGATGGAAGCCCAGATGTGGATATCCCGAACGGTGGGCTCGTTGTGTCTGACCCAATAAAGTTCCCTGTCGAGGCCCAATCGGCTCTCATGGTCAACATATATCTCGCAGAGGGACAGCAAGGCTTCTCCATTACTGGCCACCCTGGAAGTAGAACGACCTCATACCTGGCTTTGGGGGACTGGACTAGCGCAGAGAACCTCACAGACTCATCTGTTCAAAGCACAGATCATTGGTGAGTCTTTATCCCGCAAACCTTACAATTATCCCAGATCCGAATCTGTATCTGACCTCTATCGGATGGTAGGTACTTTATCAGTGGAGTGGAGGCTTGTCTACCCTTTGAGTCTAGTGGCTTCGTGATCATCGGTGACAGTATCACCGATGGGCGAGGAAGCACTACAAATGGCAATGATCGGTGAGTGGACTGTTCCACGGTCTATTCTTATGGCTTATGGATTTAAGTTGGCCGGATCTATTGCTGGCAAGAATGCAAAAACATAAACCCACGTCAAATATCGCCATTCTCAACCAGGCCGCCGGTGGCAATCGTATCATACAAGATGGTCTAGGTCCAAACGTGATCAGCCGTCTTGACCGGGACGTCCTAGCACAATCTGGAGTGCAATATGCGATGATCTTCGAAGGCGTCAATGATATTGGCGTAGCTGATAGTGATGCAGCTACGCAGGCGGATATCGAGAAGAAACTTGTTGCGGCATATAAACAGATCGTGACACGGGTTCATGCACTAGGGATTCCGGTATTTGGTGCTACTATTACGCCATTCGGCTCGTCGAGGAGCTCCGAGTATGTACAGCTTTACTCAAGTGCTGAGCGGGAGAGGACTCGTCAACGAATCAATAAATTCATCCGGGAAAGTGGCATATTCTATGCGGTACTAGACTTTGACCAGGTGTTGAGGGATCCGTACGCGCCATCTCAGTTGCTGGAAAAATATGATTCAGGAGACCATCTTCATCCTAATGTGGCTGGATATCAAGCATTGGCAGATTTTTTCCCTCTCAGGGTATTTGAATGAAATTCACATAGTTATTCTCGAATAGTGGGACAAAAGCAATCTCGAGACTATTGTCCACATATGCAAATATAGGTATATAGTTTTCGGACCAACAGATGAAAGGTTCAAACTTTTCGCTCGAAAAACAGAGTTTCTTTAAACACGACGTCTGAAGTTGTCTTGAAGGTTGCGCTTTCTGTAAGCGCCGCCACCGACAAGAGCCTGCTTGCGGCCAGGGCCAAAGTCCGGAACACCGCCGAGAGAACCGAAGATATCACCGACGTAGTTATTTGCCTTGATACCAGCCGCGAAAGTAGTATTCCACCCGTCCAGAATACCCTCGACAACCTTGATACCAGCAACATAGAGGTTCTTAATAGCAGGCTCAAATGCGCCCTGCGCTGACGACTGGAAGAGGTTATAGGTCGCCGAAGAACCGGGATAGGGGCGATCAAAGTCCGACGCAGTGCGCATCACGATAATGCGAGAGAAATCGGTCAGCTTGTGCATCGAGGATCGGAGCAAGACTTCGAATGTAGCGTTATCCTCCTGCGCGGTTGTGCAATAGTCGCCCGTTCCATTAGTCAACACCTTGGTGGTATTCTCGAACACCGATCCGAGGATATTGCCGCTGAAGTACACATCGGAGGTCGCGACATCACATTCAACAACACTAGGAGATAGGGTGGCAGCCTTGTACTTCCCACTAGGGGTCTTGTAGTGGGAGCGGTATGCCTGAGCAGTGGCAGAGTCGGAGAGGTTTGCCGTGCGCGCAAAATTAGCGGCAATTGTGCGTAGGTCAGCGTTCACCTCGAAGACCTCTGTACCGTAGATGCTGGTCGGATACTGGCCTGGGAATTCGGTACCTTGCGCAACATACCCGGTGGAAAAGTTGCTAGGAAGTTCGCGGATATCAATTTCATACTGCAGCGCGACCTGGACTGCGTACCGAGCAAAGGCTGCGGATCCAGTGGTAGCTCTCTTAGGATTGACGCCAGCAATGCCCGCGACAAAGAAGTAGGTTTGCGTGAGATCAAAGAGAGGGGAGAAAGCAACAGATGTGACAGTCGCAGCAGCATTGATCTCGCCTTCTCCCGTGATGAGTTGGCAAACATCATAGTCCTCGGTACAGAAGACGTCCGGGAACAGTGGTGAGAGACCGGGAATGGTGATATTGTGGGAAAGCAGGTCGAATTCGGGGATGTTCCACCAAGCTTCAGCTTCAGGTGCAAACTGTCGTAATCTATTAGCGACATTGCATTTATTTTGGTGGAAGCGCATACCATTGACACGATAAACACCTTCGGGGCAATTGCTCCACGGTGACCCTGCTGGGCGGTCCCAGTAGCTCCGGCGCATAATGAGCTGCCAGCGAGCAGAAATGAGGCCGTCAGAGTCTGAAGAAGGTGCATGGTGAGGGGAGTTGAAGATGGAACTCTGTTCTTGAACAAGCCGAGGCCTTTTATTTGTAGCTCCGTAGAGCTGTGAAGATTTGGTACGGAATAGCCCTTGCGTCTTTCGCGCTAAGGATGGAACATTGCCGATCAGTGGACATATTGGTACCTGATTCGGAGAAGATCCGCACCGAAACGTGGAGCAGCTTGCCCCAAAAACGCCGGAGATTCTCCTATCGCCCTTTCTGACAGAATTCTATTCGTCCGAGGTAGATGGAGAACACAAGCCATTGATACCTGGTTTTTGACTGGCCCTTTGAAGTTGAATGTGGGTCGACAGTGATAGGGTTTCACCTATTATTTTGATGACTGTTGCTTTTCAAGCATCGGAGCTTGCCGGTGAACGTTGGAAGAGATTCAGAAAAAGAACGAGCTCGATGGTTTCACAGTTCTTTAAGATCCTTGTTGTGGAGCGTTGCCGAGGGATACTTGGTACTCGCGTTGTACCAGTTGACCCGAATGACTGCTCATTGTCATTCTGCTCGAAATATCGTGTCTATCGAACTCAAAATCTATGCCGTATCCGGGATCCATCTGGTCGAAGGCCTGCCTGCTCCGTGTTAGACGATGAAAGGAAACTGAATGGAGGATGAGCTTACCTTTCCGGAGACTTGTTTACTACGAAATACATTTCACAAAAAATAGAACACTCGTAGATCAGGCGAATAAGGAGCATTAGATAGATGAAACGCAAGCCAATTCCCTGAAGTATAAGTCCACAGAGGGTACATGACCAATTGCAATCAATTTGAACAAATCGTAGTGAACTACCTGCTGCTCAATCATTCAGACTTCCACCACCATTTCATGACATCGCCAAACACCCTTGCTCGTACGAGCCACATGATGATTGAAGGAAATGTCGAGGACAGAAGACCACAAGCAATCGTGTGCAAATTGCGGTTATACCTGAAAGCCAGCATAAGAAAATGAAGTCAAAGTCAACTTTCCCGAGTCCGATACGACCTCAATATCCTCCGCATCTTGATTCGGGTAGATTAGGGCCGACAACGCTGCAACACCACCGTTCACAAACGTCTCAACCGAGTTCCAATCGACGTAAATTGTAAGCTGGACCGTGTCCCCACCTGCAGGATTTGTCGCAGTCCGTGTCACGTCCCAAGTCTGTTTGGCATCCGATGTCAAAACATCCGAAGCGGAGCCGTCAGAGTCCCTAACCAGGAAGAGCTGGGAATTGGCGAAGTCGTAACCAACTGTTGTGTTGTAGGTTCCATCGGACTTGATCCGGAAGTAAACCGTGTTGCCATCATCACCATCGGCCTTAGACACCGTTGCTTGAATAACATATGCACCCCCAGCGAGATCAGCAGGAAGCGATGCCGTTGCCGGGTCTGTTGTTATTTCAGTCCCATCAGCGGAGACAGGGCCAGCAAATAAGTCTGCATAGCCTGAGACTGGAAGGCTGACTAACATGGGAGTCCCATTGATTGTCTGATACTTGATCTCCCGCGCTAAACTTTGCTGGCCCTCGAAGTCTCCGTAGTAGGGCAGATAGGAAGCATAATTCCAGCTATTCATCCAGCCAATAGCATAGCGGCTTCCAAATTTGTCGTCTGGATTTTCCCAGCTGACAGTGGCGTAGAAGTCCGGACCTTCATCTAACCACTGTGGAACGCTGGTCGTGGGTGTAAAATTGGTGCCATCCCATGTTCCAGACCAATAGGCGGTACCTGTTGTCTTTCCATAATTGTACCCATTCGCACCGACAGCGAGGACCCAGCCACGTGCCGCTGCGTCGCCGTCAAGGTTGAGCTGGAATAAATCTGGGCACTCAAGAGTACCCAAGTCGACACCAGAGGCCACTGGAGAAAAGGTCGAGACGAATGTCCAAGTCTTGAGGTCCACTGATGTATAGAAACCAATATAGGTTCCTTCTGCCATCACAGTAACCCACTGTTCTGTGTCGTCGTCCCAGAAGATTTTGGGATCTCGAAAGGCTGGTTTATTGTCTGCGTCCGGGTTGGGCATCACGGGATTTCCCTCGAATGAAGTAAACGTGTATCCCATGTCGGTGGAATAAAATAGCGACTGCTGCTGAACACCGTCTCCCATCTGAGTAAGGATAGCAACAACAGCATTCTCACCGAAGCCGGCCGTGTTGTTCACATCAACCACAGAGCTTCCAGTTTCAATGTCGCCTAGATCCACGTCGCTGACAGAGTTGGGTTGATACTTCTGAATAGCCACACCCTGATGAGTCCATTGCACCATATCGGGGCTTGTCATATGGTACCATTCTGTCCCACCCGTGCCGGGGTCGGAGCTTATCCAATCGGAATTCCAGAGGTAATAGAGATGCCATTCATCCCCCACGTAAATTGGGCGTTGGGGGTCATTCATCCATTTTGTTTCCGGTGTGATGTGGTAGCTTGGTCGCGTCTGGCCGGAGGCGGAAGGAACCATTGCGGCTAGCAGTATAGATGATGCTAGAAAAAGGCGAGGCAGCAGCCTCTTCGCTGCAGTGGGAGAACTCATTGCGATATGAGCAAAAAAAAGGTTATTGAAAGGAAGATCTATTGGCCGGAATGCCAAAGATGACCTAGATAGAAGTTTAGGAACATTCTTGAAGATATATATACTATCCCTACTATCCTCCTGTCCTTAGGAATGATATCTCCTTGCATAAAACAAATGCCTGAACGATCATTCCATTGCAGGAGACTAGTGGATTCAGTGAAGTCAGGTGGAGTCGAGTGGAGTCAAACCGCCCGTCCCGCACGAGTTTATCGGAATTTCGCTCAGCCCTTTTTGTATTTGACATTGGCTTCTTCGAAAGAGTTTGTGGTTGTGCCGTGGTATACGCCACGTGGTATACAATTGAGTTGTGCCGAGGCTGGATTATATGAAGTCTGCTTATACGAAGTACTATTTCTCAAACTCCGTAGTACTACCACTGAAACACCCTAGTGTCCCATATTGTCGGAGGATAGCTGAACTTGGTCTAACCAAATACATAGTCGTATTCCGCATCACTCCGACCTATTCCCCCCTGCTCATGCAATCCTGCCAAAACCAGCCACTGGGTCCACTACAATATACGAACTCGCAGTAAAAAAGAATATCTGAATTCAGCAACTAGACACATGTGAAAGTACTGAACCCCGCAGCTGTGACCAAAGGGGCCAACATCTCATCCCGCAGGTAATTTACGCACCCGTGATCCATTTCATCACATGGAAGTTTCAACCTATCATTATTATATGGAAGAAGAATCCGGTCTGGGGTTGGGGAGATCCGTGGACGAGCGAAGACATTGGTTACGACTCAAACTCAAACGCCATAAGGCGCACTCTTGAAGCCTCGATCTCTACTCTAGTGCTTTAGTATTTGTGCTTTCACTATATAAAGGATCCGCTAATAATATGCCGATTGGTTCTGGAACAAACAACCACAAAGTTAGTTCTCCGCCAAGACTGCCAGTGCAATATATCGCTCTACACTATGTTGTATATTTCATTTGGCGCCAGGGGCTCTGAGTTCACAAAAAATGCTCTGATGCTTGCGGTATAAACTCATATGGTTCTTGCCAAGTAGCCCCTGAAATACACCGTATGACCCATGGGCTCAAGTGGACACTTGGTGTTTGACAGATTCTCATAATGTATGTTGTAGTATAGCATTCTTTACTACCGGTGTTTATCACGACTCATAGCCACAGTTATATCTATGTGCATTTAGTGCCTTCTTTCTCATCTCGGCCATGTTGCGGTATAGAGCCAGCGAATGGGCCCTGCTCGTTCTCGTTCCTAAGAAGACATAAGCGATCCAGCTAGTCCCCACCGTGGTCGACACGACAGGTCCCGGCGCCGGATAAATCTCGGCTCTGGTGACATGAGGTAGCATTTTAGGCAGTACTCCGTACTTTGAAAAGAGATCCTCGCCCACGCGACACTGCCCTACCCGACACTGCCCTATCAGTGGAGACGCCCGACACAAAGCCCAGCTTGCCAAGTGGAGATCGTCGACCTGTTCTGGAGCTAGCGTTTGAGATTTGAACCGTCTCGGAAAATTGTCGGAAAGCGTGGCGCCGCTGGCGTCGGCAAAGCGGGGAAAGTTGTCTACGTACCTAGAGGAAGAGGATTTGGCCCTCCCACATGACGAAGTTTGCGTCAACCTCGGGCCTGTCGATGTACCCTGCTATACCAGGTTCTCCTTCTCCTCACTCAGCATACGCATCGCCGCGCCTATGCTGGTGTCATCAATGACTCTTTTTCGACACCTTTAGTGTTCATGCCCTGACACAGCTTAACAACTAGCGGGCACTGGAGTGCTTAGAGAGTCTCAGCACAAACACGATTGTCGAGGGTCTTCTCTTTCTAAGGCGACAGCTTGAATAAGGTTTCTTAAGCAAACTCGCACATCCTGCTTTATGGCCCCGGTCGGAGCGTTCAGCAGGTCAGCAAGCGCGGTGGCCACAAACCTCTTCACCAAGGGAGCCTCAGTGCAGCTCGAGCAAAGGCTCTCTGGGTAGGTGGCTGGGACAGGAATAATTCGGCTCCAACTAGACTGCGAAATGACGCTATCGACATACTTGGGGTGCTGCATTCGAATCAGGAGAATGTCCCGGCTGGATACGTATAATCGTCTCATCTCGATATCGGCCTCAACCTTCGTCGACCAAAACGGGTGACATAGCTATGCGTGGCACAATCGCGTTAGGGCCGTTCCAGAGATGTTGAGCGATTCATCGGGGTTTGTAGTGAGAGACGGGCTAAGCCGCAGATTGACGCAGTGATAATAGACCAGAGCATGCCCTCGGCGCAGGCATTATCCTCCCTAGGGATAGATAGATAGTGGAATCTATCACATCTCTTTTTTCTTTTGCTTTTTGCTTTTTGTTCTTTTTTTGGTTTTTTACGCCTCTCCTCCTAGGTCCACGACCACATCTCTGATGAATGGAAAACATGGAGTCGGTCCAAATTCTGACCATATCCTCCTCAATATCCTCCCTCCAGGGTACAGCACTAAGCCCGATCATGGGCTCATCAGGTGAATGACTATATATGACTTTGGCTGATGGGAACTCCATCCGACGCCGTTCAACTCATCCCCCGTTTCCGGTGACTAGCGCAAGATCCCTCCTGCTTTTTAGCGCCATTCCGTGATTTATCATTAATTGGCGTGCCTGTCTAGTAATTTCCCCCGCGCATTGGTCCTTTGATTGCTCAGCAGCACCGTGTTGTGCTGCTCGCACGCCCGCGTCTTATTACTTTCGAATGTGCCTCCGTTGTCCGTTGCTAACTTCGTCTTGCCTTGATTCTCATTGCAAGCTATTGGCTAGAACATTTGCAGTAGTCGACTCATTGTCGGACCCATTGGCTCGGGCAAGTCTACACTTTGCAAGGCGATACTCGGAGAGATTCCTTTTCACCAGGGTGAAATAACGCTGCGCACAAGGGCTTTGTACGTCGGATTTTGCGATCAAACTACCTTTCTATTAATGGAACTACCAAGGAAAACATTATAGGCCTCTCTTCGGTAAACGAGGACCGATATGCTGAGGTAGTTGAGGCAACAGCTCTCGCCTTTGACTTTAAAACCCTACCACAAGGAGATGAGACAAACGTGGGTTCCGATGGTATATCCCTATCCGGAGGCCAGAGGCAGCGAATTTCCCTAGCACGCGCCCTATACCTACAAGCCAACTTACTTATTCTCGACGACGTCTTTAGCGGCTTGGATGCGGACACCGAAGAACAAGACTTCCGCAAAGTCTTTTCACCTGAAGAACTGTTGAAACGCCGTCAAGCCACCGTTTTGCTCTACACACACAGCGTTCGGCACCTACAGGCGGAAGACTACGTCATTACCCTTGGAAATGGTAGCGTTAGTGAGCAAGGCACATTTGACGCACTGATAGCTGGTGATGGCTACGTCCACCGTCTGGGGTTGAATGGCTTGTCCGAAAGCGAGACAACGTCTGAGGAATTGATCATCGAAAACAATGTACAAGAATATTTGTCGCCAGTGGATAAGATAAAACGGGCCAAGCTTGCCGTTGCCCCCAATTTGGATGCGTCCCGGCAAGTTGGAGATGGCACTGTCTACAAGCAGTACATGAAGAGCATGGGATGGCTGCTCGCAGGGTCTGCAGTTTTCTTTGCTTTTCTCAGGGGCTTCTTCTTACATTTCTCCACCATCTGTAAGTACTACACGTCTTTGAATACGGAATTTATTCTAGAGAGGGGTTCTTGGAAGCTAACCGTACAGGGCTCACGTACTGGGTCGAGGACGCACAATCGCAACGCCCAAAACACCATTCCGCTTACTGGGCCGGAATATTCGCGCTGTTTCAGATCGGTGTCTTGATCTCGCTCTTCCTACTTGGCGCTCCCATTTGGATTGTCTCTATCAAACGCGCTGGCGCAAACCTACACATGGATATCTTGAATACGCTGGTCTGAGCACCACTCAGTTTCTCCACTAAAACTGAAATTGGTGTCACAACAAACTTGTTTTCGCAAGATTTGAATCTCATTGACACGGAGCTGCCGGATGCTACGGTCAGCACGCTTTTTTCGGTAGGCCACCGCATAACGAACCATTCAGGAGACCTGAGTCCAACAGCTAACATATGGATAGATCACCCAAGTTGTCGGGCAAATGGCTGTTATGCTGACGGTGTCTCCCTACTTGGCCATCACTTTACCCTTCCTCGCCGCCCTGCTGTACGTGCTACAAAAGTTTTACCTGCGCACTTCAAGGCAACTTCGATTGCTCGATCTGGAAGCCAAGAGCCCACTATAGTAAGTGAATTAGAGAATATCGTCATGTATCTTCACTGCCGTTACTGACACACGTTTAGCACGCACTTTCTTGATACTGTTAGAGGCATCACAACTTTGCGGGCATTCGGTAGGTACCAGTTACCCAACTTCCTGCTTGTCCGTTTGATTTACGGTCTCTAATCCAACGCACATAGGCTTTGTCCGCGAAGATATCCAAAAGAATGCCTGTTTTCTCACCTCGAGCCAGCGACCTTCGTATCTCCTTCTCATGATACAGGAATGGCTGAATGTCGTACTCGATGTGGTAGTCATGCTGTTGGCAGTAGGGTTGACAACGGTTGCCGTGCGCTTCCATTCCAACTCTGCTCTCACTGGTGCTGCTCTATACAGTCTTTTGAGCTTTGGAGAGAACCTCGCTGGTATTGTTCTGTTTTGGACTAAGCTTGAAAGCTCGCTTGGCGCGATTGCCAGACTTAAGATATTCAACGAGACGACCAAGCCTGAAGACACAGATGGAGAGGACATTGACGTACCCGAACAGTGGCCTCAGCGCAGCGTGGTGGAATTAAAGGGCGTTTCGGAAAAATATGCGTAAGAATTACAAACCACTTACCATAACCTTGGAAGATGCACCACTGACTTATTATTAGCGCCAAAGATCAGGACGACGGGAAAACGAGCCTTACTCTCCCCGATATTCAGCTAATTATTGGCTCTGGAGAAAAGATTGCTATTTGTGGTCGTACTGGCAGCGGCAAATCCAGCCTCGTTGCTCTACTTCTCAAGCTCCTCGATCCAATATCCACCACGACGGAGAATATTACAATTGATGACCTGCCGCTTCATCGGCTGAACCGATCCGTGCTACGCCAATGTATCATTGCAGTTCCTCAAGAATCCGTCTTCTTGCCCGATGGGTCTACGGTTCAGAACAACCTTGACATTGCCGAGGAGGCCACCCCCGAGGAGTGCAAGGCCGTTCTTGAATCCATCGGCTTATGGGACTTTGTCAAGGAACGAGGCGGCTTGGCCACAAGGATGAATGTCTCGAGATTTAGCGCTGGACAGCGGCAGCTGCTCTCGTTTGGCCGAGCCCTTCTCAGGCGCTCCGTTCGAGAGCGCAAGTTTGGGGCCACTGGGCAACTGGGCGGCATCCTCATTCTGGACGAACTGAGCTCAAGCGTGGATCAAGAGACGGAACGCATCATTCAGGGCAATATTAGAACTGAGTTCAGAGACTACACGGTGATTATGGTTAGCCATCGATTGGATATGGTTATGGACTTTGACAGGGTGGTGGTTATGGATACCGGCGCGATTGTGGAGGTGGGCAAGCCAGCCGTGTTGGTGCAACAGGCTGGAACCAGGTTTGGTGATCTGGTAAGAGCAGGAAACAAGTAGATTGAATGGTGTTAGTGCAATATTCAGATGAGGATGTCGAGATAGGAATATGGCCCCCCTAGGCCTTAAACGGAACCTTGGTTTTTGTTATATTATATATAATACGATGGTCCGAGTGATCAGAGCGCATCAGTTATAGTGAATGTGACTATGTATGTAGCCTAAGCGTATCAATATTTACTCTGAGGGCCTCTAAGCACCCAATGAAACTGCTTAAAAAGGAAATCCGGTACAGGTACATGCGTAACGTGTCTGTGTCCAAATGTCGCATATAACAATAGCGGGAAGGCCAGTTGTGGATGCGCTGATGCTGGGGCTTTCAAGCCACCGTGACTACATACATTTAAACGTGGAGCATGACGCATGTCAAGCATGCCTACTTAGGTACTTAGAATCGAAATCCCAATAGGATATAATGCTGATCCCCGCAGATTAGATTGTTTGGTTCTCAACGTCATCTGACGTCATTTTTTAATATAGGTACCAGTGGATGGCAAAGCAATAAAATCAAGGCCAGGCACGCTCACAGTCGTGGATTACTTTTTGTTTCGAGCTCTTCTTTCCTGATAAGAGCACCCAGTTCGGATCCGCACCGCAATACAGTCCCAACAGCGTCTCTCCTCGATATACCACCAGCCAAAAAACTACGCAACTCATATCTACATACCCACCATGCCTTCAATGCACGAACGTATTCGCGAGGACCTCCTCAACAAAGAGCGTGCGCTCTGGACAGCTCTCACATCCGCTGATCCAGCACCAGCCATCTGGAAACTCAGCAACCCCGAAGCCTGTTTTCTATTCCCTCAGATGAATATCATCACGCTTGAGGACGAGGACGCTTTCAAGAAAGCCGTCCGACCACCCTTTCATCGATTTGACGCCTATCAGTTCGAGGAGGTACGAGTCATAATCGTCGACCTGATGGCCGGTGTGGTCACATACAAGGTGCGCGCTATGCGCGGGAAGAAAGAATATACTGCCTCGGGCTCGACAACCTGGAGTCAAGGTTCCGATGGCGAGTGGACGCTGGCTTGTCACCAGGAAACTTTGATGTGAGAGGATTGTTTGTGTCGTTGTTTTTGTATACACCCGGTTTCTTCTATACCTTTTGCGATGCGGATTGGGGAAGGGAATATGATCTTGACGAGCGGCGAACGTCTGTTTTAAGTGATATGATGCAATGTATCACGAGTCAACGAATATTTTAATGCCATGATACATGATCAATTTTATGTGAAGTCCTAGGACAGTTTTCTAGTAGATAAATGGGGGTTTAAGTGTTGGAGTGGTCAACTAACTAGCATGATGATCTCTAGTGTAAATAGACTGCGATCTACACTCAAAACTGTCGGTAGTCAGACTGTTCCTATTTAATGACAGTAATTGCAAATTTATTGCGATCGATGCATATTGTATTGATGTTTTCCTCTGTGGCTGATGTATCACGTAGCTCAGCCGTGGCGCAGTTTCTAAAGCACCGACTCTCCTTTCTCTACCGACAGATTTTCACAAGCCAGGGGTAGTCATCAATGATCAAGCCCGTCAGGCAAGAAACGACCCATGACACTATGAGAGCCGCATCAAACAACAAGAATCACGAGCATTTCAATGGCGATCATTCACTTATTTCACCGTAGGATCTCCCGAATGCAACAAAAACAAGGCCTATCATGACCCGGTTCATGAATATATGTCTGTATGAATCGTTTCAATTCTTCCGATCGTGCTGGATCATCGATTGCGACTTAACGTCTGGTTCACCCAGCGCATAAGCACGGCGCTACTATCTAGACCGCACTCGTCATGGTCCTGGCAAGTCCTCTGATAGGGTCTCATGAGTCATGCTGTTTGTGCGGGCGCGAAACGTGCCTGGCTATCATTTGGCCTTGCGGGCGCATGTCTGGCTCTTTGAAACTCACTATGACAACTTCATGTAACTGGCGGCTAACAGTCCACAGATGACATTGCCAGGCGATTAGTGTCAAAATGTAGTGTTCACTCTCTTCACCGGTCGCTTGGGACATTCTGTTGCCAGCATTGATTGACAGGTAGTAGTCCTCCGTACTCTAGCGGACAACGTTTCTGCCGATGAGTTGGGCAAAATGTACGGCTTCGTGATGATTCTCATTGGCATAGGAACATCGGGCCACCTGCACAGCTGGCATTCTGTTCGATGTAGGCGGGTATTGTGTGGCGTGGTCGAGAGTGCTTTTCGGGTTGGATATGATCCTGCGATGCCAGATGCTAGAGCGGTCTACACATACCAGTGAACATTTACGGAGCGGGATGGGCAGGATTCAGAGAAGGAAGAATTTTCGACACCATCGCCTGACGCAGATCCACAGGTACATAAACAGTCAGGCTGTATCGGAAAAACGGGTATAAAATTCCATCTATGCCAATGTAGCAACTGTCACTTCGTTAGTGATGTCGTTGGTTATTTCTGCTACACCATTCGAACCGCTAGCTTCGGCACGATCCTTCTGCATGTCCGCGATGTGTTGTACATTGCATTTGGAAGCCCCAGCCTCCCCGCTGGTTTGTTGTTTGCCGCTTTCCAGGGCCAGGGCCCCGCGGTATTCTGTCGGGTGGCTGAAGGATCAGGTGGGGACTCGATACCCGATCACGATCGCTTTTGCTGTTTTAGGATGTATCTTTAAGATGGTAACCGGTGTTCCTGGGGAGGAAGAAGTTCTCTAGGCTCGCCAAGAAAAGATTGTTTCGAGCATATGGCATAGCTATCACGTGCATCGGGTTTGTGATATGCTTCCTCAACGAGGTCCACGATGAGTTTCTTTTTTTCCGACTACCACGTTGGGTAATGAATCATAACGGATTTGCAGCCGTTGACGAAGATACGATGGATCCCCTTCTTAGTCTCGTTAGCTAGAGTATCTTAGATGGAAGGGGATAATGTCGGAATATTAGATCCGAATGGCGATTCTTCGGAAGTAATGTCTCTAGTATCAGTGGGACGCTGTGGATGTTTTGTTCGGCCGATTCTAATAGTCTCTCGAGTACGGAGTACTCCGTATGGCACGGAGAAAATCGGATATCACAGGATAAATTGCGTATTGGCTTCGTATCCCCTGTCTAACTTCTTCATGTCTCACGCTAACGGGCCTAGCGGGGATATGCGGACCATATTCCCTCACCGCATTCCATTTAAAATTGTCTGCCCGAACGCGTCAGAGGCATCACACGCCTCTGGTGGAGTTTCGACGTGAGAACCAAAGAATGGGCCATGTATAAGACTATTGCCCAAGTTTCAGCAGTTCGTATCTCGGTTAGAGAAAAGTAAACAAAGAAAAAGACTAAAAAGACCGAAAAGGGAAAAACTCAAAATATCGACAGGCCAGATTTCCTAAGCTTAGCGCAACAAAAGGACCGAAAGAGGGCCGATATGCACAGAAGCTTAAATGGGGCCATTATGAAATTGAGGCATCACAACAAAGATAACCCCAGACTCAAAAGTCGAAAAAAAGTTGGACGTTGGAAAGTGGAACTGGGATGTGTAAATCTAAATAACTGGGGCGAGTGGCCTTCCACCGGTCTTCTAGTCGTTCGCCAGGCCAATGAAGACGAGGTTAGGGAAGATACACTCCGCCTTGATCAATCCCGTGTGTAATCCAAATACTGTAACATGGATTTCTGCACTCGGGCGACCGGAAATTGGTTTTTCCATGAAAAATCGTGGGGTTGTCTCCTACTTGGTAGGCTGCGTCCCGGTGCAGAATTTTCATTACGGTATTCATTGAAAAAGTCGCGTATTTTATCTGCGGATGATCTGCCCTAAATACCTACGGGATTTGTGTCTCCCGGACGTATCCTAAGGCTAAGACAAAAGGGACAAACGGTGCTGTCAATTATTTCTCCGTCCAGCGGGCCCCTGCCGTTCTTAGTTTCCCCCGAGCTCCTTTCCCATTTGATTCAAGACTCATATTTCCTTTGATTAAACATCCCACGGACCTTCTAGTATTCCCCCAGACTCAGCGCCACTCGCCAATGCCTACCCAGAGTCATAAAACAGGCGCAGTGAGATGTGAGGTATACACTCGGATTTCTGATAACCATGGTTGTGACGTGAAACCTTACCTCGGAATCCACGGATTGGCAAGCCGAAGGATCCGGGGCAAAATCTTTAGAGGCTTCTAGCCTGCCCGTTAGTTTTTTTAGGTGCATAGTCTATACTCATTCTGGATGCGAAAGCCGGAATCGTCAGTTGAAAAAAATTCTGCGATATAAGCTCATGCCAAGAGAAATTCCCTCACGGTACTTATCTCTCTGGGATCTTGACACACACACACCTCCCTACTCAATACAATGGAGCCAATTCGTCCCCCACAGAATATTGCCATTATCGGTGCTGGCATCGCTGGTATTGCCTGTGCATTAGCCATATCCCAGGAGCTTTCTCCTTTCGTACCGAATTTGAAAATCACTGTCTACGAACGGCATGATATACTATCGACGTCCGGCGGTGCCATCAATCTGACCCCCGTCGCCCAACGACATCTCGCTCGGTTAGGCGTGCTAGATGAGTTGGACCGGATGGGGACCGAGGGTGGTGCCGATGTCGATGCCATTGAGCTTTTCTCCATGCGTTCAGGTCGGGCGATCGGCTCCATCAAATTCACCGACAACCAAGGAAAGGGGTTCGGCGGATACAAGGGCCGAAGGGTCATGCGGATTGCTCTCTCCGTAGCCATGTTGACCGTGGTGGAGCGGGCTCCGAATGTGGAGATTGTATTCGGCAAGAAGGTGATCGATGGCGAGGAATTCGAGGATAGAGCCGTCGTACGATTCCAGGACGGCACCGAGGCGGTGGGGGATTTGATCATCGGCTGCGATGGCGTGCACTCGGCGGTCCGGACCCGGTTTGTGGACGTCGGCCGGTCTGCTGAGTACACGGGACTGTCATTCTTGCAAGCCACAATTGACTCGGATTCAATTTCATCGCCCGCTCACTTCCGCACATCATCGCTCAATATCTCGCGACATGGCTCAATGCTTGCCAGCTATTGTGACCGTGATTCCGAACAGATTTTCGTTGCTGCTATTGTTCAATTTAGTCGGGAAGCGCTCACCCGCTATCGACTGGAGCCCGGTCAGGATTGGGCCACTCAGAACAAAATCCGCTGCGCCCTCCGTGCGGAGGTAAGAGACCGTTTCGGCAAGTGTGCCATTCCCTGTATCAAAGAAATTATCGAGAGCAAAGCGGACTGGATGCTTTATCCCGTATATCAAGTTCGCCCCGGAGGACGTTGGTGCTTGAATCGAGTTATTTTGCTGGGCGACGCGGCACATGCGGTATGTCTTAATACAACCCCCCTGTTTGTTCTTCTCTAATGGATTCTACAGATGCCCCCGCGTGATGAATCGGCTGCGTATGCACTAGATGATGCGATCTTGTTCTCACGAATTCTGTCAACCTATCGTTCCGAGCCTCTGACGGAGGTTTTCGACGCATACGAGAAACTTCGTCGCAACACAATCAACCATGCATTCAAAGAATCCCGTCGTATGTGGGCACGAAACCGCGACATGGGGTTCTTAGAGGGAAAAGTAAAAGAATGGATGATGTCTTTCCATCTCAGATCCAACGAAAGTTCACGTGAGGCCGCATGGGAGTTCGACGCAACTAAGATTGCCCTTCCCACACCAGCACCCAGTGAAGACATAGTTTCATTGAGTTCATTTTTGAGAGACCGGACTCTATGAAAGAAGAAAATACACCAAAATATAGCATTTCACAGGACTGTGGCGGAGTTTAGGTTGGCCTGCATGGACGTGAGCGTGAATCATTAATGGATACCCGGCAATTAGCTTCCCAAATATTCAATAGTATACCTATTTCGATTTTTCTGCAGAACCCTTGTCTTTTATTTATGTCAATGCTTTTTTTGGGTTATCCCCATGGCTGGAGTCACTTAGATACACTCGGCTCTGGGACGGAACAGGCTCTACCTTGGTCCATCCCGATCTACCAACATAGTTTAAGTTGAAATTTCTTTTTTACCTTCCTCATTTATTCGCCTTGCTTCACTTACAGAATTTTTAAACCAATACCGGACAGATGGTGTAAACAGATATAGATCAGTCATTAGGTGGACTCCCTTGACAAGTTTCCCTTATTTTCTGGAGCTCACTATTGTGAATTGATTGAGAGCTATTCTGCTATAGAGGAAGATCTCGAATTGTGAAATCCGGTAGACTATGACACCTACGGAATATTATCGCAAGCAAAGAAGGTAGATATTTTCAAGAGACTAAACTGCAACGAAAGACAAAAAAAATACACACAAAATACACACAAATTGCGCTTCTGACAAAGCGATTCCCTATTTGCTACATAGTTTCTCCGATGTTCACTTAGAAGGTAAGTGTCTGACCAGCAGTGCCAACAACAGCAGCCTTGACCTTAGACGAGCCAAGCAGGCTGTAGCTGTAGGGAACCGACTTCAGGGTTCCAGCTGCGGCGGTGTTTTCTCCATCACCGAAGTCATTGCCATTGGCGACAGCATAACCAGAGTCGGTAGAGTAGAGGGGCTTCTTGCTATCAACAAAGGTGTTTGACTCAACTAGAAGCTGAGCGCCATCGCGGGTGTTGATGCCGTCGGCGACGTCCAGGTAGTAGTTGTTGTAGATGTGGCCAGTGCCGAAACGGAAGGAAGGACCACGCGAGTTAAGGTTATACCAGTAGTTGTTATTCAGGGAGACACGCAGATGACCGGTGTCCTCGGCGCTGTTGCTGTCCGAGTGTCCGATCAGGGAGGCCTTCCAGTGGTCGTGGACGAAGGTGTTGGACACAGTGATGAAGTCGGCAGCGTGGGTCAGCTTGTTCACATTAGCAATCTGTGAATTTTTCTGGTTCCACATATTGTGATTTGGACTTACATCGATGAGTCCGTCATAGTAGTCCTTGTCGTGATCCAAGTCGGACGAGACATCGCAGTGGTCAATCCACACATTGGTTGATTTTTCTAAGACCAGTCAGCCTTTCTCAATTTCCTAGAGAAATAAATATCCCGCAGCATAATGTACTCACGGACACCAATAGCGTCGCCGTTAGCGGCAAGCACCTTCTTCACACCTAGGTTGCGGATGATCACGTTGCTCTCTTCTTTGACCAGACTATATTGGGTAACAATTAGTATCATCTCGAATCCACGTTAAGAATCACAACATACAGGCCAAAGCTGGTCAAGACAGCTGTCGAGTCCTTGCCAAGGATGCTAGTATTGCTTCCAACACGAACTTGTTTGGCTACCTGCGTGATGGGGCCGCTCACAACGACAACCTTGGCAGAGTCGCCCGAAACTGCGGCTGTGAAGGCAGCATACGACGAGACAGTGGTAGTAGTGCCACCAGCACCACCCTTAGTACCTCCGTTCTGGCTGGCATAGCCGGGAGCGACCTAATTCGGAGTGACGTTAGAGTGTTGATCGTATGGTACCTGAGCGAATCGTGCATTGATACTCACATCATTGACACTTGCGCGCTTTCCCAGATTGCTGGTTGCAGTAGGAGCTCCCAGTGCAAGGCTGGACAAGCAGCCGAGCAGAGAAACTGCCATCAAGTTGAAAGGGGCCATCATGAATAGAAAAAGAAATCTTAAGGAATGAATAGGCGGACTGGGTCTCCAGTATGCTTTGCTGGAGTAAGTGAGTGTTGATATCAGAGCATTGAGAGTATATAACGATGACCGAAGGGGTTTATATATGTACCACCCGATAGCTCTACTAGGCTATAGGAGCTTCTGAAACACGTCACATCCACCACCATCCTGATCGTTGAAGAATTTCCCGTGCTGGATAATCTCTTCCAGTCCGGCCGAACCGAAGATTTACCGAGATGTATACGACGGCATTAATTCTCCGACGCGTGAAGTATCAGATTGATACTCCCAGGACCTCCTTTGTGAAAGCCAAGATCACATCATGTTTCCTCTAAGACACAAAGCTTGGCATGGATTGATCGAAGTCCTAAATCTAGAACGGACTTGAACCGTTTGGGGCCAAGTCCGGACAACCCGTGTACACCCTACTGGATGGAGCCCCTTCGAATGGAGAACAGTCGTCAGCGATGAGCTGTTTGTTGATTTATTCGCTGTGCCTCCTCACCGGAAGAATTCCACAAATGGTTTGAAACATCAGGAGTTCTTGCCAAGAGTTCCGGGGTTTCAACAGGATCTCCCGATCTTGGCATCAGAAGCGTCAAGGGGGAAGTTATATTTCCATCAATCGTCAATCGACGAGTTTCGGGGTATACGCCTTAATTCTTTTATTGGAGTTCAGAGTTGACCAGGGGAAATCAGCGCTAGGATTCTTTTGGGATGTTGGTGGAGGGTTCAACAATACGAGTAAATGGCGTGATCGCGTTGGTTAATGAAATCTTTGACAACCTCAACGTCCAGATCTTCAGATCTTCCACATATCCAACTTAGCCCAAATAAGCCCTGGGACTCTATAGACTATTTCTCATCCAAGTTATTCCCGGGGTTATCTGGTAAGTAACGGTCTCGCGGCTGAGTAATCGCTGTTCTTGGATTTGCGGGGAAAGCGAACTGCGATCAAAACCACCTCACTTGATCGCAATAGGCGGAATGACAGAGACATTTTCATCCGTGCCGATCGTCGACTTCGCTCGGTTAAACGATCCTTCAACGAAAGATGAGGAGCTGTCAAATTTGCGTCAAGCCATCTTCGTTGTTGGATTCCTATATTTGACCAACACAGGATTAGAGGTGCGAGCGATCAATGCGAGTGACCGAAATATGCTAATAATTGAGATAGAGCTTAATTAAACGTACCCATGAAAATCTACCCAAACTATTTGCCCTATCGGCCGAGGCCAAGGAGAAATGCAACATGATTAACTCGCCATCGTTTCTTGGCTATACTCGCCTCGGTGCCGAGACCACTGCAAAACAAACAGACCTCCGCGAGGTGAGACTATTTCTTTTCGGAACCTGGTGCAGTTCCCGGGCACTGATTTTCCGATTTTAGCAATTTGACTTCGGTACCCCTGGCGTGAGACCCTGGACAGAGCAGGACCCCTTTTGGCAACGGCTTGAAGGGCCTAATCAGGTAGGTCGCCCTCTTTGAACGCATGCCCTGACGACTCACTCTCAATAGTACCCAGATTATCCAGGCGTGCAAGATCTGGTCGAAGAATATATCGCGAAGACTGATAGCCTGGCACAGGCATTCGTGCGCCTCGTCGCAGAATGCTTGTCCCTGCCCCGGGAGACATTTGATGGCTTCAAGGGTAATATGAGCCGGCTAAAGTTTGTCAAATACCCACCCGCAGTGCAAAGCTCCCAGGGTGTTGGCCCTCACAAGGACTCGGCGGGTCTTTTCACATTTCTGTCCCAGGACAACACAGGAGGACTCCAGGTACTCAACAAGAACGGAGAATGGATTAACGTGCCTCCCATTGAGGGAAGTCTTGTCGTAAATATCCAACAGGGATTCGAAGCGATCACTGGAGGGATTTGCGCAGCCACAACACACCGGGTTATTGTATGTTCACAATACCATTCATCACTGGAGGACCTTTCTAACATCTTGCTATTCCTAGGCGCCCACTTCTCAGACGCGTTATAGCATCCCGTTCTTCCAGGGTGTGAGACTAGACTTGACGCTAAATCAGCTGAAGGAATCCGCTGCTCACATCGTGCAACGCATTCCAGCCTCTGACGACAAGAAGAAGCGAGCAGTTGATGTGCCTAGTGAATTCCTTTCTCCTTTGTATTCTTGCGTGAGTGGGTTTGTTCAAAGATTATACGGATGGGACTAACGGATCATAGTTCGGCGAGGCTCACTTGAGAAATCGCATCCTGAGCCATCCGGACGTGGGCCAACGGTGGTATTCAGAGTTGTATGCAAAGTATTCTCAGCAGGTCCTACAATAGTCTAGGGAATTGAACGTTGACAATCCCGACACGGTAAAACATTGAATTGGGGTTTCAACGTTAACCCTGACTTTGGGGAATTGCCATATCCTCGCCTACGGCTTTCTCTGCGTACAAAGTTCGTGTTGTATCGTAGTCCAGGCTGCTTTCAGTCAATGGAATTTAGCATTCTTATTTTTCTTCCTGGTTCTATTCCAAATCTACCAATTGAGGGCTGTCTATATGGTGGAAGTGAAGTATATGAACATGGGCTTCTATTCAAGCTTTACCACAGTATCACCTTTGCAAGAATTATGCCTAGACAAAGGCTATAATATCGTGTGAATCAAAATCCTGGTATACGTTTCTGCGCAAATTTGAAGCAAAATACAAAATAAGCCAATCTTTCGAAGCAATGTGCGAATTCTTACCGACTTCAGTTTTATCCTCGCTTTGTGTAACCGCGGGGTAAATCTTCGTGCCCAATTCTTCCACTTTCAAGTTCCAACCATGCCCGAAATGAATGCTACAGCACTCGACGCTCTCCGGAGCCGTTTAAAGACTGCGACTATCTATGCACCTGAATCAGAGGGTTACAAAGACGTTTTAGTCCGCTGGTCGAATACTGGAATGAAATATGCGGTACGGAAGGAACATAAAACATAACAAACAAGATGACCGACTGATAAGTTGCAGGGCGTTGTAATCCAACCCATTGACACGCTTGATATCTCGATCGCGCTGTCCTGGGCACAACAGTACGATGTTGATCTTGCTGTGAAAGGTGGAGGCCATTCAACGGCCGGCACAAGTTCGAGCGATGGTGGCCTGGTCATTGATCTGTCGCGCATGAACCAAGTGACGGTGGATACTGAGCGGAAGACCATCACCGCCCAGGGTGGAGCAACCTGGAAGGAAGTCGACGAAGCCGGTGCAGTCCACAGTCTGGCGGCCGTAGGGGGCACCGTAAATCACACCGGCGTTGGAGGACTTACTCTGGGAGGTGGCTATGGCTGGCTGAGCGGACAGTATGGTCTTACTATTGACAATCTCTTGTCAGCCACAGTCGTTTTAGCCGATGGTCGTATTGTTACTGCATCTGCGACCGAGAACGTCGACTTGTTTTGGGGGTTGCGAGGCGCAGGCTACAACTTTGGCGTCGTGGCAGACTTCACCTACCAGGCCTATGACCAGAAGGATCCAGTGTACTCCGGCCTTCTTGGATTCACTTCGGGTAAGCTCGAGGGAGTTATGGATGCACTGAACAATTCCCTGGCAAAACCCGACTCTCGCTTTGGTGCGATCTGTATCTTTGCCTTGGCACCAGATGGATCTGGGCCGATGATCATTGTAATTGGCTTCTACAACGGCCCACTCGAAGAAGGCCAAAAGAGATTCGCTAGCCTTACAGCTCTTGAGCCAGTTCTGAACACTCTTGACATGGTCCCATACTCCGTGGTGAATACTCTACAGAACCCCCAAGCGACCTATGGTGATCGAAAGTCTTTCAAGGGAATTTTCTACGAGCCGCCATTGGATCCTCACTTTGCGAGAGTGATATTCAATGATTTCATTGCCAAGATCCGGAGTGAACCAGATCTCAAGACGTCTGCCATCATTCTCGAATTTGTCGACATGCGCAAGATTTGTGAAGTGCCGCTGACTGGAACCGCGCTAGCAAGCCGAAATCCTACTCAGAATGGGATCATCTATTTAAGATGGACCGACTCATCCAAAGATCTAGAGCACCGCACTTGGGCACGAGAAGTTCAGTCCAAGTGGAAAGTGAAATTGGATGCCAGAACCAAAGACCAGGGTGTGGATTCGGGCGTGCCTCAGTACATCAACTATGCAGAACGTGAGTCTGATTGACATAACTTGTCCCTCAATATATACTAACATCGTACCCAGCTGGTGACTCGGTGGTAAGCAATATCTACGGCGAAAATCTTCAGAGACTGCAAGAGGTGAAAGCGAAGTACGACCCAAAGAACGTTTTCCACAAAATGCAACCAATTCCAATGGGCGCAGACTTGAAAAAGTGAAAAAAAACGCGGCTATTGGCTGGCCTAATCATTTCTGAGACATTTCCGAACAATCTCTGTATTATCTTTGGTATCTTTACCATCCTCTACGAGAGGACGCAAAGAGATGAGACTGCATAAGAATGGCATATATTGTAGGAATATACAGTTTTATATACAGCTAGGAGCGTCAAGAGAAACAACTTGAAACCTAGATAGTACATAAAACTCAAAGCCGTGGAAGAATGTGATACTTGACAGCCTTTACAGTAGTCCAACCCTCGAGAGCCTCTTCGCCCATGTCTCGACCAAATCCACTTTCCTTCACACCCCCAAATGGAACATTGGGACTGAGCATCGCCCACGCGTTGACAGTCACTTGACCTGAATCGAGTTCCTTGATCACACGATGGGCGCGATTAATATTGTTGGTAAAGATGGCAGCACTGAGGCCATGATGGGAATCATTGGCTTTGAAGATAACTTCCTCCTCCGTTATAAACTTGGCGATACTCTAATTTGTGCCTTGATTAGTATTCAAAGTGGCAGATTCTTGCATGGAAGCTTGCTTACCGCAACTGGACCAAAGATCTCCTCTCGCATGATTGTCGCATTATCACCAACGTCCACAAAAGCAGTGTTTTCAACGAAATATCCCCTGTCACCTATCTGCTCGCCACCAAACAGAAGCTTGGCTCCAGATTGCTTTCCTTGACGAATATAGTCAAGAATTTTCTCATGCTGCGCACGGCTAACAACTGGCCCCTTTGTAGTGGAAGCATCTAATGGATTACCGGCGACTGTCGGAGCATCAGCGGCGGCTTTTTTGAAAGCCTCGACAAATCGATCATAAATGGTGGCCTGAACGTAGATACGGGATCCAGCCGCACATATTTGGCCATTATTGGCTGTAATTCCAATACGAGTCCAGAGGAGTGCATTTGCAATATCGCAGTCGTCAAAGACAATAGACGGCCCTTTGCCACCGAGTTCCAGGCTGACCTTCTTTAGGTTAGTTCGCGATGCTGCTTGCAAAATCTTCCGCCCTGCAAGCGCACTACCAGTGAAGGCAATCTTGCGTACATCCATATGTTCCGACAGAGCCTGGCCGGCGCTGGCACCCTCGCCGGGAACGATGTTCACAACGCCAGGAGGAATCCCGGCCTCTTTCACCAGCTCGGCAAGTCTCAGGGCATATAGTGGCGATAATTCAGAAGGCTTGATGATCAAGACGTTACCAGTAACCAGAGCAGGAGCTAGCTTCCAAATGGTGATCATCCTAAGAACATGTTAGACGTGAATGAGTCGCTTGGACTGGTAAGCTTACAGCGGAGCATTCCAAGGCACAATCGCGCCACAGACACCCAAAGGCTCGCGATGGGTATAGGCAATACCACCTTCCATCTCAAGGGTCTTACCATCGATCTTTCCTGCCCAGCCCGCGTAGTATCGCAGGCAGCCGACCGCCTGAGGGATGTTCATTCCGATTGAATCGGTATACAGAACGCCTGCATCAACGGCTTCCAGGGATGCCAGATCTTCCGCATCGCGCTCGACCAGCTCTGCAAGTTTGAGCAATAGCTGGGCTTTGACAGGTCCGGGCACTGTTCTCCACGTTTTGAAGGCCGACTTGGCGGATTCCACAGCCTTGTTGATATCCTCCGGGCCCGCGGCGGAGATTGTTCCAAGTTGGTTGCCGGTTGATGGATTTTCCACAACTAGCGTTTGACCGGCAGAGGAGGGAACAAATTCATTGTGGATAAAGAGTCCCGTCGGAACTGAGAGGGTTAGCAACTGTTGCATCTAGGGCCAATATAGACTTACTTGTAATTTGACGGCCCTGGACGCCCGTGACAGTCAAACTAGAAGACATTTTTATTGTCAACGAATACTAGATTCGCAACTTCTGTCATAGCGCAGACTTTCAGATGACTTTTGTATCTGATCTCCTCGGAACGTTCCGTCCCGCGGAACCGTCCTCGACCCGGCCCGAGGTATGTGGAGACCGATCCCCAAAAGAGGGGATAATGGGTTGTTGGGAGTGATAGTATCCTGATTCAGATCCTCGAGATTGAGGAGAGAAATTACAATTACTGAAGGCCACCTCTTAAGGTATTCCCTTTGTGTGCAATCTGTGGGTGTGCTTTATCTTCTAATTGAGCGTAAACTAGAGAGGGCGGAAAGCCAGAAACGTGACATTCTCGCGTGTGTAATTATCGAAACGAAGCATCGTAGCATCATTCCCCAATCCGACCGGACTCATCCTATGTATCATTTTTTTTTCGAAGGTGGCAACTGAATAGTAACCGTAATGGACGAAGATAAACGATGCAAGACTGGCCTATATTCGATTTATCCGTTTAATATTACCATACTGACATTCCTGACCCCTGAGTGAAGTCTTACCTTGATAACCCAAAGACTGGACGGAGGAACTCACAATTATGTCATCTACTTAGCTTTCCAAAAGGCCCATGCTAAGACGAGCAAGCCCTTGATACCGGCCGATAACCAAAGAATAGGAGAAATGGCTCCGGTGACCTTGGTGACCCATCCGCCGACGATGGCGCCCACAAGCGTCAACACAAACGCGATGATTCGCCGGTCGCGTTTCACATTCCTCACAAGAAACAGTTGAGGGTCCGACATTAGATCGCAGAGAAGACTGGTAATCACCACGGTCGGCATCTCATTGAATCCCAATGCACGGCTCGCTACGATTTGACCGGCAGACTGGAGACTAAGAAGAACAATGGGGATTTCCTGATCCCATGGGGGTATTGTCTCCGATCCTTTGCCGGCTAGCGTGCTAGAAACGGCACCTCCTTGAACAAGCCCAGCTGTAAGCAGGATTATACTAGCCTGTAACAGGAAAGACAGCATCAGCGACCCTCGCCGCCGAGCACCTAGGATGCGATGTAGACGTGCGAAAATGAAGGATCCAAGGATGAAACAGCCGATGGACGTGAGTGAGCGTGCCCAGCCATATGGACGAAGGTTTTGGTGCGATGCACCCAGCCCGACGAAGATCGTATTCCCTACATACCACTATGATTAGTCGACCCTGGCTTGGATGGGTGACGTTGTAATCTTACCTGTTTGCATAGACACAAAAGTGTTGTAGGCTATACATGTTAGATATTCCGCAGTTCAATAAACGGACCTGGTCTTGTTCCTACCTCTATATATCGTGCTATCCACAAGTCCCGAAGTCAAACAACAAGCGAAAAGTAAGAGGTCAGCATGCTGTGGCTCGAGCTCAGCCTTCAGAGATGTTGAAAGTCCACCGAATGCACCTTTGTCATGGTTCATCTTGGATGTTATTGACTATAGTGAGAGAGAAATGAAGGGAAGGATGAAAAGACAAGGAGATACAGGAAACCATCGGAATAAAATATAATTGACATAAAAACTTTCTCTTCTCCGCGGGGATTGAAGGACGGGTGAATAAACTATGAGATCTCCCAACATTTCCTTCCCCTCCTCTCCCCTGGTCAATCGCATCATCATCTCACTTAATTGATGCATCCTAAGACGGAGCCAAGGGGCAGTGAAAACCCCCGAAGTTCCGTTGAATTCTGAGGAATCTGCAGGACTCGAAGCGAGATAAGGACAGCCACAATCACATGTCGTGCATGACAGCCTGAAATTCCTGTTAGACGGGCCGCAGACCAAGCCGACTTCATACTAATTTAGTCTCCGATGCATGCCTAGGATGCCAAGGAGGACCCGGTGTGATGAGCGTTAGTTGCTTGGCGGCAACTTTCTTCTCCAAAATTCCATCTGCAGGCAGGACTTGTGTAACATGAGTTCTCATGGAGGGGTTGATGTACGACCCGCTATCCATTATCCCCAATTCTTGTGGTAGCCAAGCGTCTCAGGGGTTTCAGACACAGCTTTCCGATAGGACCATACCAGAGACGTCGAGGCCAAGACGGACGGATCAATGGTGCATATTGCTGCAGGGCAAGCCCAGCAATCAACCCTCCAGCTCAGCCTTGAGCACATCAATATCCAATTCTGCCATAACCCCAAGCACGACACCCAGACTCTCCATAAATCCATTGACAGAAACGCGCAGCATCCGGTTGGTCGTCGCCATGTATGTTATTTTCAAGACGGTTTTACACTCGTCAGGGTCCTGTTTTTGCTTCTTCTCTTGCGGCTCGGATGGTGCTTCGACCACCGGAGTTCCGAGTGTGAAAGTCCGTCGCACAAAAGGGGATAGTTCGGCGTCAACTTCCAAAGCGCGCAGAGCGCATGATGCGAGATGATTGCTTGGAAGGGGAAGGGATATTGTGCTGAGTCAAGAGGTGAGTATTGCTTGGTCTTGTTTTTTGGGAGCTATTTCGGGGTGGCGGGGGGCTTACAGTGAGTAAGGGAAGTCGGGATTGGTGGGTTGTATGAGAGCCATGATAAGCGTAATTCAGTTGGGAAAAGCGAAAGAAAATAGTCCTTCTGAATTTCAAATTGCGTCTTCCAAGCAGCAGGGATAGATCAGTTATTGGAGTGGTGAGGATGATAGGGTGGAAATTGGCGATGCACTCGGAGTCCTAGAGGAGGAATTCCGGGGGGGAAATTTACATGGCTGACTCAGCTCCACGGCGAAAGCCGAAAGGAGAAGTCTTAACTTACCTACCTTGGCATTTGGTGTACACACTGCACAACAGTACGCGTGGATTCGCTACACAGCACTACAATAGCACCTTTTGGTATGTTTTCGGGTGATGATCTTCTAGTTTGAAGAGCTTGGCGAACCACGGTCTTTGTGGAACGGTGCATTTGGCCAAGAAATAATTTGGCCAAGAGACGGTGACCCGATATCGCGGTGCAGATCTCTCCTGTGAGAAGGATGCAAAATGCACTGCATCACCTTGCAATATGCAGTCACCTTGCCAAGGTGCTCGGATTGATTAAATTGCTGTGAGAAGCAAGCCATCTGAGTCAAGATTGTGGGTCGAGTTTCCCGTCGTCAGCCTATCCCAGTCAAGCTCAAAAGCCCGAAGTAGACATGCATTATCTAGATCTTGGCTCTCTATACGGAGATACATGTATGCAACGCTATTGTGGCTCTTTGATTGATGGGAAATATGAACACCTGCTCCGCGACTAGCGCTCTTAATCTTGCGCAATATGTCTTCTTCGTGGACTCACTCAGCTGAGGTCATCCAGGATCAGTACGACGCGAAGGAAGATAAGCCATCAGGACGTCTTGGCAGATGGTGGAATGTTACATCCCTAAGGAACCAAGACTTTTGCCTTTGGTGAGATGTTTTTGTCCTCTACGAGCAGGCAGACGCTTCTCTTCTGGGATTGGTGTCTGCATGTAGCAAAATTACTTGCAGGGTATAGAACTCGAAAATATAAAGAGCAGCGTTGTCCTTCGACTGTAGTACAAGAATCCAACGGTCCAGACTAAAACACATCTCATTTGCCAAAGTTCAAACATGACTATCACAATCACCGTCGAGAAGGATGGATACTACGAGGTCAATGGGACCCGACAGGAACCTACTGTCTCTCTCTATGTGATTCCCGCAGCTTCCAAGTTGCGCCGCATGCTGAAAGACACCAAAGACCTCATCGTGTGTCCTGGAGTATATGATGGCCTCTCGGCTCGCATTGCTATGCAGGTCGGCTTTAAGGGACTGTACATGGTAAGAACTCTGATGTGTAACACCACATCCCTGTATAATGTATGCTGACCAAATTACATAGACTGGTGCTGGAACTACTGCATCGCGCCTGGGCATGGCTGATCTCGGCCTGGCTCAGCTCCACGACATGAAGACCAACGCTGAAATGATTGCAAACTTGGATCCATTTGGACCTCCATTGATTGCAGACATGGATACTGGCTATGGAGGTTAGTGACTCAGGAACACTAGACCTTTATCATTTAGTTGAAAAGCATTCTAACTCTCTTTCAGGTCCGTTGATGGTGTCAAAATCTGTGCAGCAATACATCCAAGCAGGCGTGGCTGGCTTCCACATCGAAGATCAGATCCAAAACAAACGTTGCGGTCATCTCAATGGCAAAAAAGTCGTTAGCCTGGATGAATACATAATGCGAATTCGTGCAGCCAAGCTGACCAAGGATCGTTTGCACTCGGATATTGTTCTGATTGCACGAACCGACGCACTCCAGCAACATGGCTACGATGAGTGTATTCGTCGACTGAAGGCTGCCAGGGATATTGGCGCGGATGTCGGACTACTTGAGGGTTTTACTTCAAAAGAGCAGGCCCGGCAAGCAGTTCAGGATCTGGCACCTTGGCCTCTTCTTCTCAACATGGTGGAGAATGGAGCTAGTCCTCTCATTACCACAAATGAGGCGGAGGAAATGGGCTTCAGAATTATGATCTTTTCATTCGCCACGATCACCCCAGCTTACATGGGAATCAAAGCCACTTTGGAGCGCCTCAAGGCAGACGGAGTGGTCGGTGTACCCGAAGGATTAGGACCACGAACAATCTTCGAGGTCTGTGGGTTGATGGATTCCATGAAGGTTGACACAGAATCTGGAAACGACGGTTTTGCTGAAGGGGTCTAGTAACTATTTAGTAACTAGTATGGATATATGCATGTTTTTGCATCGGACAAGCAACGGAGTTTCTATAGCTAGATATTCAAATTGGAAGCAATGGTCGTAATATATAATTCCCCGCATAAGCCAAGATCATTCTAAATCTCAATCAAGTCTGGGTTGCCTTCATAGGATTCCATGTCATCGACCATTTCAACTGAAGGGATCACTGGTGGAATCTTTTTCACAATCTCCTTTTCAATTGTCGACCATTCGCCTTTTTCAACGATTTTATATAATCCAGGCCAAAGGCTGGCCTGAACAAATCCATCCGAGGTATCCTCCTCTGTGAGGGTTCGCATCTTCTTACCCCGGAACCGCAATCCGTATTGGTAACTACCCCAGAAAACGTATTTGTCTTCCTGGCAATCTAATTTATGTTTGAACTTGATGCAGCGCGCGATTATGCCGTGTAGCTGTTGCATTCGCTTTAGTCTCTCGGTGACGGCGTAGCGACCGAAGCAGGCCTCTGCCTTCTCGATGATCCAATTACACTGTTCTTGTAAACTAGAGGTTTCCAATGATAGGATTGCAGAGCTCATCGCACATCGCCAATGTCGGGAAATGTGGCTAGAAACTGTTGTTGTTAGAAAGCGGCGACAGTAGTGATCCTCCGGGGCTCACATTGTTTATTTATTTCGGAATCGACTTTGCGGAGATAATTACTCCAACTTTGCTCAGCTCCAAGCATAAATTGGTTCCAAAAGAACCGGTAAATCAGCCCGGCAATTTCCGACTGAATAATATCCAATGACGAGATGTCAAGGCTATCTGATCTTGGCGTGGGATCGTTCCCTTGTTGTGCTGGCTTTGCTGCAAAGTGGGTAAACCTCCAGTGCTCAAGATCGTGATAGAGTAGACACATCTCTTGTTTGGCTTCTTCATCAGAGAAAGTCTCAGTCCCAGCTTGTAGGCTTGCTATCTTGGTCATGAGGATTCGGTTCTCCTTTCTGGCTACATTTGATTCCCGGATGGCATTGTCGAGCAGCTCGCCTCGTTGACGAGCCTGCTCCTCTGCAAGCAGCCGATCTCGTTCAAACGTCTCTGCTTTATTTTCTGCGATTTTGATTCGCTGTTTTGTTCGTTAGATAAAAATAAGGTAGAGGGGCCTTGACCACAAACCTCTAGGAGCCGTTCAACCTCATCACGCATGGACTTATTATCTAGGTAAGCTAATCCATTTAGTACATACCATTTAAGTCGTGACGGGGAAAGCGAACCAATAGCAACCTGTCCCCATTTAGAGGATAAATCTGGGGACGTTTGAGTACTCCTGTTCGCCTGCTCAGGCTTGGGTTCGTCGAAAGGGGGCCACATTGCATACCGATAGCCAAGTGATGGGAAGTATGAAATCATAAATGGAATAGTTTCAATTCTATTCATGACACATTCTCCAAATCGATGACACCACAATTAGCCGATGTTGTAGACATATGCCTCACGCCGACGCTCTTTACGGCTAAGCGTAGGAGTCAATGATCTCAAAGTTGCGAAATCTAACTTTCGATTGAAGAAACATCACCTTGTCTGTTAAAAAAAATTCCATCTTGTACTCTATTTTCCGAAATTTGATAAGAAAGACAAGACGTACAAATTCAACATGGCGATCGCAGATGAGCGACCAAAACTCATAGTGGGTGTTGACTTCGGAACAACATTCAGCGGGTCAGTAAACTTTCTGTTCTGGTAGTAATTAATGAAGCGCTGACATCATTTTTATAGCGTTGCCTGGGGATTGGAAGACTGCCCTGATGATATTGAGCTCATTCAGACATGGCCAGGTGGTGGCAACAGTGAGTCTACGGGACAAAAGAGAAGTTCATGAAACTGACTGTTCAATAGTCACAAGCCAGAAAGTCCCAACATTGTGTTCCTACGACGACAGCCGAATGCAATGGGGTTATCAGACTAACCGGTCAATTCATCCGGGCAAGGAGCAGCGACTCATTCAAGGAGTCAAGCTCTTGCTAGATGAAAGTCAAAAATTCCGCTACGCACCTGCTGCTGACTCTCATGAAATCATCAAGGACATGAAAAAAACACCAACGGAGGTTGCTGGTGACTACCTGGGAAAATTAGTCGGCCACGCTCATGATGTCTTGACGCGTCGCTTTGGTACTGCCCTGCAAACTATGGACTTAGATTACATCCTTACTGTCCCCGCTGTTTGGTCTGATAAAGCTAAAGATCTTACTATGCAGGCAGCTCAACAGGCTGGCATATCTGCTGCGAATTTGAGACTGTTGTCTGAACCGGAGGCGGCTGCAGTCTGTGCAATTCGGACAATTCAACCGAATACAATCGCAGTATGGATCTCATCATAATGAATTGGAGTTTAATAATCTGATAAGATTCTAGGAAGATGACTGCTTGATTGTCTGTGATGCTGGGGGTGGAACAGTCGTGAGTCTTTCTCGTATGGAACTGGTTTGATAAATTTTAGTGACACTCATCTTAGGACATAATCACCTATCGCGTCAAACAAAGCGACCCGTTGACATTCGAGGAAGCCACAAAGGGAACTGGTATTTATGGGAAATGTACACTCTTGGTTATATCTAACAAATTCTAGGTGCTGTTTGTGGCTCAGTGATGTTAGACGAGAGATTTGACGCACTTATCAAAAGCATCATTGAGAAGCAGTTGCATAAACCGCTCCCCCAGTCTACTGCCAGGGCTGCACGAAAGTATTGGCAAGACTACATCAAGCCTGGGTATACAGGTCCTCTCGACGACGATGAGATGTGTGACGTAGGATATTGGGTCCCAGTTCCTGGAGTATCGGGTATCTCAAATATCGAGCTCAGTGAGGGGCATTTATATCTAGACAGGTATATTGGATATATATATTTACTTCATCAACCCATTCGTGGGCCACACTAATTCGGATACAGAGATCAAGTGAAAGGCATCTTCGATCCTATCATCAAGCAGATTGAGAATCTCGTCGCCGAGCAAAGAACGAGCGTCAAGGTAGCAGGTCTTTCGACGAAGGTGAGACCCTAAAGCGCTATCAAAAGAAGCTCAATTAATTCCAATTAGGCTATTATTCTGGTCGGGGGCCTTGGTGCCTCGGGGTATCTCTTCAAGCGTCTACAGGCTGCTTTCAACGGCATTCAAATCATGCAGCCCCCAAATGCGTGAGTTCTCAATCTATCAAAAAGTCAATTCAAAACGATACTGATATAAAAACAGGTGGTCTGCTGTTGTTCGGTACGTATCTGAAACATTCATAACGCTTGTTTTGTATCTGACAGCTCAGGGGCGCGGTCATCCGTGGACAAGAAGGGAATCAAGTAGAGACCCGCATTGCCCGATGCAGCTATGGAATTTCAATGAAAATCAAGTTTAACCCCGAAATACACCGCGCAGATGAGAATCTCATGTGGTGTCCATATGAAGAAGTATGGCAAGTGCATAAGCGCATGAGATGGTATATTCTCAAAGTGAGTAACCTGCCACTTCTACTGGGTATTTTTGAAGAGATTTTGAGTGCTGACTTGAGGGACTTTGAGGGAAACCCCGTTGCCGAGAGTGAGCCGATAAGAATGGGCTTCTACCGTGTGGTCGGCCTTGGGCAACCTTTGGTATTTCAGGACTCATTGCAGTTTTGCCAGGGGAACAAAGCCCCCGAAACGATGGATTCCAGTATGTCCCGTGTCCTTATATTCGCAATATATGAAAGCGGCCTTTTACTAAATTGAACAGGTGTCGTGAACCTGTGTGAAGTGGAGGCAGATCTGAGCAGAATCCCAAGGGAGCTTTTTACAAAGAAAACGAACTCCAAAGGTAACGAATTTTACCACATCGACTATGATTTGGTTCTAACGCCAACTTCCGCATCGTTGTTGTTCGACCTGCAATTCAACGGTGTCTCCTACGGGAGCGTGAGATCTCGCTATTGAATTCCACAACGGTGGGCCAGGAAAGGTATGTTTAGGGTAGCTGATTTGAAAGGGACTTTTGCCTATGATAAAACGTGGCTATGGTTTTCGCAGGCTCAATACTTGATCGCTTGAGATTGGCTCGATGACATAATTGAGAGGACAGAAATAAATAGTTAGCTAGCAATGCAAACTTGATATGCGCCTTCCTTGTGATGAAGTGTAGATAAAAATGTGTATTGAAGAGGATTCAAGTAAGTCCAACAACGCAGGCTGCTGCAGACGAAATTCGAAGTCAACCTTCCCTGCTACCCTGAAAAACAGCCAAGTGTTGCAAGCCCGGGCCTTCCAAAATATCCAAGGGGGCCACAAAAGCCATCTGACTCCATGAGAAATTTTTATTCTTTCCGCCATAGATAAACACTTCAAAGCGGCCGACAAAGTCACCATCCACCCACACGCGACTTCCATATATCTCATTTGTAGAGATAGTGACTTGTGATTTGCGAGGGATTATGACAGCCTTGTGGGTTGACGTGGTCTTATTAACCCAAATTCTTCCAGGCTGGTCTTCGTCAAAAGCGTCAGCCTCAGCAACAGAGCGAAGTGGGTATGGCCATCCATCAGAAACAAAAGCCAATTCACCGTCCGATGATAATGTAAGTGTCGCATCGGAGGACTGCAAAGAAAAAGGACCCGTGACGTTTAGTTGAAGGGTATAATCCATGCCCTTACTTCCATAGCCGAGGTTATGCTTATCCTGGCTGGTAGTTGGCCTTGTCCATGAAAGCAAAGTTCCTGATCCGTGGGCCCTTTCTCCCGGAACGCGGCGGTCGAGATTTTGCCCCACAGCTTGAGAGGACAATTGTGCGATGGATTTGGCCAAGGTTGGTTCATGCAAGGGAGGCCCACGCGCACCACACCACACTCGCGAAGCCACGACTGGGATGCCATCACGAATGGCATAGTAGGCCTCAAGCTGAGTAGTGGCATCCGGGCCACTGTCATTCCAGGCAGCCAAGAGAGCACCTAGTACAGCTTCGGTATCGGGTTGTTCAGTTTTGTTCACCGGATTGAAGAGCCCAGGGGTCCACTGCCATCCGTGCTGGTCGGCGAAGTTCAGAACACGGGCGTTGTTGAAAAACTGAGGATAAGGGGCTGGGGTGATAGGCACATGGTTGCTTTTCAGCGACATATATGCCCACCAATCCTCGGAGTTGATGATCTGGTAGCCGTTTTGGGCTAGGTCAACTGGATCTGATTGTCCATACTGCCAGTGTTGAATTGTCACATTCTTGTCAATGGGAATGTTTGATGGCTCATATGTCCCCCAAATACGAACACTTTTGCCAGAAGCTGCTTGTACAAAGCGAGACATCTCGTTCACGAACTCAACATAGTCATCCGCAAATTCAGAGTCGTACTCATCGGCACCGATATGCACCTCCTTTGTGTGGAACCAAGGAAGAAATTCGGTCCAGATGGACTTCATCAAAGGAACAGTGTCCGGATGCGAGAGATTGAGCAGGTCCCTCGACTCTAACGCGAGCTCAGGTCTCCATTTCGTAACTGTGAGACAGTGCCCGGGGCTTTCGATCTCCGGTATCACTGTAACACCTCGCTGAGCACAATGGTGCTGGAAATCATCAAACTCAGCCCGGGATAGCGTTTCGTTGGCACGCTGGACAAGAGGGCGGAGGGCCTCACTTTCGGGGTGCAAGGAAAACTGCGAGTAGATCTCGTTCCAGGTCACGTTTCGACCGCGGCTCAGCGGATAGTTGTCGGTCGCATGGTAGTGAAACTCGGATAATTTGAAGAACGAGGCGTAGGTGCATAAATCTTTCAAAAACTCGAGTGAATACCATTTGCGACCAGCATCTAGCAAAAATCCACGAGTCGCATAGGCGGGTGCATCTTCCACGCGACCAGGTTGTAGGGATGAGCGTGTCAAAACGAGTTGCTGGAGGAGCGTTCGCGTTCCCCACCACATACCTCGCGCCCCGGAGCCTCGAATAACTACACTGCCATCTTGTATTTCCAGCTCATATCCCTCCTCGGTCTGGCGTCCACTTTCGTACGTAAACCGGTCGGGATGGTCTGTGCGCCCGAGAAATATTCCCGACGCATGTTTGGGGAATTGCTTGACCGTACGAAGCTCCCAGGAACTGTTCGTTAGCTCCTGTAAATCATCGCGAAACGTGTTGGCAAAGTCGGATGCCGATGGTGGAAGCAGCGTTAGTCCATTCTGATCCTTCCAGCTAGCGAAATCGGCACTTAGGTAGATTGTTCGGTCGGTGGTTGCTAACGAAAAGCCTTTGTTATGACCAGAGCCAGTGTTGTCAAAGTGCACCGGGGGTAGGATCTGCAGCGCAGACGCGACTGCGGCAAGTGAGAGGACAATCCACTTCATGTCTGGACATTGTGATATTGGTTACGATGTGAGCCCTTTTATGCAAAGCAAGGGATTGTATCAGCGTTACATTCCTGATTGTACAGGGGCGTGGGGGTAGATGTTGTGGGGAGGTGGGGAATTTTTATATTGGCAGAGTGGTTGTTGTGGATATTCTACTTATTTTTCATCTTGGGGTATAGATAAGAAGGTTGCATTAAAAAACTTAATTGACTATTCTTTCTTTCCTGTCATGGTAACTCGAAGCATGAAATCACGCCTCGTCGAAGCCATGCTGAGGCCGAGCTTTCATCTATTGATTCTCAATGGCATATGATGCCTGTTTCTTACTTTTTATTAGTATAGATAGATCTCTTTTGACCACTTAGACTCCCTGTTTCCAAGTTAGAGAATTACAAGAATGGCCTCGTTATGTCATTTTGGTAGTCTTTTAGTTAGTCTTCTTAAAATATACTAATCTTCTTGGTACACGGGACGGGAAAGGGCTAAATTTGTGAACCTTTCCTAGGTATGTATAACCTTAGATATGTGGTCAATATCTCTTTCTGGTCCTTTTCTATTCCAGCCGTTGGGTGCTACTGCTAAATAGTCCCACAATAGCCTGCTGACAGCTTTTCAGATGTTTAATCGCATTCAACCCTCCTCGATTTCTAAGGGCGGTTTCCAACCACACACAGGCCCATGTCATATTCCATAACTCCTTCAGGAGAACTCATATCAAATTTGCACTCGTTACACCTCACTCCGTATTTCCTCTTCTTTCATTCTTCCATCAAGAACTCGCGTTTTCTACGTAGCTCACGACAATCTCATTACCACAACGAAACCGAATACACATAAAACCGCATCAGGCCGACAGAAATAAGTCAAGTGAGTCTTAGAGTTCAACAGTGCTTTTGAATATGAGTGTGGTTGTTTTCGTCAACAGTTACCTTTAGTAGTTGGGCAAAATATCCAAAGTCAGTGTCTACGTTGAATTTCTTCCAGGGACTCTCGGTTTATGTGGGTATTACAATGGTAGCAAAGATACTAGAGCTCCTCGAAGGGGACTACGGGGACTCTCGATTAGGGCACATTGGGGATATGTCACCCTTGAGGTCACTGATTAGCAGTCGTAGGACGGGTTTCTCACGAATAACCACATCGATAGCCCTAGCAGTCTCTAACTTGCGGTCATTTATCGGCCACTATGATTGTTCTAGCATGGAGTTTGGACCAACATATCCGTAGAACGTTCGACCTCAGTTGACTAGGCAACGGGCCAAGCGTTGCTCCGGATGGATGAAACAAAATACGCCCTGATATCGTTTCTTTTAAGCCGCGTTGGATACCTACTGTTGGTATAGAAATTTTTTACCTTAGTCCATCCCGCCATTTTTAACTCTGATGCTGTTGTTAGAACATTTGAGATGTGCAAGCATACACGAATTGGGCTTCATCCATCCAGCGGAGAAATCACTAGAGACTTCTCTTTCTGTCTGGAAACCAAGATATGGTTTGCAAGCCGAGCCTCCGAACCCCACCGCCAACCACTGAGAGGATATAGAACCTTCCCCGTATGCGGTTACTAACCAGCTTGGGTCGGCGATGGAAGATCTTCAAGCGCAGGGTGCCTAAATTATACTAACTCCGTTATCTCCCCCTCACCCCGACATCAAAGAAACGGATATCATAAACATTACCAGGTATGATTTCTTTCCATGATATTCGCCGAATTATCAGTGAACTCCCACTAATAGGCACCTTTTCACTCATCTTCAGGCTCATGTCATTTTGGTCAGGCCTCAGCCGGCAATTTATTTATGCGGCGATACCTAAAAGCCTAGGTCTAGACACTGCGCAGGGCCAACACGAGAAATTATTGTATGTAATGCAAGCATTTCCCCGATGATTCCTCCGACAACGAACTTTGGGAATCATTAATCAACTGACACAATTCCTTGGCGAGTGTTACCTTTACAGACGGACTATTGTTGCAGCAAGGGCGGAAAGTAGGTGTATCTGTATCCAAGACATCAGGAATTCTCGGTAGGGATCGACAAGGATCGACTCTACGCCGAGGACCATAGAGGACCTTCTCAGAGTGGCGCAGCCTTAGCGGTACATATTTTGCGCTATCCCTTCAATGAACGGGGCCTGGGGTACCCCAGCTAATTATTTAAAATTATTAGAGTTAAGATCTCCCTTTCAAGATAAAAAGTTGGCACACAGCCGTGACAACATCCAACTGAGGGAAAGCCTCGTGGCATCGGAATCCCCACTTAACCTTTCACCCTTGCCGTCGGGCCTTATTTTTCAAAGATGGCGAATACCAAGACTGTGAGCTGAACTACACACCTAGTCATACCTCCTGTGTGTTACAATATGTTGCATCTATTCAAACCTAGACAGTATCTTCCTATGCGGTGAAACATTCGACTAGATCATGACGACCTAATGGATCATCGAAAGAGCCTAATATCCACTTATCAGCAATTGAAGTATACTGTTCAACTGCATCCTTGATCTACGATGATCAGGTGGTGATGTCATACTCACAGCAAGGACAATAGTTAAACGTGGTTTCAAGCCAAAACACCGCCCAGTTGGCGGGCTGGCCAATTGGAGGTAAACGAATGACATCCACTTGGCATTATCATGTATTGTTAGCGGCTCCATGAAAAGACTGATTTTTTTTTGGCTGAAGATAACAACAGCAAGGGGAGAATGTCTCACACCTTGGCATATAATATTGCTTTTTCGAATGCAAACATGTGGTTTTATTCTCCATTTCCTTTTTGTGGATCTCAACTTCTGACGGCCATGAAACTCCCCAATGTGATCGCTATTGCACTTCTCCTTTTTGAGTTGGGCGTATATTCCTGCAGCCCACATATCCATTACAAGGAGAATATGCCAAGATTGGACCCGTCAGCACCAGGCAGTGCCTGAGCTGCGGTTTAGTCAACGTACAACATACGGGGTACGGTATGGAGGATCAACCTTGTGAGCGCCAAGATCTAGTATTCGAGGCTGTGTTATGAGAACTTAGTCGTTGGCGTGCACAGATAAGACTAGTGGTGAACCATTGATGCCGCCGGAGATCGTTCTTGGCGACTAGTCCTACTGCAGCGCTTTTGGGGCCCCGGACGGACTAGTGTCGGTGGATACGTCGATCCCTTGGCAATCGAAGTGTACCCTTTTGACGTTTTCAGGGGCCAGAACAGACAATATGTACTCTCTAAGACGCCATCTCAACCAGGTAATTGCATATCAAGCCGAGAATCATAGGGCAGGTGAGTTTAAATAATCCGATGACAGGTCGCAATGGTCCCAAATTTAAATTCGGTCGATTGCCGCGCGCTGATTCTGCACATGTAGCCAGTCAATGCCATAACGCATAACCATGCTGCCAAGAAAGAATGTGAGGAAATGCTGCGGATTGCTCCTTGGAATCGAGAAATCCTAGGAATCAGGTCTTGACGGATTCCGCCAGGCCACGGTAGATCCTGAACCCGCACCGTCTAATGTCGTATTATAGTTTGATTTATAATGGGATCTGGGGTTGAATTACGCATGCAGCGGAGATAATTATAGTGCCAAGATAACGCCCAGATTCTGCTAACATGGATCTGTGAGATCATCTCGTTTTGGGATGATCATTTCTATTGTGGCTACTCACTTTATAAGACTACGCATGCGATATGATTTGGTTATACAGTAATCGATGTTATAGTGATCGCATACACACAGTGTATGTCGAATGAAGAGAGAACTAGATCTAGATTAAGTAGTTCGGTTCCCAATGTATCCCTCTGCGGTGTACTCCGTAACACATAAACGAGACGCGTAGGGATGGGGCAAGTATCAGTGTTTCATCTCAATTTTCTTATCTCTCTTGGCGAGGATTCAGCTTATTCTCTTCATGGAGAGGATCGGAATGGATCCGAAAGATGGATGAGTATTAAAGAAAGCCAAATCCGTTGTGCCATTGTGGCAATCTATTTCTTTCCATATTGGCACAGCTACCTTTCAATCTTGATTCTATTCATAATAAACTTATCCGGCTTGAATAATATATGCATAATAATAATTTGAACATGCATCGCCAGCCGCCTTCCTCGTCGGGATATATCGAGCCACTCACAACACCAGCCCACCGTGCCCCTGACCATCGTTCTATCTACCAAACAGAATTAACAGCTGCAAATTCTCGTTCGGAGAACCCCAATGAAGATTTCAAGTATACACAGGGTATTTGGTCTTCTGGGGGCAGCACGGCAGTGTCTGTCTCTGGCAATCAGACACCAGAAGACAACACGGTTTGCTCAACTATTTCCCGCCACTTCCGAGCAGACATAGACACTACGCATACAGATATTCCTCTTATAGTATGTGGATTTGTTGGTGGCTTGGTAGATGGCCTATCATTCAATGCATGGGGCAGCTTCTCAAGTATGCAAACAGGTATGTGAATTCTATAGTCACTGTTTTCCCGTGCAAAGCCCGTAAAGCTAATGACAAACAACACAGGAAATACCATCTTCTTGGCCTTGGGAGTCTCTGGTCAGCCCACAACCCCAGCATATCTGTGGGCGAAGTCCCTAATTGCCCTGGCCGTCTTCCTTGCAAGCAACATCTTATTCGTTCACATGCATCGGCTCTTGAGGCCACGTCGCCGCTCGACTATGATAATCTCATTTGGTATTCAGACTATTGCGCTTTTGGCCACAGCAATTCTTATCCAGCTGGAGATCATCACCCCGAAGCCCGAGGACCCCCGGGCTCCGATCGAATGGATGCAAGTCCTGGCAATCTCACTTCTAGCTTTCCAAGCAGGAGGCCAGATCTGTGCTTCTCGGATCCTGGCCCTAGATGAAATCCCAACTGTTGTTGTGACAGCTCTGCTATGCGATCTTCTTGTCGATCCAAAGCTGACTGCAAAATTCAATCCGAAGCGCAACCGTCGAGTCGGGGCCTTTCTCGCATTGTTTTTGGGCGCCATGACCGCGGGTGGACTTTCTAAGACCACGAGTATGGCGTCTAGTATATGGCTTGCCATGGGTCTGAAGTTGACAGTTACCTTGGGGTGGATTGTTTGGCGAGGGGAGGGGAGGAGAAAGAGTGATTTTGAGGTGTGACTTGGCTTTGTTTCTTTTTACGTCGCCTATTCAAAAGGCATGTACACGAGCCCATGAAAGTTTCAAGTAACTCTTTGTTTGCTTTGTTGAAATACCCAGTTATTTTCCGTCACCTATCACCTCAATTCGTTCGTCTTCTGTAGCTTTCCCACCTTTCAATTTTAGTATCTGATCGAACCACTGAGCACATGCGTAGTATTATATCGCTCTTGCTTCCCATCAACCTCGTTATCGCAGACTTTACTATTGCGAGACTTGCCGTCCACAGCACCTGCTTGCAAGATCTCACACAAACAGCTCGCCAGACCATCGGAGTCAAATCCCCGTCATGTGTCCTTATCACTCCAGCAAGCCAAGTACAGCAGTAGCATCTTACAACCCCGCGCTCAAATAATTACTTAAAAGCTCGCCCGTCAGCTAGTCTCTCAGTATCTGCGGCCCAGTCTAGCATGTCGTCCACTTCAAGGTCACCAACCAGCATCATACTCGGAAGAGGTTTTTAAATGTCGACTCCGACAGGGCAAGAAATACAGAACCTAGAAGTTTTAGTATTATCACTTTTTTTCAATTTTTGATTACCTAGCATATGTAATAAAGTTATATATTTAATCCATATTCGAGTTTTAGAATATACTTCAGGGAGCCCTCTAATAATATTGCAATTCAAAATTTCAACCTATAAGAATATCGACTCTGAAGGCGTCCATAAAACTTACCCTTCAACTATATAAAATCATTTGCATGAATATTAGTGCTATCCTTGACATGAAAGATCCTAGCATAATATAGTCGATCGATGAGCATTTCAGACAATTCTTGTTTTATATTTAACATGATATTGTGTACCATATCTCGTACATAATCAGACATAGCGCAGAAATATATCGTTGTTTCCACAAGTTCCTGTGGTATGATATGGATGTATAATCGAAATCTAGTCTATGATTTTATAAGATGACTATTCTACCGGTACCTGACAGTACCTTTTTTTATTTGCTCTCATCCGAGAGAACGAAGTGGAGAACTCCGGGCTGTCCACTGGCGCGACCCTTGCTCTCGGAGACATAGATGCACTTGCGGAAGGTAACCATCAAGGAATATAAGAAGCTCTCATCCTTCTGCTCGTGGTAGTTTTCACCGAGCATAGGCTGGATGGCCTTGGTGGCTTTCTCTGCATTGTAGAACGGAATGCGGCTGAAGAGGTGGTGGACCACATGGTAATCAATGATTTCATGGAAGAAGTGACGGCCAATGAAGCCGGTCGTGCGGTCAATGGTAGCCAGTGCTCCCTTGGTGTAAGTCCAGGCTTCGGCAGTGTAGTGAGCAACCTCGGGGTGGGTGTGTTGGAGGTATGTGATGGCAACTATTGATTTGGTTAGTTCTCATTCTAGGATCTCAGGCAAGATGGGAATGAAAGACGTACTCAGCCAGTGATGAACCCAGAGATATGGCACAACGTAGAGGAAGAAGACATTCCACGCTCCGATGATAGTTCCAGTGTACCACACGATAGAGCCCATGATCAGCAAGCCGATGTCGGAGTAGGCAATGAGCTTCCACTGAGCGGCCGTGAAAATTGCGCTCGATGGGTTGTAATGGCTCTCAAACTTCACCTTCTCGCTTCCATCCGGGCCACTCTTGGTACCGGCAGTCACGTTCAGGATGAGATACATCTGCCATCCCAACAATTGGTGTCCGATAAGTTGGACAAATGAGACAATGGGTGTCTCCTCGGCAAGGTGCTTCAACTGCTCAACGCTAACATTTCTCTTCGACGCCAAATCATCCTCGGTCCAGGGGACAAAGACGGTGTCCTTTTCCATGTGACCAGTGTAGCGGTGGTGACGAGCGTGTGTGATCTTCCATGAGAAGTATGGAACCATCAGGAAGGAGTGTGTAGCCCAGCCAATGAAATCATTGATCCCTTGGTGCTTTGAGAAGGCACCGTGGCCACATTCGTGAGCAAGAATCCATAGTCCTGTGCCAACACAGCCTTGGAAGAACCCATACACGGCCCAGGCAACAATTCGCATAGGCAGAGAAGGGAGAAGGTGGATATGGAGGGCAGCGTAAATCAGAGCTGCACAATAGATAGAATCTCGAAGGAGGTAGAGGAGGGAGGTTGTGAGGGACGATTCAAAACATTCCTTCGGGATTGCATCTTTGAGGGATTGCAAGCTGGGAATATCCGTCTGCTGTAGGACTGGAAGATTAGCACATGTGCACTGTTTATTGGAATGATCTGGCGTTATACCATACCTGTTCTGCCTGTTTGACAGGCTGCCTTTGTGTCACAGCCATTTTGAAGCGGAAAATTGAAGATGACAGATACAAGAAAATATGTAGAGGACTGAGAGTAGTTTTATTTCATCTGTCTTTTATTTTATTTTTTCCCTGCCCCCTTCGCCCCCATAAAGTATCCCCTAGGCTCGAAAAAAATGAGCTCTAGATTGTCGGAACTCAAAAAAACATTGACCAATCCCCTTTTTCGAATTCTTTTCCAGAACACTGTCAAATTCGGTGCACTGACAGGGGATCAGCCTTCTGATTGGGCCATCGTCTAACGGATGGACGCGCTTGTTCCACGGATTCTCATTGCACTAGCCTCTTTCTTTCTTTTCAACGTTTCTGGGGCCCAACGGAATTTCAGTCCGCTGGAACTTTTGTGGCCGATACAATTAATCACCAAACCGAGGGCATTCATTGAATCCAATATCGGATACTACCCCATGCGAGAACCCCTACGGCAAAATCCAAACCATTCGGGCCCTAGGATATTTCGGCGTTTGCCCTCCAAGGCTATCCACCGCGCGGGAAGTCTCGTACACCCCTTTTTCGACCTCGGTAGAATCTAGGGATCCACTAATAAGCAAAGGTTGGGAAAAAATAAAGAGAAAAACTTAATAAAGGGCTTGGCAGTTCTCGCGTTGTCCTACTGGCTCTGTCAGGGGCAGGAGAAACAGCACTGCCTTCGATCGCAAAAAGCGTAAGCACTCTTTGATCATCCTAATGACTTGTCTGAAAATTGATTAAGGAAGCTCGGGATTTTTCACCAAACGATAGGGCATGATCAGCACTTCGGCTATTGGAGGAAATGTATTGGACTCTATTTTAAGCTTATTTTTGTATAACGTTAGACAAACCCGTACCTAACTAGGCATCGCTTGTAATGTACACGGACTCTCTGATTGATGACAGATGCGACGTGCAATTTGCTCAATGATCATGATTAACAATGAGCCCTCATTTTTGCGAACATTTGCCCAATCGTGACGCTACCAAGAATACGTGTCATTTCACTCGGGGGTCGCTCTGGTCCGATACTTTCAGCTGTAGAGCATTTTAATTGTCCATATCGTGTATGAGCCCTGAGCCTAGGCAAGCCTCCAGAGTTCTTTATCGCCTTTTTCAATACTCCATACCCCGTACTTACCTTATTTAAAGTTAAGTTTTGAAGGCCTCGGTAGGGAGGAGATCGGAGTAAGAACACACGTGATAGAATTAGCACACCGCCCTCGTGTCTTCGGACAACTCCCGGTTGAATATAATGATAGCGTCCCACAACAAACGAATTCCATGTGCATGACCCATGGGATTGCAAAACTACCTGGACTATCTACCTTCCTCTTTACGCCTATCTGTCGCCTGTGTACGGAGTACAACTGTCTTCACAGCCAACATGTCAAGGAATAATTATCAGACTGATATCACATACATGCACGTGACCTAGTTATAAGGGAAAAAAAATCAACGCTTGCTTTTCTCTTTTTTCCCCTGCAAATATATTGGCCAGATTTTGCTCTCTTATCCAATTTACCTGTGGCGACATCTACAAACTGGGGTTGGATAATGGAAGCTCCGTCGAACACCTCGCTATCCTCACCCCAACAAGTATCCTTCAACGTCATATCGAGCGGTTTATTCCGTATATTCAAATCTAGATTTCCGTCAAATGCCTTTCCGGCATCGCTTCCCAGCTAGGAATGGAGCGACAAGGAGATGCGTGATATGATCTGGACGCGTGATATTGAATTTTTGTTGGCAAAGGCGGGATCTGGGTGATTTTGGTGGGGTTGCACGGACCATCCACATTCGAGCCCGACAATACTCCACACAAAAGACGATTTCACCGTACCCGAAGAGGACTATGTGTTGGTCGTGGGCGACAATGAAAATCATCTCCCTGATGCCAAATGGGTGGGCTATGCATACCTCCTTGATGCCATAACATCTTCGATACCGCTACGAGAGCCTGGATATCCTTCGCTGTCATCATGGTTCGAAACGATTGAACTGCGCTCGGGTGTCTCCAAAACTTTGGGGGTAATGAATTGCGCAAGAAGCATCGAAGGTGTCGATTAAAGAGGGGTTAAAAGCTTCATCACCGAGAGGGAGAGAACAGCAGGAGTGCAAAGATGTTGCAAAAGCTTCCCTTTACACTGAGTGTCACGAAATATTGGAAAGAACCAAGTGAACTTGAATCGAGTGTGCCAAATGAATTTTGAAACATCTCTCATATCATGAAGTCTCAAATTCCGTGATCCAACTTCCCCTATTCGCAATGCGACCCCGCCATTGTTTCCAATCTCGCTCGGTGAGGATTTCGTCCGGCAACCTTGAATGTCCTCCGTATACACCAAAAGATACACAATTTACTAGCAGGGCGGATGTTGATTGGATGAAAAATATAACAATCTCAATTTCAAATGGCGTCAATGCCAGCCTAAATACATCTTGCAGGTAGTTCCCAATGAACAATCACCCTGCAACATACAGCCGTGATTCCGACACGGTGGAGTATTTTGACATCATCGCTTACTTTTGTATACTACAGCCACGATTTAAAAGATGCTCGAACCCTATCGATAAGATCTCTCAGACGGTAATTTGATTTTTGAAAATATTCTACACTTTTAAAGACGCTCTACAAGACGACTTATTGTCATGGCGCCCCGGTATCAAAGCGTTGCTGTAATCGGCGCCGGTCCATCTGGTATCTCTGCCGTCAAAGCTTTGCAAGAAGAGAATGTTTTCCAGACCATACGTCTATTTGAGCGACGGGGCCACATTGGAGGAATCTGGCAATACGATGACATTCCCGATCTGTTTCCATCCCAAGAGTCTCCTAGTCAACAAGATCATGAAATCCCAGGTCGTCTCCCGCTGCTCACGTCTCCTTCTCCCGAAGATGTAACGTCTCGCACAGGCATTTACGAGGGCCTTGACAGCAACGTCGGCGCAAAAGTCATGGCGTTCACGCACACCCCTTTTCCTGAGATAAATTCGGCGTCGTCAACTAGACACTTAGGGCGGTCCAATCCAACCCGACCATTTGGGGTGGTGAGAAAATACCTAGAAGATTTGTTCCAAGACTACCTTCATCTTGCTTCGCTCAATACAACAGTTGAAAGGGTTGAAAAGCGAGACCAGAAATGGACTTTGACACTTCGGCAATCCGGCCACGGGGATGGTAACACCCCCAAGGACTATTGGTGGGAAGAGCAATTTGATGCTGTGATTGTTGCATCGGGGCATTATAGTGTGCCCTTTGTTCCGTTCGTTCCAGGGCTAAGTGCCGCTTTCGCGCGCCATCCGACCGTATTTGAGCACTCGAAGTCGTTCCGAAAGGCAGACGATTATGTGGACAAGCGTGTTGTGGTCGTCGGGGGCAGCGTCTCCTCGGCGGATCTTGTCGCGGATTTACATGCCATTGTGAAAGGCCCTCTCGAGCTGTCCCAGAGAGGGAAGAACGAGGCGCTGCAATCCGCATGGGATCTACCTAACGTCAATGCCAGACCAACGATCAAAGAGATCCAAGCAACGACAAAGGGGATAAGCGTCGTGTTCTCCGACAACACCCTTTTGGAGGGCGTGGACAAGATCATTTTCGCCACTGGGTACAAGTTGTCCTATCCATTCCTTGTTCCAAATCCAGTCACCCCAAACAACCGGGCAGCAGGGTTTTACCAGCACATTTTCAAGATCGGGGATCCATCGTTAGCTCTCGTCGGCCAGGTCCGCGCTGCGATCAGCTTCCGGGTTTATGAGTACCAGGCCGTTGCCGTTGCCCGATATTTTGCTGGTAGAAATGCAGCATCCTTGCCAACGCCACAAGAGCAGGATCTTTGGGAGGTCCAAAGACTCCAACAAAAAGGCCATACAGCCCTGTTCCACGAAATCAAGCCTGACTTCAAGGACTATTTCGATTTCTTGACCGATTTGGCTGGCCCCCCAGCACCGGGAACGGGGGGTTACACACTCCCTCCTTGGGATGATCGATGGGCAGAACAAGGATTCGAGATTCTCCAGCGAAAGGATAAGTATTGGAAGTCACTACGAAGAGCAGCAGATGGATTAGGGGTGACTGCTAAACTGTGAAGTCAGCATTATTTACCCCGTACATTCCATGGGGAGGAAAATGTAAATATGTCGGTCAGCAACAAGAGCGAACGCAGTCGATCTGTCACTCTGGATTATGTGCCATTTTGAAGCCAAGTTAGCATAATTGTGGTCGCAATAAGACAGCGAGGGTTTACCATTTCTATTTGCGTGCTCAGCCATTCTCTAGTTCTCAAATGCTGTTTTGCAGCTTTCAAAACACCGCGGACGGGGGTGGGACTGTCCATTGCAGCATGTCGCTCATCTTTTCCCTTATGAGCAATGAATGCAGAAACAGGAGTTTCCCTTTGTAGTCAAGATGTGAAGAACAATAAGTTCGATGCTACTCTGACTGGCCCCATCCGACGGTCTTCTTGTCGCGCGGGCCGGCCAATTTCCCCCATAAGACTTAGCGCCAACCATGGCCCAATCACATCTCGAGAATTTTACATGGGCTGTCGGTCACGAAAATGGTTGGTCTTCGCTTAACTCGTTCTATAGCAGATGATTACAGCGTGCAATCAAACCATCCGCGCAAAACAAAGTATATAATCATGTTACTCCCAAGGCTACTCCGTACTCCGAGATAAACATCCTAGCATCTCCAAGTAATCCGCCATCATGCTCGGATTTTTCCCTTACGGTATACTCGCCATTGCTTCTGTTGCAGCAGCACGCGATCCCACTGTCTACCTTATTCGACACGGAGAGAAACCCAGTGACGGAGGAAATGGATTGAATGCACAAGGGCTTGAACGTGCACAATGCCTCCGCGAAGTGTTCGGCAAGAATTCTGGGTATAATATCACCCATATTATGGCGGAAACGCCTAAGAGCAGTATGTTTTATGTCCTCTCTCCATGCAGCTTCGGCACAAGGGCTAACATGAACGGCACAGATGGCAAACGTGCCCGTCCCCTCGACACCGTTGAGCCGCTAGCTGAAGACCTCGGTCTCACCGTCGACACATCTTGCGACCGTGATGATCCGGGCTGTGTCAAGGATGTGGTTGCTGGATACGATGGCAAAGGCTTGGTCAACATACTGATTTGCTGGGAGCACGATGCACTTACGGATATTGCGGAGAAATTGGGAGTCAAGGATGCACCATCTTATCCCGACGATAGGTCAGTCTTCAACTCATATCATAGTTCACGCTCGACTTCTCTAACATAAATATAGTTTCGACATCATTTGGACCCTCCCAGGTCCTTACGACGAAATAACCGCGGAGACCAGCGAAAATTGCCCCGGTTTAGATGATTGAGTAAATAATGATAAAGTCTAAGTAGGGTTAGATGCTACTAATAGCTCATTCTCAATCTGGCTTCTGTAGGAAGGCCTTAACGGGTTCTTTTCATTATTCCTATGCATTGATTCAGTTAATTCATGCATTGTTTTGTAACGTTTACAGATGGTTGAGTTTTTTTAAGTCGAGTGCATGAAATTCCGCATGTACTTGCTGCACACTTCTACTTCGAAAATTACTAGTTTACTACTTACGGATGATCATTTCTTATGTGTCATACTATGAGGAAGGACCTGAGCAAATTCGAGTTTTGCTATGCCACGACTCTCCAGTTTGCTTCTACTGCTATCGTGACCATCTTCAAACCATTATTCATTATTCATGAATGCGTACAAGTTATTACCATCGCCGGACAATCTGACGACCTAGCGAGCAAGGCGTCTGATGCGAGGAACGCGTCCTGTTTACATAGTGAAAGGACCAGAAACAAGAGAGGATATATCGCATGTCCAAGTTGAATTTGAATTTGCAATGGTTTGAGCATAGAGTAGTAAAGATTGCGGTTGATTCATCTTGGTATTAACAAATTATGGTTTGAACATAAACAAAAGCATGAGGGGTTGGGATCCCGTTAGCATTTCGCAGTTAAGACATGTTCAGGAGACTGTGGGGGATGGTCAAACTCTTCGGAAATATTAAGAGCAATTCATCATATTGGCAAAGCATGTCTCCACGTGGACAAAGTAATGATTCTGGTTCCAATTAAGAAACACGCGGAGTTAATGTACCAAGTTATGGAGGTACCTATTCGACGTGCGAAATGGTGCTTTCCTTTTCATTGGGCTTGGGAGCTTGGACGGTTCCTTCCTCTGCGCGGAGGTCTGCCACTTTGTCGGACTGAATATCTCCCTTCTCCAGCCTGCGAACATGCTTATACTGCACACTTGTCTTCCAGGGCGTAAGACCGGGGGTGGCAAACATGCTTTCGACCTCCTCCAGGGTTTTACCGGCTGTTTCAGGGAAGGCGAAGAAGACATGGACAGTCATTGCGAAGCAAAAGACTCCAAACAATACATAGACCTTCCATTTGATGTTTTCAAAAGCGGGAGGGACGAAGTAGGAAAGGGCAAAGTTAAAGATCCAGTTAGACGACGTTGAAAGAGCGACAGCCTTGCCACGCAGGCGAAGGGGATAGAGCTCAGGGGGATAGATCCAGCTGACAGGACCCCAAGTTGGCGCAAAGCTGGCGACGAAAAGATAGGTGCAAGCAATGACTGCCTTGGCGGCCTGAGGGGACCCGGAGAGATCCCACGACTGTTCGGGAGTATTGTTGAGACCACCCGGTGGGGCTGGTTTGCCATACGATGCCATGATGCCAGCGTTGGCAAACATGAACACCATCATGAGGGTAGAACCGACCAAAAGCGGAGTGCGACGGCCCCAACGATCAATGAACACCAAAGCTAGCACAGTCATCACCACGTTGATGATGTACTGAATCGAGGATGCGATAAGGTTCGAGTTTCCAGTGAGGCCGGCCATACCGAATACATAGGTAATATAAAGCATCATGACGTTCATACCAGTGAGCTGAGACCAAATTTGCGTGAACATACCGAGGTGGGTTCGGTAAATCATATTACCCTTGAAAAGGTCAAGGTATGAGGCATCCTTGTTATTGCGCTCAAATTCGACCATTTCACGGATCTCGTGTAATTCGGCTTGCACGAAAGGCGCGTTTCGGTCACCTTTGGCATGGACCGACGCCAGAACCTCAAGAGATTCTTCCCAACGATCCTTCTTGGCCAACCAACGTGGACTTTCTGGCAATAGGAAGACGCAGCCGAAGAGCAGGGCAGCGGGAACCATCTGCAACCCCCACGGAGTGCGCCATGCAGCGGTGCCCTTCAAAAAGCTACAGCCGTACGAGACGTAGAACATGATCAATATACCCCAAGTGATCGCCCACTGTTGTGCTCCCACCACCTGTCCACGCTTACTGGGCTGGGCTAACTCGGCGACATAGACTGGCACTTGGGCGCTGAGTATACCGACGGAAACTCCGTTGATAAAGCGGCCAACGACAAGCTGGGGTATTCCAAAAGATGAACACACGATGGCGCTACCAATGCACCAGATCACTGAGCCAGACTGGATGGCCCCGCGACGACCCAGATAGTCGGTTACGAAACCAGAAGCTAGGGAGCCCACCCAGGAGCCACCAGGCATGGCAGCTGAGATACCACCCTGAGTGGAAGAGGTAGGGCCTCCGCATTCATTGCTATCATTGGTGCCAGTTTGGTTGAAGAAACACTTGTACTGCTGGGTGCCGAGACTGCCAGAGATAGTCAGTGATCATCAGCCTCAATCTGATATTTCCAAGGAATGGGACGCCTTACATGGCGGACATAGACGCGATATCAAAACCGAATAGTGCGCCGCCGATGACGGCCACCGCGGTGATGACATAGATATTAGTTATCTTGTAACCCATAACTAATGAAGTTCCACAAGAGAGTCTGATTAAAGATGGAGGAAGAAAGTGGAAGAAGGGATAGAGGGCAAGGGCGAGAGATTTTAAAGATACGATCCTTAAATGAAATACAATAAAACCCCGAATGGGAAAGGAGCAAACTCAAAAATCCTAAAAAGAACCCTGAAAACGCGGAGATGCGGAGATGCGGGGAAAAGTGGGTTCCCCGGCATACTACCTGCATTATACGAAGTAGATTCCCACTGCTGTACAGATGAATATGCAAATTAATGCCAGTGAGTAGAGTCAGTAGTGTAGCGGGGAAATACTATAGAAGGAAACCCGCCTTTTCAACTTCGATATGACCTGCCAAAGCCAACCTTGGAAGCTTCCGAGTCACCAAGTCACGGATTATCGGCTGGATATCAAATTAGTTTGTGGTCAGATGCTAGTGAGCCCCATATTATATGTAACATTATATGTCACCTCAAGCCACATGGTATCATCGCGTCGTCGGACATTTGCCTATTTTGTTCAAGGGTCGTGGTAGAAGGTCCGTGGATGAGACTTGCTGTCTCCTGATTTGGCCTCCTTTGTCTCAAGACATAAAATTCAAAACTAACTTTCCGTTACAGAAGACTGAGCACTAATCATCATCTCGATGAGAGCCGACACGCGCCCTGTGCTGATGTCGATCTTGGCTTATGAAAGGCGGGTGATCAGACCTCCTTGACAACACAACACGCCTCTCCCGCCATGATTTGGTAACACGGCACATGCATGCAACGCCCTCAGAGCCTGTTTGTCCGACCAAGACACTCGTGGCTATAGTACGACCCGACTAGCATGCAGGATTTACACGATACTGGAAGCAAATTCCAACGCTGATTGACTGGTATATCACACTGAACCATTCTTCCCAGGAGCTCTGCTACGTTGAACCTCCATCTCATATTCTATGCTCATAGCTAGTATCGCCACATTGCGGTTGTGGCTGGATGATTGAGTGCGCCCCCTACAAAGCTGTAATTAAGACGCTAAGCCCACCTTTAGGGCTACGGTTACCAGATTCAAACACGCGGTCTCGGATCAAGATCCCGAAACAAAGGGGCTGTTTTCTTACGCCAACTGCTGACCACTAAGAACGGGTCGTTTAGCACTCGACTCCTTCATCCCTGCGCCGGCCATCAATGACGTGGGAAGAATCCCTTTGGGGAGCTAAAATCGGGCGGAAACAATGCATCACTTCCTCCCGCCTCTCCCTTTTGCTCGACACATGTCTAAGAATATGGTGCGAATACGTTCCTTACCGAATTGAAATCAATGACCCGCCGTCTGCTGCCGTCTGCTGCCGCCTGCTGATCCCAGCTCACTTATTAGCCAGCAAGAATATGTGATACACCTCCACCTACCTTTATTACAAGGCTAAGAATCCATGCAGAGTCCAGGATCAACAATCCAAATGGGAAACTGCGTTTAACTAACTGGTTGCATCACCCCCTCAAATTTGCTAGCTTCAGACTTAGCCTCTGGTATGATCAATCCTTCCTGGCTGTCTAGACTGTCTATAGAAGGTTTGCAAGGTCGTGTCTGACGATCAGACTACCAGCGTTACATTTATATCATGTGTGGCTTACTGTTCCTTGTTTTTCGTCCAAAAAAACAGCCTGGTCCATCACGTGACCCATCTGTATCAAGGATGGAAAAATGACGGTTTTCATCCCAGATTCTGACAGTGTTTCTAAGCTTGCTTTGATGTTGCCACAACCGTGTCTGATAGGATCTTTATCGGTAATCTTAAAAATGCAATAAGCCCGAGGTGCTGCCACCTCAATTTAGCGCGACAAATGGTCTTTCATTAACATAACCTCGATCTATTCGGGCTATCCAGTGGTATTCGCAAGTTAAATTGGGACCGTATACGGTCAGCCACGCGAAACGAAAGCCAGCTGCAGGTCATAAGTCAAATCTGGATCGTATGAGGGTCATTACAGGATAGAAGCCGGCTGTAAGCCGTAGTACGTTAGATTCGGACGGACTTTGCGTCGTTTATGGGTAGTTGGTACGATCTATTAGATTTGATTGGACTACTTTGTAGTGCTGCGATGAAAGAGGGAAAGATTCTTATTTTCCAAGGGGCAGAATGCCCGACTATCTGGTACGGAAGGTTGGCACGGGCGACAAGTACCCGCAGTGGGCACATGGTGATGTTTCCTTTGGTCCATGGTTTCGAAAGCCTTGGGCCAAAGTGTGGCATTCCGCCCTTTGAACGAGGTCCGCCATTCGACTTCCTTTGCAATCTAGTTGTATAACCCCCATGCACTGTCCTTTACCCATTCAGTTTCGTACTGGGGTTTTTGGAGGCCTCCAAGTAAGACAATGAAAACCCCCTCAAACAACTTGAGATATCCTCTCTCGATTGGAGATTTTAATGATGCAAGAAGACGAAATTGAGCCTTTACACCTTGCCATAAGAGACGATATAGCGGAGAGTTGGGGTGTGTTTCCCATAGTGAGGGACTTTTGTGACGGATAATCCGCACTCTGATTGCCACACTTGATCCAACATATATTGAAACTGTATTTCCATGTTGATATGTTTCAGTAATAACTGAGAGATAGATCCCATGTTCGTCAATTGATTGGGAGGGGGCTGGGAGCGCGAGAAGGCTTTCCAGTGTGATCATTTCATCTTTAAACACCTTTAAAACCGACTTCGGTATTGCTGTAGACACTATATCGACTAGCCAGTCGATAAAAACTCGGAGAAGGAGACACCAGAATCCCATAGTCATAGGTCGATTCCCCATTTTCCCCAGGTTTACTGATTGGCTCCATCCTTGGAGCCTGGTAAGGACCTGGTGAATTGTATTGAGAAGTCGTCCTCGTGGCTTTAGTAAATTTGAGGTATCTGGCGGAAGTAATGTCCATGTGTCACTGTACAACGTCAGGCTGCGGGACTGATTCGCAATTTGGGTCATGGGAGTCTCTATGCTGAAGATTGAGGGGAACTCCAGCCATTAAATTGATGGAAACATGATGGACTTGATGGGTGTACATACCGAGTAAGCAGGATGAGAGGTTGAAGAAGAGAAAGAGAGAAAGGAAGCAATTTCTGTGTATATATATACACTCCCCTCTATCAATCCCCTCTATCCTAACTTTGTCTTATAAGTTAAGAGTGAGACATGCAGTTATAAGTGATAGGATGCCTAGATTCACAGGCTCTTAATAACTTACTACATTTACGAAAGACTATGGTTACCTGATTTCTCAGTAGCCACACCATGGTGTTCTCCTCTCTAGCACTCTACTACTCCTAGTGACTCTGCTCTCACACCTGTTTCGCAGGCAGGGCTGTCGGTGCCCCTGTCCCTCGTGGCAGGGTCCCTCTTCAATATTGAGATTAGAAAGTTTGTCCTCCCCAGATCCAAGCCTCATTCGACTCATATTCCTTATCTGCCATATATAAATTCAACTAGCTCAATGTTATTCTGATGGTGAGTGAATGGTCACATGTCCTAGGTAATCCGCCATTAGACCCGTCTCGGGTGGAGCCTTGTAGTACCCTCTGTCTCCAATAAACAACCAAACACAGCCATCTAAACAGCAGTCAAAGATAACGGTTTGCATCCAATAATTGAATGTTGAAAAAGTTAACAATGGCATAGACTCTCTAGGGCTATATGTATAAATGACTCGAGCACCACTCGTGTAGCCCTTGCAGGCAATCTCCACGGAGGGGATGGCCATCGATCATATACCCAAGGAGGAAGAGATCGAGTCTGACAAGGTTGCCTTCATAAAGGGGATACCCAGAGATGAAAACATTGAGTCCAACATTTGCGGACGTGGACGTACTTCCCGGTCCGGAAGACAATGACCACTTTGAGGGAATTCACACCGGGGGCGATGATTCATCACCCCAGAAATGAGAAGCAAATTGCGAGATGTTTGTGCACTAGGAGATTGTACACTATGGTGTGGTCTATGTGATCCCCATGCTTGCTAGCTGACCGTCCTGTATGGTTGGTGTCGCTGTGTTGTTCTCGTCTTGCCTGCGTGGCCAGGCTGCCCATCGTGCATTTCCCTCTTCAATATCTGAATTTCTGACGCCTGTGGCGTTGGGGATCAAAATGCGGGGTATTACCCTCCCGGCGTACCGCCTACGTGACCATAGCTATCCGTACATATACATAGACATCCCGGTTACAGTTACGAGAATCCTCATTTCCTCAATTTCCTTTATTCCCTCCGCGAATCTCAAATAGAGCATCTTCTCTTTCAGACCATGATCCACTACTCGATGCTTTGCTACCACCTTACACATTAGAATCACTGGTACATCCGCAATTAAAAATTCCCGCCCGCGATGAACGGATATCTTCAATGAAAACTGACAACCACATTCTACCTTGGGCCGACCGCGGAGGAAAAGCTGTACGCGGTGTCACCTCCCCGCGACTGTTTTCAATAACAAACCCACGATCTGTTACACGATGTCCAACTCATAAGCACCCGCTAATGGCAATGGCCCAGGGTGATAACCCCTGAGCCATCATTCCCGGTGAGTCGCTGGAGCATATTCACCTAGCTACACATTCAAGATATCTCTGGGTCCGAATGGAACCAATACTGGATAAATAAGAGTGCCATAAGACATAATACAGCATTAGAAGCCGGATGTCTAGGGTTGAAAGATCATTGACGAAACTGGCGGCATCCGCGGGGGCTAACGTCGAAATGCCCGAAAGATGGCAGCGATCTGTTGATCAACGAGGGACACCAGACATTGCATTGCGTGTCGCTAACATGGTTTAGTCTGAGAGACAGAGACTCTGAGGTTTTAACAATTTTGTTTCTGCTTGCCTTGCTCTTGTAGGTGCGTCCAATGTCTCAGGTCGATCCTCCGTTCTCTCGGTCACCATCACCGAGCCCACTCGGGCTGATTCACCTTCATCATCGTCAATTTTTATATTCCCATGCCTCTCAATATACATTTAATATCTTCCCAATAGCTACTACTCGTGGCCTTTATTCCCTCTGGGGCGATGTAGATAAGAACCGTCTATACCTTAAAACATAGCGCCATGACTCTATGACTAGGACACCATCTTCAGTACAGAGTATCGTCGCCTGCACCACCGTGCACCTAGGTGGCTCTTGGGCTGTCAATTTCTGGCGCTCGAACCAAACACTTCCCGCCAATCCATGGGAAATTGTAGAGAACGTAATTTCCTTGGGATCTGTGATATCGATTAATGAATACAGTCGGAATTAGAATCCGAAAAAGCGGCAAACTTTCAGACAAACGGAATTAACTCGGTTTCAAGATGTGGAAACGATAAAACTTTGTAGATCCACCGACTTCGGTATGGTGCCCTAGCATTGGCCGGATAGGATCAAAGTTTGATCTTCCAGAAGTCCGTAGGTGGCCAAATCTGCGATAAAAATTGATCTTGAATACAATACTTGAGCGTTGCTTTAGTCCGTAATTAATTTCGTGGTTATATTCTTCGCTGTTTACCCGCGGTATTCAGTTTGGCTTAAGTTGTTGAAGTTATCCGAATGTGCTATCATGGACTTGATACTTCCTAATGACGTACTTCTCTTGATAGGAGAGCAGCTGGAACAGAGAGCAGACCGACGGAACCTCGTCTTTGTCTCCCATCACTTTCACAATCTTTTCCTCCCACTGGTATATCGAAAGGCGTCCATCTACCATTGGCAAAATGCCAATTCCTTCCTGCATGCATTACTGCAACGACCTGCGCTGGCGCGGGCCGTTCGGGAGCTAGACATAACAGACTGGCATGCAAGAAGCGTATCGGAAGATGAATGCAATGAAATTCGGACTTCAGCATCTTTGGTGGCATGGCTAGGTGCTGTGTCATGCTCAACGCTCGAAAGTGATCAATGGGCCCAAAGTCTCGGGCAAGGCCTCGCTGACGCCTGGATTGCGCTCATTCTCCCATTGTTAAGTCAGCTAAGGAAGCTTTCGCTGGCCTATACGTCAAAGTCTCCTTATTTGGATCAGATCATGCAAAGGGCTGTGGACTGCAAACAGCCATTTTCCGACCAGCCAGCCTTCCGGCACCTACGCGAGGTCTCATTGCACCACCGGGAAGATCTTGATCACAGCGAGCACCTGGAAAGTGGGACTCAACTATCATCAACTCTGCTCCTGTCATTTTTCCAACTGCCGTCTGTTCGTGCTATCGCAGCCAACTCTGTAGTGGACCCTAGCTCCACAAGGGAACCGACAGATTATGAGAAGCCACGCCTTGCCTTCTCCTCAATCACTGATATTGATTTCCGAGCAAGTAGTGGGAACTATGGCATGGAGATATTGGTTAGTTCATGCGCAGAACTGAAGTCATTTAAATACCAGCACTCGGACTCGCACATCCTTTCGCATGGTTACCAGCCATCCGCCTTCCATCGGTCTTTGATTCACAGCAAAAAAAGCTTGCAAATACTCTGGCTGGACCACTATGGAAGCCACTACCCGTTCACCGCTGCTGGATTGAACCAATCCCACGATGAGTGCTTTGGCTCCCTCGTCGAATTCACCGCCTTGAAAGAAGTGCGCGTGAGACTGCCAAATCTTCTGGATATTCGATACCAGAACGAACCAACCGTGCCTCTCATGGAGTGTCTACCACCGTCACTTGAGACTCTGTATATTGAAGGATGCGAGGAGCGATATCTGGGAATGTTGGTTTCCCAGTTACAGAGCGTGGTCAAAATCCGACAGACTCATTTCCCTCGACTCAAGCGTGTCGATATCGAGGGTGCATTCCAAAACATCCCGTCGGATGACGATGGTCAGGTTGCCAGCTCCGAATCAGAATTACCTGCTGTGATTAAGGACAAAATATATCAGGCTGCTGAACCTTTGCATATAGACTGCGTCAATGCTGGTTTGGAGTTGCATCTTCACGACCGTGCACTGTCACATATTTGATTATCTCTCTCTATTCATTAGCGAACTCCAGGCTTGCATATTCCAACATTTGATTTGACGATAGATACCATCTGAAACCTCTTTTTATATAGACCTGCCTCTTATTATTCACGACTATTTCAATACAGACTGAGAATTTGAACTTTTAGATCATTGGACAGACCTCCGACAGACCTCCCACTCTTCATTCCCAATTCAAGTGCTTGATAGGTATCATGCCGAAAATGTGAATTATTCTTAACGAATACACTGACCCAGGCCGCAGAGCGTGTTCGAAATTTTATATTGTGTATTTTTGTAGGCCAACACTTCATAAAGAAACACGCTTCTAATATATCATTTGCGATTGGATTGGAAGTGATCGGAGGGTATTCTATGGTCCGTGTACTTAAAGGGAAGCAAGAACCGCATCGGCACCAGACTTCTGTAGAGCTGTTAGCATCATACATCGCTAAAACGAAGGTTAAAATTCCATACCTTCACAACACCCCTTTCGGTCTCGATCTGGGCATAGCCGATCTTACCGTGATCGATAACGATCGCATAGCGGCCCGTACGGCCCGAGGTCTCATCGGCCCAGCCAATGCTCTTAGAAAACTTGGCATCGGGATCGGTGAGGAAGAGCTATTTTACAAAATCAATACAAGTCGCAGAAATGTGTGGGGCGGGGTTGTGCTGCTCACTATGTCATCTCCGCGGACTCCGTTCGCCTTGCCCCAGGCACTCATAACGAACGGATCATTGAAAGCAACGACCGCGACAATGTCAACCCCCTTCTCACGGAGCTTGGGCAGGTTGTGGATATAGCCTGGCACGTGGTTGATAGAGCATGTTGGGGTGAAGGCACCTTGGTTCACACTCACGTTAACAAAGTCCGACTTCAGCTACAGGGTGAGATAAACATCAACTTACCGGGAACTGAGAACAGGACAACTTTCTTGTTGGCCCACTCCTTCGAGGCATTGTAGTCGATAGGAATGCCGCAGGAGGTAATTTCACCACTTTCCTCGCTCCATGGAATGTACCTGGAGGAATCAGCATCATTCTTTGCGGGGGTCAGGATTTACCCACTTGAAGACAACGTCGCTGGGGAATGAGTCGCCGGGCTTGAGTGTAGTCATATTGAAATTATTGTGAATATTAGAGATGAGGGATATGTAAGAAAAAGTTGAGGTTTTGGAAATGGCGGGGTGAAGATGTCTCGACGTCACCTGTGCAAGCTGATTAATATGTATGAGGTGATCGCCCGGCGGAGCTCGCCGACCTCGGCATCCACCCTCCCTTGTCTGGGCTGGTTTAGATATGAATGAACTTGGAGTTTTAGTGATAAACATTATGACTCAAATGACTGTACGATTGATGATGAGCTATATAGAGAAAGGTGACAGGTCAAGCTCCCAAATTTCCCAAATAGGCACCGGATGAGCCCGCGTGGGGCTTAGTTTAGATATCGAGAAGCGTTGAAATTTTGGGTTTGAGAGGAACGATGCAAAGATGACGCCGTGAAGGGGCGAGCGATCCTCAGTTTTCTTTATACATTAAGTTTCAGACGAGAGCCGCTTTCTTCTTCTGATAAGTCTATGTAAGGGGAAAGTGTTGTACAAATTTCCGGAAATGAATCCTTAACACATGCATGCCATGACAGCCAACTATTTTTTGGTGTTCTTCACGGGGTGTAAGAACATCGGAGGCAGGCAGAGATCACTATGATCATGCTTTCCGTGTAGTGTCAGCAAATTTCAACAGAAAAATCAAGGGACCAGCGAAACCACTCACGTCGTCTGCACCATCGTAACCTAGCCAAGCTCGATAAATCTTTCCGGCAAATTGCGACCCATACATGTATGATATCTTCATCATGATATCATTGTGCTGGTTCCAGTTCCAGATACTATTCCGCCCAGCGCTGATTTTACCAGGCTTGCCTGAATTAGCTCGGAGATTGAGCTCAACAGGACTTGTTTCGTGCGCATGGTAAATGGGTTGAGGAATTTGAACGGCTTTCAATCCATAATAAAGAGCCCAGGAGGTAGGGCCCATTTCAGATGCTAGTCCCAGCCCTTTCTCAGTCGTATCCTTATGCATAAGGCGAAGTAATCGCGCCGAGACACGGGACATCGCGACAACAGATGCCCGCCGCGGAGTGCTTCCCCTCTGCCGGAAATTATATATACGGTTAGTAAGAAGCCAATCAGTATGCTGAGGGTCGAATTGTGGCAGCCAGGTGATCAAGTCAGCTTCCTCGCCCACGCCCCAGCTCCAAGACTCATCTTCCATATCTGCGCGCGGTGGCTCTGGTGCTTCAGCCCAAGCCTCGATGCCTTTTGCTGGCCGTGGTCCCCAGATACTATCAACGCCTGTCATGCTTTGATCTACCTGATCGGTAAAATTTTCCCAGTTCCCGTGGATAGCGGGCATATAGAAGTAGGAGTTGCGCTCCCATAGATTCTTGCGACGCTGTTGTTTTGCAAACTCTGTTGCCTGCTGGAGAAGGTCGTAGAAATGTCCCGTATAACGTGAATCCATCTCAAACTGCCAGAAAAAGTCGTATTGTGGGTTCAATCGTGAGAAAATCTGCATGGGCTGAAAGTATTGAAGCATGGCTCTAAAGATGGGTTAACGTCTCGAAGTTACTATAGAGAGGATATAAATCTTACTCGTGAATACCGATCATTGGGTACCAGTCCTCTAGTATCTTTGAGTTGAAGAATACTGCCAGATCCCGGAGCTCTAGCGGAAGAGACTTTTTAAGACTGTCCAAGTCCGCTGGATAAGGCAATTCAGTGTCTTTCGCATCAACCAAGAGGATCACCTCATATTCTGCGCCTGATAAGAGCGACAGCTCCATTATAATCGACCGGATATAATAAAGATCATCATTCGTGTATTCCATGTCGAGCCATGTGCGCAGAACCACCCCTATCCGTGGTTTGAAGATAGCAGAGGTATGGTCTCGGTTTGTCTCTCTCTTCTCTCTTTCATGACGTTTCGCTGTTCCTTCCTCTTGCTCCCTGTGCAGAGTCGATGTCTTCTCGCGAATATCCGAAGGTTGATACCGGTCTGCATTGCGCTGCAAACAGTCCTTTTGCAAAGTGGCCCAATTCACGTCCTGCCACTGTACTTTGTGTGTTTGATCTCCGTAGCCGTATGCTCCATATCGAGAATATCGGTCGACGCAGAAACTCCAATTGAGATTCCACGCCTCGTACGATCCAAATATAGGCGCTGGAAATTCTAGAAAGCTATCAGTGCCCAAGTCAAATGCGCCAGAATAGGTTTGGCTCAATTCAGACCTGACTGATTCCAGTGAAATCCTTTCATCGCTGTTTCCGCGTCCCTACGATCCAGGACTGAACCATTTGGGCCAACACATTGCTGATAGGTTCCCTTCCACGTGTTGTTCCATTCGCCGCTGTTATATTCAGGATACGGGTCGTAAGGTATGGACGATGATTCGTGCGAAGTTTTCAATACAAGCTGACCGAGACCACCCCCATCATAAGCAGGCCCTGAGCCTAGAAAAAAGGCATTTTTTCGACTGTAAAAAGATGAGCGTGTTAGCGACCGGGTCAAAGTTCGCTATCATGCGATTTGGACGTCAGGACAGGTGAAAGGACATACCTTGAAGCATGGATTGCTAAAGGTTGTTCCCTTGACCGAGGTATAAGCATGAAAATTGTAAATGCAATGACGAGAGCGATTGCAACGAGACTGCGCTTTAAAGAAGTCCGGAATAAGTGCCGGCATTTTTGCACAATGGCGTGCATTTTCAAGACAGGTGGTGGTTTGTAGGAAGTGGTTTAGTCAATATTCGTCGTCATGGTAGTAGTGATTCATTAATAATTAGGGATATTAGAGATGCGATAACCAGTTAGAGCGAGAAAAGGAAAAGGAAAAGGAAAATAAAAACATGCAGTTCCTACTTCGGAATCCAGCGGAAAGATTATGGCACTAAAACTGCATCTTAGACCCGGGGGCAACATGGGGCAACATGGGGCAATATGGGGGTTGCAGTGGGCCAGAGATAGATTTTCAAGAGCCTCGAAGCTCTAAGTGAACCATGACCATCCCAAAATGAGTTCAATCTTTTGAGACTAAAACTGCTCATCCTTTTGCTAATTGTGCGCCTCTTCTTAAATTGAACGAAGAATTGTGGAAACAAATTACTAAATACATAAAACGAAATAATACACGCTAGTATATATTAGTACCCACTAGCACAGCCTATCCTAATGATAATATCCATGGATAAGATCTCAATCTCTTTATAGTACGGAGTACACATATAGTAGCCACTCCATGCTTCGTACCTAGATGACTACGATGTATATGTAGAGGAGAGATCATAACGCGATTATATGAAATTGACTAGACTAGCTAATTCAGAGGAAAGGGACGCTGTCTAGGACAAACTGGGACACGTGACTACGTGTCCTAGCATGTACATACATACCTAGATAGTACCAACTGTCGCCCAACTCCACCTAGATTTAGCGTGGTATTTAACTCGGTATCTTAACATATTCAAACCAAGTTAATATATAAGAGCAGCTAGCATCATTAACAGTTATATAATTAGTCGGTTATTATACTAACTAACTAAGAATTAGCAAGATTCAGAGACTTGTATATCAGAAGGGAGGAATTTGAGAAATTCCATATAATGCAGCCTGCGGGTTCAGTACTGAAAAGTGAGTGGATCCCACATATCACATACGGATTTTGCCATGCCACTTCTTGGAAACCAACTTAAAGCGAGGTAAGCCTCGTCAAGCCTTGTCGTGGCCGCTTTGAGCCCTCCGCAGTATTTACAATATCCAAGAAACAGTCGCACGATAAAATCGGATTAAATTATAGATTTCTCCCCTATTGTCGCCTTGAAAATTACTTGAACTACGATTGGAACATTATCGACATCAAATCGAAAGATGATAATATGGAAACTCCAGAATGGCAAATTGTGGCATTCATTCTTTTAGTTTTCAACACTCCAGATGCAATGTGAGCTTATCACTGGGCACGGGCACCTATATTCCTGACTTCTAAGTGCATATCCGGCTTGTCAGTCGAACAGCCCGGCTCCGGTCAATTCAAAAATACCCCGGTATCCTAGCAAAGCATCACGCGGGGAAGCACGGATTGTTTCATACTACATTTTCTACCATATTGAAATTTATATTCTCCATTAGGATTAAATTCATGGAATTGGTTGGATATTGACTGTGGAACCCAAATTCCACAGATGCTGACCCTTGACTCCCGCAACTAGAACCCAGAATGTATAAAGCTGCATCTATCCTGCATATCTAGATGTAAAAGTACTACTTTGCAATATTAACTGGGATTCAGTCGACTGATCTAGAGGTCTTGGCTACATTGGATATCATGTTCGAAGAATCCATTCAAGGCAAAAGACTTCGCCTTCTTGCCCGGCTGAGTTGCTCTTTGGTGTGTCCACCCACATATTGATCAAGCCCAATGAGAACGACCCCTAATTATATTGAGCCAGGCCTTTCTTGTTGAGGGTTACCAGGCTGGAATTCTCGGAGGAGTGCAAGATACCAAACCATACCGTGATGCACTCGGAGTAAGCTGCCTCCAACCAGTATTGTATGTTCTCTGCTGACCTTCGGAAAGAACCCTGAAGGGGCGGAGATAATCCCAATGATCGCATCTTCTTACACACTCGCAGCTACTGTAATGTCTATTGTGGTGGTTGTTGTGGGGATGCCTCTAGGCCGCCGAAATTCAATCCTACTCGGCACGGTGTTGATATTCTTCGGTGGCATCATTCAGGCAGCATCATACTCGGTAGCACAAATTATCGTAGCCCGGGTCATATGTGTAAGTCTGTGCCCTTTCATCGACGTGTCCCGAATTCGAAATTAACATATGGCTACCTAACAGGGTTTTGGTATCGCGGTAAGACAAGTGCAGCTTACGAGACTATTCCATTTCTGATGTCTCTCGCAGTTTATTACATGCAATGTCCCTATGTATATGGTACGAGCGTCCCTCCTCTTGTTGACAACTACAACTGATCTGATGCAATGATCTAGTCTGAGATGAGTATCCATGCCAATGAGCGCGGCCCCGAGGTAGCGATCAACTGCTCTTCGCTCCTCGCAGGTATCGCTTTATCTTACTGGGCGGACTTTGGATTCACAAGAATGTCAAATCAGCTATCCTGGGTAAGGTTATAAATTCTCGTTGCTAAAACTGGGAACTAATAGTTGAATTGTCAAAGCGGTTGCCTGTTTCCATCCAATCCATATTTGCTCTCTTTTCAGCAGCCGGCATTTTCTTCTGTCCGGACTCACCAAGGTGGTATTATGCAAAGGGGCGAACTGCTGAAGGCGATATCACCCTGGCAAGACTATACAATGTCTATCGTGTTGACAATAGTGCTCAGCCCGAGAGTGCTTCCATGGAGCTTGTCAGAGCTGAGATTATGCAGAACCTCCAGCTTGAGGCGGAACAAGAGAACCGACTCAGCTGGCTAAGCCTTGTTTGGGACAACACCCCGCTCCGTGTTGGCCGTCGGATAAGGATATCTTTTATCATCCTATCCATTCAACAAATGATGGGAATCAATATCATGGTTTACTATATGCCGCTAATATTTTCGAACGTCGGCCTCTCGAGCTTTTTATCGTCGCTCATTTCTGCTGTTGCATTGACAGTCCAATTTACAGGCTCACTGGTCACTATTCCTACAATTGAGAGGATTGGCCGGCGTCGAATCATGCTGGTTGCAGCTGCCGTTCAGAGCTGTTGTATGCTTGTTTTCGTGGTTTTGAATGGTCTTCCTAGTAAGACGGAAAAGACCCAATGGGCAGCCGCTGCTATGATGTTCCCATATATGTTCATGTACGGCTGGGGATGGGTTACCTGTCCGTGGTAAGCATTCAAAGCTGTCAAATTTGCAATGCATAAAGTTGACACTTATTCTAGGCTATATGGACCCGAGGTATGATTCTTCGCTGTGCTCGGCACGCCTAATCTGACTTGAATATCCCCAGATCGCTCCCCTCAAGTATCGCCACATCGGAGCCGCAGTTGGCCTGTTCGGGGAGTGGCTATTCAGTTTTGTGACAGTAATTGCTGGCGGCATCGGGCTCGAGACATCCGGCTGGAAGATATGGATTTGGCCCCTTATTTTCAACGTGCTGGGTTTTGTCTTCGTCTATTTCATGTGCCCTGATGTGAGTGCTCTACCATCGAAGCCCAAGAAGGCGATCTTGCTAACTCAATATCAAATAGCCGACCGGGAGAACTCTGGAAGAAATTGACGCTCTATTTGACACGGACTTCAGATTACCACACACTTCCGACGAGAAGTTATCAGTGCATCAAATTGAGAATACGGCTTAAGTCATCAAATGAGATGCCTTTGGAAAGAAAGGCGAGCTTGTACATGTGACGTCGCTTTTACTATGCTATCTAAAACTCGATATTCGAATATCCGTTGTACCAGAACCAATATCCTCGTGCGTTGCGGAGATGTATATGTGGGGGATTGTATCAGGGACCCCCCCCCTTGGTTGTTCCAACCCCCCTTTGGCTAGTTAATAGGACCTTCCCAGCCCGAGATTTTAGGTATCAGTTATTTCTGCCAGGTTGCAAAGTGGGAAGCGGCTTGCTTATATATGGTTGACCTTTTACAAACGTTGCAAGCTTCGAACCTTCTTGCTGAGCAATCGCAAATACCTATATAAACAGGAATAAGCAAGCAAATAACTATGTTGTATGCAAATCGTAGGAAAGGTGGCCAGGAAAGCGGCCAAAGGTACGGTGAGCCTTTATAGTAGGCGGTCAGTTTATGCCTGAATTATCGGGCGGATTGCATTAGCCAAAGGGGGGTCGAAATAACCAAGGGGGGTCCTTGATACAATTCCCTACATATATATGGACCTATTATTCCCTACCTTAGTAGAGATCGAGGAAATGGATGTTTAGAGTTTTTTATTTTAGGTACCATTTGTATTGGTATACTATACAAAAGGTACCTTATTTTGCAATTTTTATCGTTCAGCGAAAATTATCGTTGACTGGGGTACCAGTGGGCGCCTGGCACGATTACTGCTTCGCAAACAAATGGTATTGGACACGGCATTAATACTAGTGCAAAAGGAGGCTCTCAACTCCGGTATATATAATTGATCATATTCAGCAGGGTTCAAAATATATGTTCTTTTTCATAGCTTGTATTTGTGTTCATGTGGCTCTAGCCGTCGTATTACTTGTGCGATAGCACTCTTACGTTCACCGCGACTTTGCCAAAACGCCGGAATGGACTTTGTAGTTTCGCATAAGAGGCGAAGAGCGTTGATTCCTCTGGAAGCATGCTCCTCCGGAATCATTTGTCCTGGTTGATTCAGTGATGCATTGAACACCTCAAGCGAGATTGGGCCTCGGTACCCGGTGCCAAGCACAGCAGCTGCGACAAGCTCAACAGGCATATATGCACCTCTAGACTGCTCCATAGGATATAGCCGATGACTTCGCGACCATGGAAGCAGTGCTGGTGTATCTGGGTCAGTTGGAGGAAGGAAAGTCGTTGGGTTCATCAACTCCGCATCGCCACACTGGAAGAAAAATATCCGATCACCCGGTACCGTCGAGACCAATGACGCGAGTGATCCGGTAAGGACTTCTAGAGATTCCTCTAAGGTTGGGTAAATCCGCCCGTGGCCAGCAACATTGTACGGATCAGCAAACTCGACGGCGAGGATATTGAAGGCATCCACGATTAGTCCAACGTTGGGGCGGTTGGCAAATCGCACCACTTCCCATGAGGCCGACCATGTGTTTCGAGTCGCCCAAGATAGGCCTTCGTACCCAATTTTTAACATTCGCCCACCGTCAGCCTTTGCGTATGCGGCCGCCATGTCGCCCAGTTCCGCGAGATCTCGTGCCACTGTCTTGAGATCAGATGTCACACCCTTATCCGCGCGAATATTCGCACACATGAAGACGAGATCGGTGTCAAAGGCGCGCATGAACGGAAAACGTCTATGTAGTAGGTTAGTATAGATCGCCGTTATGTCATTATCGAGGTAAGGTATATCTCACTTGGCGACTAGATCGAAGGTAGCCTGGCGTTCTGTTGGATCTTTGATTCCTTCAATTTTCCGAAGAGGCTGGGTGCAAGCAATCCGCATTCCCAAGGACTTGACAAGACGAGCCAACTTTTGAGCAATCTGCAGATTCTCTGAAGTGGGTTCCCAAGGCTGGTCTCCTGGCAGTCCATGTTCCTCCAGGTATGCAGCCCAACACTCATCAAACAAGTCGATCCATTGATATCCCGATTCAGCCGCGGCTTTCAAGCGTGGTTCCAAGCGATGCTCTCTCCAGTTGCCGAGGGACAAGGTGGCGATACCCAGTGGGTTGGCTTTATATGGAGGCCAGGATACTGTCATAGTTCCAGGTGTGGTAGATTTTATGATTTTTTTGGTTATGAGTCGCGTCAATTAATACAACAAAGGGATGCGAATATCTCGAATATCCGACCTGAGTTGACGCCACCTCCACAAACCGGTGTATTTTTTAATGCACCGAGTGGGGTAGTCTATCATTCTTATGAAGGTACTGTATTATGTATTAATCAATCAAAGGATTCAGAAGGATTCAGATAACAATTGATTCATATATTTTAAGTTTTATGGGAAGTGCCCCAAGCTTAAGGGACTATAAGGTCAATCAATGTACAGACACCTAAACGAATCTCAAGTTCCCGCACAACCAATTTTTCAACTCAAGGCTCTTCAATAAAACGACCGTTAACCGCATGATATCCTTAATTCTACAGGAACTAGATATGTGACATGTCTAAAACAGGAACCGGGAGTCCGTCCTTGGCCTTCAAAGCTGTAACAATAGCCTCGCAGACGGAGACTGCTGCTAGTCCATCCTCGGCCGAGCAAATAGGATCTTCTAAGTCACGAACCACTCTAGCCAAATGTTCTGCTTGTTGTTGAAACGGAATACCCTGGGCGACTGGAAGCTTGACGCGTGTCATTGGAGTTTTCCACCCAGCCTCTTGGCGATACCTGCCCGTCGTCTCCGAGTCGTAGGTCCAAAGAGTGTTGTCGGGGACAACGATAGTCCCTTTCGTGCCCAAAATGCTATAAATATCCACTGGGATCTCTGCCTTTGGATACAAAGGATTGTCGCCAGTAGCAGACTCCCAACCGTATGGGCTAGCCACATTGTCACTCACCAGAAATGTGCCAACAACTCCGTTGGAAAATTGGGCCATAATCGCTGCCCCCTCTTCAACGATATCATCGGCCGCCACAATTTCGTGTTTCCTTCTGGGTATGGTGTTTATGGCCCATACACATGTCATCCTGGCACCTGTGAGGAAATGAAGGGCATCGATATCATGCACAAAATTCGTCCAAATCGGCCCTCCTCCGGCGGACCGCGTTGCCCGCCAACTAGCAGAAGTAAAATAGCCTTCGTCTTTCTTCGCAGTCCACAATCCCGAGATAGCTGTAATCTTCCCAATTTTTCCTGTTTCGATCACCGACCGTGTAGTTGACAGCGAGGGATGGAATCTGCGGTGGTGTCCCACAAGGATTTTGCAACATTTTTCATTTGAAAGCGCAAGTAACTCGGTTCCAGATTTCGAATCTGTACAAAAGGGTTTTTCGATGAGTAAGGCCTTGGGACGTGCTCGATAGATGACATCTATCGCTATGGAAACATGGAGACTCGAAGGGACGCATATCACGTAGGCCTCTGGTGGCTTTTGTAGCGCCTTCAAAAGTGATGCAACAGACTCGAAGTGCGGAAGAGACAAGCTCGACGCCAATTCGCGTCCCGGGTGGTACGGATCAACAATTGCCACCAGTTCACATGTTGGTGAAGACATAAGATGCTTGACGTGCAAAGGAGCTATGGTACCTCCCCCGATAAGAGCGATGCGAACCTTCGGGCTTTCTGCCATACTGAAGACACAAGACAACTGTTTTTGGATTCACGTAGAAGGCGTATGAACCTAAACAATGTGGGGATTAAACATTCATTAGATAGAAGATATAATTCACAGTTTGATCCCGGTCAATATATCAAAATGCCGACAAATATGAATGCGGGGTCATCGAAATTCCCGTAAGTTGTCTTCCTAGATTCGTTGGTATTATTTTCAATGATTTCTCTCGTTAGTCCCTCCAACCCTACATCTGGTCCATACAAACACCAAATATGGATATCCTCAAGCAATCTTATGCTCACGGCAGCTCCCCGTTACCATCGAACGCAGCAGTGACTCAGTATCATGTCTATCTTTTTGGTAGTAATATCTCCAAATCACTATCGCCCTTGATACACTCTATCCTATTTCGCGCCAACTCAGCCTCATGGGAATTTCACCTCAGCCAGACCACTGACGGGAACATATTCTGGAAGCAATTACGTGACAACACATGCATTGGGACCACAATCACGATGCCGAACAAGGTGTCCTTTGGCCTCCTACTCGACGACTTGACCGACGAGGCACGCGTTATTGGGGCCGTCAACACCTCATTCGTTCGGCTTGATGATCGTGGACAGAGAAGATATATCGGCACAAACACAGACTGCATCGGTATTCGCGATTCTATTCTCTACCGAATGCCCCAAGCGGCTGCCATGGCCAAAGGCCGCCCGTCGATGGTGATTGGTGGTGGAGGCGCTGCGAGGAGCGCAATTTTTGCCCTCTGGAAATGGTTTGGGTCCACAAAGATCTATGTTGCCAACCGTCTCAAAGCCGAAGTAGATGCTTTGATCACCTTCTTTCAATCGACGGCACCGGATATGACACTCCAACATCTCGCTACTGTTGAGGAAGCTGCAACCTGCGAGGCTCCTTATATTGTCATCGGGACAATTCCAAACGATACACCAAAAGAACCTGGTGAAATTATTTGCCGTCAAATCTTCGACACCATTTTGCGCAGGAAGAACAAAGGCATCGTAGTAGATATGTGCTATCTCCCATTGCCAGTGACTTATTTGTATACAAATGGACAGCAAAATGGCTGGGCAGTCATCCCAGGGACCGAGGTTCTAGTGCGTGTTTGCATAGCACAACATATTCTCTGGTTGGAGAAGGATGTCAATAAACAAGGAGTGGAAGATGCGATTTCAGCTATCTGGAAAGTTGTAAATCAGGGGCAAAGTGGTCCAAAGGCTTCGAAGATTTGAATTGGATTTTTAGCGTTGAGACTTTCATTGAATACTCACCTACTCATTCTTCATTCTATTATTTTCTCCTCCCTTGGCGTAAAACAAGTATGCATCTCATGAAGTGTGCGCAAGTGGAGATGGCTGCGGGTGTCATCGATTCCTTCGAGATAGTATAGCCCTTTAACTAACTAGGAAGGAGTTGATGCCTAGATGCCTTATCTTAGAATGGCAGAAAAATTCTATTGGCACTCCCACATAGCTCACCGCCACTATAAACCTATACCGCCTACCTAAAACGCGCAGTATACTAGTATAGATTTCATAGTATGAATTCATGGAGTTTTTGACCGGCAATATGTTAAAATTAATCATGGGTGGCTAAGGGTGCAAAACCTTATGTCCAGTCGCTGTACGGAGTACATATGCCTTAATAATCGAAGTACTCCCGAGGTCTGGTTCGGAGAGAGAGCTTGCCAGCCACCTCCAAAAATTGAGATGCATGAATTTGTATGGTGCCGAAAGCTTCATTTATTACATGGATCATTTATATTTGTATAGAGCAGTGTAAAGAGCGGTGCTAATGAAGGCATTCAGGGACCAAAATGCTTCTTAAAAAGGGGTTTGAACGCTGGGGTATCAAAGGAACAAAACAAAATATACATGTCACTTGAAGATTTTGACTCGTAGTAGCAATATTTACCTCTGGTTTCGGGCCTAATTCCGATCATTAGTGCGACTGTTTCCCCGCAGTTGTGATTGACCGGGTGACAAATAAATAGCCCGGTTAACTAGGTGAGGATATCACTAGATGCTACAAGATATAGAGCGGAATAAAGGCGCATTATGTCCCAGCGAGAGAGCTTAAATTTCTCTTAAACATTTTTTAACTTTGTTGCTGGGTCTGTATCACCATGTCTGCATCGCACATCTCCCCTCTCGCTCAGGTATGCTTCTCTGGTTAAACCAAACCCTCGATGAGACTTTCTAACAACAAACAACTAGCCCATTACGTTGAAACTCTCTGGGAAAGTAATCCGCAATCGTTTATATCGCACACCTCTCAGCGAATATGCTTCAACGTATGACGAAAACAACGTGGAGAACTGCGGCAAGCCCATGGACCGATATGCAGAGCTATATCAAAGTATGATCGGGACTATCATACCAATAGGACTAGTGCTAACGAGTACACAGAGCTAGCCGATGGAGGCGCGGGGCTTATTTGCACTGGAAACATCCCCATTCATCGCGACAATCTCGAAAATTACAACAATGCGGTGTTGGATCCCAACAATCCCTGGGATCCGGTCGCAGCTTTTACTCCCGCGGCCAAAGCAGCCAAATCTCGGGGTGCAATATTCCTCCCTCAGTTACAATTTCCAGGACGTCAGGTTCCGGAATTCCTGAACAAAAATCCCAAGTCATCATCTGATCAGCAGCTTGAACCTTGTCTCAACAAAACGTATGGCAAGCCCTCGCCGTTGACGAAGGCTGAAATCAAGGATCTCATTTCGCGATACGTGTGGGCTTCTGAGGTCCTTGCAGAGGCTGGTGCAGATGGTATCATTGTGAGTGTTTGAATCTATTCCTGACTTGTTATGAAAAGCTAAATGAGGCGTATTGGTAGCTGCATGCCAGCCACGGATATATCATGAATCAGTTCCTGTCGCCCAAAATCAACAAGCGAACAGACGAGGTATGAATGTTAAATTCCTCTCCCCCTTGCAATCAATTAATGCTAATATTGACTAAACTTTACAGTATGGCGGAAGCCTTGAAAATCGGGCACGCTTTATTTTGGAGATCGTCAATGCGATCAAGGCTAAACTTCCATCGGACAAGTTTGTGATAGCAGCGAAGTTGAACTGCCAAGATTGTTAGTATTTCCATCCCATATTTTGAAGAAAAGCCTAATGGGAAGATATATGTAGTCATCGAGGGAGGCCAAAGCTTTGCTGAACAATGCGTTGTGATAAAATGGCTAGAAGATGCCGGTGTGGACTTTTTTGATATCTCGGGGGGAACATATGCCTCTCCTGCATGGCGTGGCAACATCATGACTGAACTTGCAGAGCGTCCATCCCAAAAACAGCGTGGAAGGTAAATGATTTCAATTGCTTCACTGTTTTTATATGCTGACTATGCGAAGTTACTTCATTGAGTGGGCGCAGGAGTTGAAGAAAGTGCTGGTGAGTATATTACATGTTTTCTGCGACTTGTGATCAAATAAGCTGATTGACAAATCACTAGTCTCGGGCTGTGATTGGAACTACCGGTGGCTGGCGTGATAGCCATCGTATGGCGGAGGCTGTGGAACGTGGAGACATCGACATGTGTGGTCTGGGTCGACCTCTCCGAGAAGATCCCGCCTTTGTGAATAAGGTGCTTCAAGGGGAAATTCGCAGAAGTAACTTGTAGGTTGATACTCAGTGATCTGAAACAGTCACTGTAACCCACATAATATATTCAATGGGATGTTAGGAATCCCGCAAAGAATCATATTTTCTTCTCTTTTTTTCACTTATAAGATCACTAAGAATGTACCTTTGACCCTTCATGCAGACTTTTCCCATTTAGTTCATAGAAGCCATTGTAAAATCAATGCTAACCTGACTGAGAAATACATGGTTTATGAAAGCAGTAGATTATTGCCAGTCATTGGACACTAAAAATGCATAAACAATAGCTATGCTTTTCAGATTTCTATTTGCCAAAATTGTTAAAAGACGGCCCCAAATCCAGGCCCGAACATTTCCCGGAAGAAGTCAGCAAACCCCTCATCATTTAGATCCCCCTGGGTAGAAATTGACGCTGTAGTCAGGAAAGGATCGTAATCCGAGACGAAAGCCTCGTATGGCTTCGAATGGGGGGACTTCTGTGGCATAAATTGACTCGCTTCGTTATCAAAGTCTGTACTGGTGTACGACGCATCCGTTCTGGTCTGGCGAAGTTGACTTTGGGCTTTCAGTCCCGCCGCTCTGGCTCTCAGTATCATCATGAGGTGTTGTCCAAGTAACGCTGCGATTCCAAATCGATGCGGTGGAGTTGTTCCTGCACGTTCTAATTGAATGGCAAGTTGGCTGAGTAAAGCAAGAAGTTCCACGTCATTTCCGGCGCGGGATCCATACACGGTGGGAAATAGCTTCAAAGCCAACACGCCGGCGTATGATATCATAGCCCAAGTTGGGGCCAACATGCAATATAATGGCTCCCCAATATGATGCAAATCGCGCACGGCGACCTCGCAAGAATTGACTGCAGCCTCAAAGCAATCCAGTCGGATTGCATCCATATTTTGGTCCCAGTTTATGGAACCGTGAAGGGCAAACGACAAGGTCCAAAGCCTCCCGTGGAGATAAACATAATGGAGGAAGATATGGGATAACTTTTCAGACGGCGATGTGATTATATCGGGCATTGGATGTGACAGCCAAAGGTCACACCACGGCCTCAGAGTTGTATCAACCATTTCTCGTACCCAATGGGGATCAACGTGTGTCAAATGAGCTTGATTTTTTAGTTCATTTTGTAGTGATGCTAGAATGCGTCGCAAGGTGATAAATGCACATGTGTGCTTGTCTGTAGGGTCCGCCAGATGATGAAGCCACCAGCTATCAACACTTTGTGTCAAGTCCGTTTCCGGGAATGTGTGAATTCTACCGCAGGCTGCACTGTTCGCCCGTTCCCATAGTAGAATCCTTAGCCAAGTTCTCTCGCGATTTCGTGCCATGCGTTGATTATCGGTGTGATCCTTTGGGGGGTACTCCAGTAATAACCGGGACGAGTCCTCTCTTGGGAGTGGTGCTGGGGCTGCATCTTGGGTTCGGTAATAGGAAGCACTGAGCGTGTTCAGAGGTGTCGCATCTTTGGCACTAGAATCCTGATCTAGGCCTAGTTCGGCTGCTACACCAAAGGCATACATTGTGTAGAGCCATGAGCGTTCCTGTGACAGTGTCTCTGCGGGAGTGGCCGATAACAATGAGATATAGTAGCCTTGAACGATTTCAACCGACTTATATCCACAAGTATGAACGTGTTTCGAGAGTTTTTCGCCATGAAGGCGTAATCGCTTTGCGACTGATGCTGACTCATGATCGAATTGGGCAGTTAAAGCCAGTATCCAGGTGAACAAAAGAGCCGATCGTGAACGCACGAAATCTGGTGTATGAAGCATCGGATCTAGGATTCCGTTGACTGGATGCAAGCGGCTGAAATATCTAGAATTAATCAGTGGATTTATATTGACAGTGCAGTTAATATTTGGACTTACATTGGAAATAGATAATAGACCTCAGCCATGGTCACCAAACCAAGGTCCACTGGGTCAACATCGGGGCCAACATCGCGTAGAGGCACTTGAGGAGATGACTTGAAATAGTTCGAGTAACGGTATGGGTGCTCAGAAGGACCGAGCAGAGCATCTATTCCTGCTTCAAGGGTGTCTCTGTCCAGTTGTAGGCCAAGTGACACGTAGCCTGGCCGATGAAGCAGTTGCCGACCCAGGCTTGCTCCAATGGACTGGCTAGCCGATGACTGTGAAGTAGAAGGTGTTTCGTTTGTTTCACAGGAAGTGTTGGCAGACATTGACTGTAGCTCCAAAGCTTGGGCGGCGTCGGAGGCATCTGCCAGCAAGGCCAAAGGATTACTGATTGGTTCCCGGTTGGCTTGAGAGAGTTCGCCGCTGCGGAATACAGGAGAGACAAGTTCCGCTAGCCGCTGATTCTCTTGTATAGCTGGCAGAGTCGAGTTAAAACATGACGCACAAGAGAGTTCACTTCCTAGCTCTGGTGATGTTTTGGTGGGGTTGGTTGTCTCGGCTGAGTGGTTAGAGAATAAGAGCTCTAGAATCGGCTCTTCGCTTGCGACGAAATCATCCATCTCATGATTCTCGCCCGTATAACAGGTTTTTGCCTTCTTTAATTCCGACTGCATTTTCCGATAGGCTTTTTCAAAACCTTGATAGCGACCTGTCGCACCGCGCTTCCTCCCAAGTTTTCTCGGCTCTGGGATATTGCACTCGCGGTTGGTACGCTTACATCGTTGGCAAGGTTCTGTCAAGTTGTCGCCCTGTTGCTCCCTTTGTGGGCGGATGCATCTCATCTGAAAAATATTTTGTGAGTAAGTATGTATATGACTTGGGGTCAAGGATTGTAGGGTATACCTTCATTTTCCGACATGCCTCACACGCGGCCGCGCTGGCGCGAGTTTGGCCAGAGGTATTATCATCCCCAGAATATGATGACATTGAGGCTCTAAGCATCAAATAAATAATAGGATCGAGGTAGTCAATGGAAAATGTTTGTTTGATTTAGGGAGAAGAGAGAGTGTGGAGAAATAACAAAGAACCCCGGAATTTCAAAAACTGCGGGGAAATTTTCGGCTATGAGATAAGTTATAACTCTACACGCCTCGACCTCCGTCCACCTCCAATGTCGTTCCAGTTACAAAACTGCTCTGCTCCGATCCCAGGTACCATGCTGCATTGGCTATATCCACTGGCTGGCATAATCGCTTCATTGGCAACGAGTCTTCTACTTGGCGTAGCCGCTGGCGGGAATCTGCGCCATTTCGAATGCTAGATTGAAGCCTTGTTCATGTTAATATTGACCTGGGGGTTGATTTGGGTCAACATACATCGACGTGTTTCCCACAGCAGGGGAAATACAGTTGAATCGAACAGCTGGAGCATACTCAAGAGCCATTGTCTTGGTTGCTACCTAAAAACGCGTCACTATCTGGCGCATCCAAGAGCTTCCCGTTTTTCACTTACTTCTACGGCTGCTTTGGAAGCGTTGTAAATGGCAAATCCTGGCCGAGGGCGTGTACAACCCGTGCTGCACCAGTCAATAACTTCATACCAGAATCGGATTGGCTGACCCACCTCGTTATGTTGATAAATATTCCATGTCCCTGCTGCATCATAACAGGCGCAAAGACCTGTGCACTTATAAAAACCGGCTGTATAGGTATTGTCAAGCTGTTATCCACCCACAGCAGCTAGGGCATCCTACTTTCACGTTGACATTGAAAGTCTTCTCATATTCGAGGAGACTCTTCGTGTGGATGGGCTAAACCATCGCATTAGAAGGGTGATCGCATTCATGGAGGGAAACATACAGATGGGTCATGGGTAATTCCTAGTTGGGCTGAGTCAACAAATCAGATCGTAATGTTGGCTCTTTGGAATGTTCTCACCAGCATTGTTGACCACCACATCAACTCTACCATGGGTTGTCTGTGCCAAAGCTAGGGCGTTCTGCCATGTCTCTGGGCGAGTCACATCGCCAAGGAGAAATTCGATATTCTGGTCGGCTCGCTGCTTACTTTCACCTTTCACTTGATCCAAATCTAATATTATGACCTTGCATCCCTCTCGACTAAAGCGATCCACGATAGCAGCACCAAATCCATCAGCGCCACCTAAGAAAAAGTCCCAGTTAGTCCAGAGCTGACCGGATGGGATGGATAGATGAACCTGTAACAATCACCACACGTGGAGTGTTCATTTTCGCACGAAGAGGCATAGTTCACTCGATTTATTTTCGTAATATGGGCGTTTTCTTCCGCTCAATTTTCTTCTTATGTTTTAACTGCTTAAATCGGTATCTCATCTCACTATCCCCGCACTTCGCTCACTCCACCGGCTTCAAATTTGGTCACCGGAATTCCCTCATCTCAGATATCTTTGCATTCTCGCATCAGGACAACTCTTCTATCCCTGTTCGGCCTTCCCTGGTTATTCTGAATTTCCAGACAACATGACATCCATCAAAGTTGCGATTGCTAGTAATTCGCTGGGCAAGTCGACTTCGGGGCATACACTTCTTCATAAACTTGAGACGGCTAAATTGCACGGATTTGATGGAGTGGAGGTTGCGATCGAGTGTCTTGAAGCGCATGCTTCCTCTTTCTCCCAGTCTTCTCGAGCTTCTCGCCTGCGTGCAGCTGCCACTCATGTTGACCAAAAAGCGCAAGATTTATCTTTATCTTTGATTGCGCTCAACCCATTTGGCGCATACGATGGGCTTGTTAACCCTGTCGAAGTTGAGTCTCGCCTAGAGGAGGCTGAGCTCTGGTTTGATCTTTGTCGATTGATGCGAATTCCAATCTTTCAGGTGCGCACTATTGACATTTTGATGGCTCCGTGTCAGACTGACCTTGCTTTTTTACTGTAGATCACATCGTGCCTCTACCCTATCGATCCTGTTAGAATTACGCCGGAGGTAACCACAATCGCCGCGAACATGAAGCGATTGGGTCTCCTTGCCCAAAAATACGGTTTGCTAGTTGGATACGAAGCCCCCGCCTGGGGAACTCACCTCAACACTTGGCAACAAATCCATGAAATCATCAAGCTCGTTGATCTTCCCAACGTTTGTCATTGTCTTGATACCTTCCATATTTCTGCCAAAGAGGCAGGTGATCCATTTAGTGCTGTGGCTCCTATTCGGCCAGGCGGCCTGGCAAATTTACGCCGATCCTTGGAGGAAATGAAACGAACTGTGACGCCAAATCAGATTGCTTATTTTCAGTTAAGCGATGCAATGGTTGCTGACCAGGGCCAGGTGGGCTACCAACGGCGTGATCTCAATCAACCCCCCTATATGACACAATCGCGAAACTGCCGGATCTTTCCCTGCGAAGCGAACCGTGGAGGTGTGCTTCCTGTACTTGAGGTTGCACAAGCGGTGTTTGATCTTGGCTACACGGGATGGGTGTCGATGGAAGTATTTCATACTGATATGTGGAATACGCGCTCCTCGTAAGTGAGATATTCAATGAGAATGACCTTTTCTCTTAACTTTAACTTGTGTATAGAGTACCCGACGACTGGGCTCAAAGAGGAATGGCTTCATGGCGAGAAATATCTTTCCACTGCGGGCTTGATCGGCATACCAACGGGAGGTTGTGAAAATATTGAATGCTATGTAAGATAACAATGTTGGAATCATCAGCACTTGAAACTTAAGTACTACACACAATACTCTCATGTGACAAAAAGCATATTCAAACTATTAATATCTATAGAGGATTAATAACTGTCGACCTTCCCCTTGGTAACTAACTAACTACCGCTTTTGCCCCCACGCCTCCTTCTATCTACCGCGCCCATACCGCCTTATAATTATATACACCGCTTTCGTGGCAAATAGTAATAAGACAGTAGATACCTGCAATTTGTATGTAAGCCTCTAACAAACTCAAGTCACTTTTGTTATATCAACTGCGCCATCAAAAATGCTTCATTAATACCTGGGGCTACGTCCTACAGGAATCAGGTAGAGTACACGACTTTTTCTAATCAACATGCATGTTTTATTACTATGTAAACCAGAAGATGGCAGAATACATGGCAGAAAAAATAAAGCGTGGCAGAAATAGGCAGAATTCTGAGCGATATCCGATCAGGAAGGCGGGGTCGATAGTTATACCAATCCCTATATATTGAATGTCAATATAAGAAATTGTATGTATTTGACGTTTCCAACTTCTAAGCTCTGCTCTTTTTAATTTCTTGTCTAGATTCCGCTACCATCCCTCATCATTGTCTAGCTTTGCTCACATGGAATTATATTCAGCCGTCAACTGTGAATGAGATATCTGTGCGGAGTATGGCCCCGCAGTGGTGTCCACCCGGTCACTTAATTTATTCGCCGGCGCCGAGGCATCTATAAGTGAGTATCAAACTCGAAAATATAACCATTATGTTAAATATTAGTCACTTGCTCTGATGAAGTTTTCAAGAAATAGTTCTTCTTCCGTTTCTAGCCCGACATCAACCATATCCACAATGGAGAGAATTCAAGTCGATGTCCTCGTCTGCGGGGCTGGCATGTCTGGAATGGCATGCGCTGCTTTTGCGGCGGAAGCAGGAGCCAAAGTACTGGTCGTCGAAAAGCAAGGGGATGTTGGTGGTTCGTCAAATTATTCTGCAGGAATGTTGTACGTGATTGAATCAATCTTCAAGCCAAACTAGGTTGTTAATACATACTGTCAACGGACAGCTGGGCTCCACAGACATACAAAAAACTGAGAGACTGGGTCCCAGAAGGAGATCCAGAATTACAAAAGGCCTGGTTAAGCGATTATCTACCGGCTGTACAGTGGATGCGTGAAAATGGGGTGCCAACAGCAGACCGGTTCGACGGCATCATGACAATCGGTAAGGCTAAAAGAAAAAGAATTTAATGAACAGTGACCCTGACACATCATAGGAATTGGATTCCCAATTAAAATCCCACACCTTCATAACCTCCATCGAAAGCGCATTCAGTCTAGCAAGACACGTTCCGATATTTTCACCAACACGTCGGTGGTCAAGTTGATTCAGAAACAGCCCGGGGTTTCAGGGTCGAGCATACTTGGCGCTGTCATTTGCAGGAACTCCCCCAATTCTCCAGCTAAATATTATGAAGTCCGAGCCAAAACGGTGGTTTTGGCTACGGGAGGTTTCCAAGGTTCTCCGGGGATGACATCCCAATACTTGGGACAAGGTGGAGACAACATTTTTGTGCGCTCCAATCGTGGATCGGTGGGCGATGGACTTAAGCTGGCCATCGAATCTGGTGCTGGGACTAGTAGAGGAATGAATACCTACTATGGTCATCTTCTGGCAGCTCCTCTTCGAGCCGAAGACGTGAATCCAAAGGACTATCTTCCACTCGCCCAATACCGTAAGAGCAAGTCCTTGTCAACTCAGCATTTCTCTCTAATCAGTCTACAGAAAGCAAATACTGCCTACTGTTGAACGAGGCAGGTCGGCGATTTGCCGATGAGACCACGGGTGACGAGATCATCAATCAGTATCTCGCCAAGCAGCAAAAGCGCCGCGGGTTTATATTATTCAAGTATGTCCCAGACAGAAAAAATTGGGGCGAAATTCTAACCTATGGCTTACTATTCTAGCGAGAAAACCCGTCTCCAACACTGCGTCACTGCGTTGTTCCCTAATGCAGGGGACATCGATCGTCTGCAGAAAGCCCGCGAACATGGCTGTAATGTTGGAAGTGCGTCGACATTGAGTGGTCTGATAGATGTTCTTCACGCCTGGGGTGTGAACAATGTACAGGCAAGACGGACTATCGAGGATTATGACCAAGTCGTGCGTTTAGGGAACAAGAGCATTTCCCTTGACGCACCTATTGGTCGTGCTTGTTCTCCCCCTGCACCATTGGTAGATGGGGAAGGTCCCTTCTATGCCATGGAGGTCCAGCCGTCGTAGGTTATATCTTACACAGTCCAGTTCCACCTATCTAATTTCCCATAGGATCACATTCACCTACGGCGGTATCGCGATCGATGCGAAAGGGCACGCCTTGACCCCCGATAAATCCAGAATTCCAGGCTTGCTTGTCGCGGGTGTCGATGCTGGCGGCTTCAGTAATCTCGGATACGCCGGGGGTCTTGCACTCGCGTTCGTCACAGGACTATGGGCGGCCCGAGAGGTCGCACGCGACTTGGGGTTGCCTGAGCCTCGCCTACCCCCTCCCGACCTTCGAGACGGGGAGGATAAACCAATCCAAGGGCGTCTTTGAGCTAGTTCCATTGCAGGTTGCATCTAGAAGTTGACCTCGTTGTGATTGCTTTTGATCAAAATAGTATTGTGCAAATCTACAACATACACTAAATATTGTGACGTCGGGTGGCTCAATCCATTTCTATCAAGGTCCTCGCCTTTCAGCCGATGAATATAAGCAACGACCCTCCCATTCTCTGCTTCCGATCCTCTTATGGTAAAAAACTCAGTTCACCATTGATGTCTGGGGCGATCAATAAGTGATTGAACCCTCTCAGTAGGTACGGCTCTGTTGCTTCTCTCTCCCCTCCCCGTCCCCTTGTTTTCTACCCTATCGGAAAGCTTACTTCTCTCACTGAACTCTGACGTGTTTCCAAGACTTTTACTACTTCATCACACATATGGTAACTATACACGAACGCGACCGGGCAACCACTTCATATTCATGGTATATTCAATCATTTGCATATATTCTAACCGCGGCTTTAGATACAGACTTCGCCTCCCAAATTCTTCACTCGGATCAGAAACACCCATTGGGCTTTTCTTTTTCCACATCGGGATATTCTATGGTGCCACCAAAACGCCGCGATAACGCATTTTTCCTTCTTCCAATGTCTTCAGGCTTTGTTTGATACCATCCAACGTCAAGGGGAAGGTCATCTTGACAGGTTTGATGTTGTGGAATGAGGCAAATTCAAGCATATCCCTGTGGACCTGTCTTGAAGCCACGATACCTCCTTGGATCCGAAGGCCATTCACGAGCAGCGGCATATATGGGATTTTGAGATCGTTTGAGTCGACGGACAGAGGAGAAATGACACCACTGGGAGCCATGATACTCAAGTACATTGACCAATCTGGCTGACTGCTAGTCGTCACAATGAGGTTGTCGATAGGAGCTTTGACCTTCAACTCCTTCACACCCTTAGTCGCATAGAATTCGCCGGCTCCCAGCTTGATCGCCTCTTCCTTCTTGCTGTCTGTGCCGGAGAAGACCACGACTTGACAGCCCATCTTTGCAGCGAATTGAATAGCCAGATGTCCCAGGCCGCCTACTCCAACGATACCAACGCGAGCGGTTGGACGAACCTGCGCGACATGGAGGGCGTTGAAAACAGTCGATCCCCCACACATCAATGGTCCCGCATCTTCGTTGCTCATGTTGTCGGGAACCTTGAACAAAAAGGCTTCACGCCACACCGCGTGGGTACCGAAAGACCCTTGATCGAGATCGGCTAGACCGTACATTTTTCGCTTGCTGCACAATGTCTCCCACCCGGTGAGGCATTGCTTGCAAGAACCACAGCAGTCATGCTCATAACCCCAACCCACGCGGTCGCCTTTCGTCAAAGTCTTCGCGTCTGGGCCAGTTGCTTCCACCACACCCGTTCCCTCATGGCCAAGGGCCATGTCGGCTGACTGGTAGTGAGCATCGGTGCCGCACACCCCCGAATGCGTGGTTCGTACTAAGACTTCGTCTCGTTTGAGGTCCTCCAGCTCAGTCTCCGCCTGTTTGATTCCATCCTTGGAGCCCCTGTATACGGTGAATTTGATTGTCATTGTGGGAAATATTGATGCAAGATATTTGAGTTTGCGAAATTGGAATTTATTGATGAAGGAATCAGATGTTTACACTTATCAGCCCACGAGCCTGCTTTATAGGCCAGCCCGTTTAAGTACGTCAGTACCCATATTTCATACCGGAAAGTGAACAAAGCTTGTGTCATCACATATTCAGTCAAGAGAAGCAAAACAAGTTGATACGATTGAGTGGGCCTCCTGAGTCCTGGTCGATGAGATGGGTAGTGATAGGCACTGATAGCAAGGCCCTTTTCCCCTAGACTTCCTTGAATTGAGCTGAAAGCTCGATGCAAAGAGTTCATAGGTCAAAGCTATAAAACTCTCGGCCTCGTTTATGTATCCCGTAGCCTTTCCTGGCTTGGTCAACTTTACAGACTTCGAAGGACTGAAACTTGATGACATCATACAGGTTCAGCGTCACCAACATAGCATATGGTCACGTGGCAGAGCAAACATCCATGGATGCGATTACTTCATGCCCCTCCGGATGCGGAAGATCTTGTAAAATGTTCCTAGATCCTAGCTCGCTCTTCAACAAACAATACTAAACCTCGAAGGAAACCATTCTGGCGGATTTAAGGGAGGACATATAGTATTCGAAAAGCTCTTGAAATCCATAGATTCGAGAGCTTTGATATCCATATCATGGAATATCCTCATTGAGATCCCATTTTGAAGGCATCGGCATCTTCAACTCAGTTATCGATGATGGTACTCCGTGCTACCGTCTGGGCAAGTGATTGACGCTCTTCTCCGATCGTCGCTAATTCTGCCATAATGCAAAGGCGGTAATATAAGGCCACACGCGATATCGGGCATCCCGATTTGGAAGGTACGAAGTCTAAATAACAAATTTTCGCTCGCCTCACACTTTAATTGTTGCATATAGTCATATTCAAAAGACATATAGATTCTTCCCTCTGCAAAGTTCAGGGAAGCCATCTTGGTGGGACAACATGATTCAGGTCCATGGCATAACTAGCGCCGGTGAATCACCCCACGTCTCGTCCGAAAAAGATGCAGCTTTGGCGGTAGTGAGCGAGTTCGCCCAAGAAATTGATCCGGTCGTGGAAAAAAGGGTTCTGCGAAAGATTGATTTGTATTTGATGCCTGCCATGCTTATAGGTTAGTTATACGCTTCATATCCGTGACATGGGAATTGTTGACTAACTCGAACACAGGCTACGGCATGGTGTACTATGACAAGGTGCGATGACTGCGCCGATGGCTTTGTTAGCCAATATATACTTATTTCTCATAGGCTATCTTAGGTAGTGCCACGCTCTTTGGCATGACGACCGACTTGGGATTGCTAGTGAAAGACTATTCCACTTCTCCTCCCTCTGCTGATACTTCACGGCTCAGCTGGGCAACGTCGATCTTTTATTTTGGAATGCTTGCTGGCCTATACCCGATGACATTTATCTTGCAAAGATTTAATACTCGAATTGTTCTTGGTCCAGTTGTCCTGACATGGGCCATTGTCTGTGCCGCCACCGCCGGTGTGACAACCTGGCAAGGGCTTTTTGTTCAACGATTCTTCCTCGGTATGTGACCTTCAATTTCTTTTACTAATCTCTTATCTAATAAACGATAGGCTTTATCGAAAGTGTTATTCCCACGGGCTTCATGACCATAGTCAGCGGGTGGTACACCCAAGAGGAGCAGGCTCTTCGACAGGCATGGTGGTTCTCTGGCACCGGTTGGTTCACTATCATCGGTGGCGCCATGAACTATGGGTTTGGCCAAATCACGGCTGGATCATTGAAAAGATGGCAGTACATCTATATTCTGGCTGGTGCCTTGACCTTTTTGTTTGGCCTCTGGTGTTGCACCATGCCTAATTCTCCGGTTTCTGCCTGGTTCTTAACCCTAGAAGAACGAAGGGTTGCTGTTGAGAGACTACGCAAGGGGCAAACGGGTGTTCGGTGCCAGAAGATCAAATTCGATCAGATCAAAGAGTCTATGATGGACATTAAGATCTATCTAGTGGCTATCATGATGGCAGCAGCGTGAGTTTCGTCTCTCGTTATACCACCCTAATAACAATTAGGCAGCATACATTCCTTGCTGTTAACCTCTCTAAATATAGGTACACTATCAATGGCGCTATCTCGGGCTTTGGGCCGTTGATTGTATCCACCTTCGGCTATGATACGCTTCATTCGATTTTATTCCAGTTTCCCGTCGGCGGCATTTGTGTCATTTTCATTCCTCTTTGTGGTTATATCCCTACTGTTGTCCCTAATACCCGCATACCCTTGCTCATCGTGTGCTGCCTACCTGTTATTGCTGGCTGTGTGATGATTTGGAAATCCCAATGGGGATATCATCCAGTTACTCCAGTTGTTGGTTATGCGCTAACTGGCTTCTTTGGGCCAGTGGTCAGCCTGGTCATCACAATTGGAGCTAGCAACGTCGCCGGAGCGACGAAGAAAACCGTCATGGCAGCAACCGTGTTTGTGGCTTACACTGTCGGCAACATCATCGGGCCGCAGCTTGTGAAAAGCAAGACTAAGTCACAGCATTATCCAGAACTCTGGACTGGGATGATCATCTGGTAAGTCCGTAACTGATTCTTCTTGTTGGACTACTCTAACTAAGTATAGCTACTGTATCACAATTGCTGCCGCAGTCGTGTTGTACTTTGTCCTTCGGCGGGAAAACCAAATTCGGGAATCATTGGAATTGGATGAGGTGCAACGAGACAAGATTGCATTTGACGATCTCACCGACAAGCAGAATCCCTTTTTCCGATATGCTTTATAATGACCCTTCCATCTACGAGATGGAGACTCATCGAAATCGAAGCTAGAATTTCTGGCTGCTCTCTAACACTACATATCTGACACTCATATCACGTGCACATGTCCTGTAGAAGATACCAAAAAAGTCCAAATAACATATTCAAATATACTCAAATACCTTCAGTTGAATTGGAACTGTCCTGAACGTACATAGTTCATCAAGGGTCCCTGGCTTGCTCCATATCCTTTATATTCAATAATAAACGTACGATGTGCCGATATGCGACTCCTTGCGAAAGCAGATAGTAACATAACAACCTACAAACTGGAGGATTAGAGAAGGATTCCAAATATTATGCCACATGTTTTCGATCATCATTGGGCTCGATTTTACTACTATAGAGTTACAGGAATGTTGCAATATTCTAACGCAGGTTCGGTCCAACACTCATGTCTCCAGCATATTTAATCCAACTCGGGCTGTTTCATGATCATACGTGATACCAAATTCCGGGAATTAAATTCGATCTAAGATAGGCTAGGTGTATTCGGGAACCAAAGAGAAAAAGAAAGCACAAGTACCCTTGAAGCACTTTATGACTTGCAGAAAGTGGTAGCCATCGCATCACTTGCACCACTACCTGGCTCCCAAGGCCTCCTATTCGTTCGCTATGTTAGTTAGTCAGTTAGTTTCCTTCATTCTAACTGGTCAACTTCCATGATTATTTCTTCCTTTCACTTCGCCCTGAGCACATATCCTCCTTGCATAGTTCGGTCGGAATCAAATCCCCACCCTTGATGCAAGACTTGACAAGGAGCTTTGCATCTCCTCAGCTGAAATAAAATTGTGTGTAACAAGGTTCACGGATTCGAATCTGTTCGAATTACAGTCCCTCTTACAATTTGATCTAGAAACAGGCTCCGTATTAGTCTGTCGGATTGCGAATTCCTCTGGCGGAACTGAATGTAGTTTGGATACATAAAAAAAGCAAAAAAGAACAAAAAGCCCAGCCGATATTGGGTATAAAAATATGTACAACGGAAAATAAAATAAATGATATAAGACATCCCAACGCTCGAATACCCACAGTACCAACAAAATGAGAGAAATAAGAAGTGTCCAGAAGATTTCATCTTCATGCTATAGCTGGGACTTCTCACTCCTATGAACAATTGTTTCATGAACAACCTTTATTCCACCCTGGCTACTCTGGCTCTGTGACTTCCAGTCGCCGTCGCCTGCGGTGCATGTAGGCGGTTGCTGTCGTGAGGTAGGCAAGATCATTTGCTCGTCGCTGATTGTATTCCATTGAGTGTCTCCGGGAATCGATAGCGGATGGCGGAACTTCTTGCGTTTGGAATACCCGCCGCCAGTGTCGGCATCTGATAGATGGTAGCCAGGGTAACTCTCTGACTCATTCCTTGATGTGATGTACAGACCAGCACGTTTTGTAAATCGTCTTATCAATGGGTATATCATAGGAATATTTCCGATGATGACGGCGACGAAAGTCTCGCGGCAGGCCCAGCTGCCAGCTTGTTGAGCCCCATTTGCGCCAGCCTGGTGAACTGTTAGATTGTGTTATCCCAGCAAGTAACTCTCAATACAACTTACTGTTAAGATGAGAACACAACGCAGAATACCAGCCATCATGACAAAGAGGCCACCACTAAAAAGAACCAAGAGCTCGAGTTTTTCCCGCCATTTTAGTCGGGCTTTAACAAGCATCTTGATGCATGTGTTGTTAGCAACATTAGACACCGATGTTTAGAGCGAGGCTTACCGGTGCTGGAATACTAATTAAATAGAGGTCGGTCGCGACATTGAGTACCACGGTCACATAGATGTCGATCTTGGACACGGCGGGCTGGCAGTAATCTAACGAATAGTCAGAGACACGGTCTCTCAGGATGAGAAGATATGACACACTTCCAGGGTTTGGATATATTTGCCAATTCTTGTCCATTGGATGACATCCGAAGAGAATTGAACAAACCGTTGCAATATAAGTTATGGCAATGAGAACGTAGGCGATATGGATTCGGATTCGCATATTCACTAATCCTGCGCTAAAGGGTAGGATATACGTCAGTGACAAAGGACCGAATAGATGCAATCGAATCAAAACCCACGTCAATCGAGAGTAGAAAATGGCCATGCATGTTTTCAGCAACCATAATAACAGAGTGTATAGTGACCAGCCGGCCACCTGGACCTTAGAGCCGCCCACACGCAGGCGATATTCTTCCGAATTATGCGACAACTCTCTTCGCTCTTCGTCTGTCATCGCATTATTGGCAAGGCCCATGAACCACGCGCCGACCATGTACGCAGCACCGGTTTCTAGCCCATACACCACCTGTACCCCATATTGATTAGCAAGCTGAAAGCAAAGAGAACCCAGGTTCCAATTCAACTCACACATGCCACCAGCATTAGATAATCATCAGCTTGGAACCCTTTTGGGCCAACCATAATCCATCTTGCAGTTGTTCGTAGGCCAATTACGGTAATGGCTACCCCCAACAAGGTGAACGCTTCGGTATTGAACCCATCCATAGTTGACGACTTGCGGTGATTTCTTCGGGCGATATGCCATCAAATTTAAAGAAAAGGACCATTCAACCCAGGGTGTACATTCAGATAAAGGAAGAGAAAGTCAATTGTACCGAGGGGGAAACGAGCGGCAGAAGAAAGTATCCCAATGATCTCCTCTGGCCTCGCTCGTTGTTATTGGAACCAGACCGGATAAAGAAGCAAGCCCACTCGTTAGTCCACTTATCAACACCAACGAATAGAAGAAAAAGCAATGACAGTATCGATCTCAAATATCCGTTGGCCTGCTTACTTATTGTGGCGCCCATTAAACTGAACTGCAAACGCAGTCTAATATGGAAATACTCTCACATGTGAACGGAATTTATGATAGGTCCAGTTTTGTCATGCAAGAGTGGCAGCATGCACAAGTCTCATTGGACAGCGATGGAATATCATTTGGTGCTGGGCCCGGGCTATGGGTCCTAACTGCCGGGGGAAAGTTTTAAGGTTGAAAGCACCGTTTGTTCCACTTCTAGATTACTGGTTTTTGGAAATGTAGATCGGCAGTCAAAAGGTCCACACATCCCCTGAGTCGATATAACTTTCCCTAAGTGGGAATGATCGTAGCAAAGGGCGATTTTTCGATCCAATATGGAGTACCCTGATAGACTTCCTTTGTCTGACCTGAGAGTTTTTTTTTTTTTTTCGGTTACACACGAATACTACTCCGTACGGTCCCGCATGATATCAACTGGGCCAATGTTGAGAAGCAGCAATAAACCGCAATGCGAACGGGGATTTGTTTGGGTTTTCCTGCGATCTATGACATGCAAACAGACCAGCTCAGAGACATACGGAGTAGCGCAGCATAAAGCTTGCGTAGTTTAGCCAATCATATGTATGCCATTAGGGGAAGATGCCATACAATTTTATACCCAGGGCAAATACGGAGTATATATGTATCGATTTCTCTAATCCACATTCTCTTTTGGGTTGGTTTGATTGCTGATCGAGCCGGAGATTGCTCCGAGGATATGTAGGTGCCAGGAGACTTAGGACTAGCGGGCTCTCAGACCAGTCATATATATCCGATCGATGCCGTTCTTTCTATACCGCGTCAAATGAGTCCAGGAGATATCATAAGTACTGAATCAGGCCACGGTTTCCGGCACGGATTATGGCTTGACAGCTTCCATTTATCCACGGAGTAATAACCTTAACCTTGTGCATAATCTCAAACGACATGCTACTGTATGTTTCAAATTGAAATGTATGACATGTTGACGATAGCGGTCTTTTCCGACTTCCAGCGACTTGGTGGGTCCCAAAACGGGCCGTTCGATGTTCATCCGATTCTCAAGCGACAACTATGAGCCTTGTACTCTGTACTCCGTACTCCGTACACTGCTGTATTGTTGTCAAATAATTTGCATGAGATCAATCAATTGAATTGGACTACGACCAGTAGTCGGATTGAGATACCAACCGAAAACGGCAACCTGCATATTGTTGATCCCGGCTTCCACAAAATTGGTAATCCAAACGCCAGCCACGGGGTTTCCACCGTCGAAACTATTTAAAATCACAGTGGAGTTTGGCTTCACCTCGCTACGCACGGAGTACTCCGTACTCCGTAGTTTTCTTATGAAGGCTAGGATACTACCTAAGATTAGAAGAACCGACGATCCCCGTGGGCCTGGCCATGCTTTGACAGACGCTTTGACAGCAGGGCTAAAATAGTCAAACGACGGAGAATCTAAAAGATTCAGTGCTGATTCGAATTCTCCCGAAGAGCCCCTGACACTGAAGGGGTATCGGTACATCTCGGTACGGAGTACAAAGTAGTCAAGTGCATGCCAAGCACTCCGTAGTAGGTAGTCTGTTACCCAGATGGGGCAAGGGGTCTGGGACTAGGTTCACGGGTAGCCATTATAGAATCATCAGCTTAGAATCTCTGGTCCTTTAAATGTCTCAGGCCCTTTTGAACCACGAGCTCTGTCTCAGGAGGTACAAGCCATGCTAAAGTTGGCGGGAACTGACAACGTCGTGGGGTTTTTAAGGTGAGTTAATTTAATAGTCCCACCATTCCATCCTCCCGGGTGTCCTGAACAGCAAGGGCTAAAAATTCAAAACCCAAAAAAAGTACTACTCGACGCTAATACTTTTAGTTATCGCTCATTCCTTCGTTTCCAGTAATTTGGCCGCTCGTCTTGTTTGCTTGTACATAAAGCATCAATCCTGGTCGCGCAATCGGTTTATTTTCTGCCTCTTAAAACGAAAACAAGGGAGTCTTCAACAATGGAGACCGTGGATCTTGTTGTGGTAGGCGCAGGTAAGTTGAATCTTCACTGTCGCATACTATTTCGCTGACAAGCATTGGCCAATAGGTTGGAGTGGGCTCTCCGCCGTCAAGACCTACCGCGAGGTCAATCCCGGCCACAATGTGCTCTTGTTGGAAACTGCCAGCTCTATTGGCGGGGTGTGGGCCAAACACCGTTTGTACAAAGGCCTCAAGTCGAACAATATGCTTGGCACGTATGAGTATAGCGACTTCCCAATGGACGAAGCGACTTTTGGCATCAAGCCTGGACAGCATATTCCGGGCCATGTAATTCAAAAATACATGGAAGCATATGTACAACATTTTAACTTTGCCGATTGTATTCGACTGGAACACCACGTGGAAAGCGCGCGACACAAGTTGGACGGAACGTGGCAGTTAAGCGTGTCGCACGGAGCAGATACAACAATAATCGATACCAAGAAGATGATCGTGGCCACCGGCATCACGTCACAGGCATACATGCCTACGTTCGAAGGCCAGGAGTCTTTCGGTGCGCCGCTTTTCCACTGTCGCGATCTGCTGCAGTATCAAGATGCAGTTCTGAAATCTGGAGAGCGCGCAACCGTTTTTGGCGGAACCAAGTCGGCCTGGGATGCGGCCTACGCTTGCGCAACGGCAGGTATGAAAGTAGACTGGATCATTCGCGAATCCGGTCATGGACCTATCTGGATGGCGCCTCCCTACGTGACGCCCCTGAAAAAATGGCTGGAAAAGCTTGTCACAACACGCCTGCTGACCTGGTTCAGTCCCTGTATTTGGGGAGAGGCTGACGGGTATGATGGGATTCGCAGCTTTTTGCATGGTACCTGGCTGGGTCGTAAGATTGTGGACGCGTTCTGGGCTATTCTGGCCGATGATGTCGTGCAGTTGAACGAGTACGACAAGCACCCGGAGACGAAGAAGCTGAAGCCTTGGGTGAGCCCATTCTGGATTGCTTCCTCGCTCAGCATTCTGAACTACCCTACCAATTTCTTTGATTTGGTCAAGGATGGCACTATCAAGGTGCACATCGCTGATCTCGAGCGTCTCTCGGATCACACTGTTCACCTGTCATCGGGCGATGCGCTGTCATCTTCGGCGCTGATATGCTCGACAGGCTGGCGTTGCACTCCAAACCTCAAGTTTCTACCGGAAGGCATTGACCGCGAGTTGGGATTCCCTTGGAGTGTGGATCCGCTGAACGAAAAGCTGTTGAAAGCGGCGGATGAAGAGATTTTGCGCCGGTTCCCCCGACTTCGCGATCAACCAAAGCCGAACCCGAACTACACGCCGTTAGACGCGCAGTCCGAAGCGGCTGTGCCGCACCCCTTCCGGATGGCGAAGTTCATGGTCCCACTTTCGCTGGTAAAGGAACGCTCTCTGGCGTTCATGGGTATCACGATGACTATCAACACAACTCTGATTGCTCAGACTCAGGCACTGTGGATCTCAGCCTATTTCAAAGGCGATCTGACCCCAGCTACACACGAACGCTGCCCACTCGCTGTGCGTGCTACGTCTGACCTCAAGACGGAAGACACTTCAGAAATCGACCTTGCCTGGGAGACAGCTCTGTTTACTGAATTTGGCAAATATCGCTACCCGGGAGGATTCGGGCGACGGAACCCTGACTTCGTGTTTGATGCGATCCCATATATTGATCTGATGCTGGGAGAACTGGGTCTGTCACCACAACGCAAGCACGGCTTGTTGGCCCGGTGCCTCCAGCCATATGGTCCTGAAGATTACCGGGGTCTGGTCGAAGAGTGGAAAGCTAAGCAAAGAATCCAGTAATGTTGCGGGTGTCGTGATTCATTTATTTCATTCATTTCATGTTGTCTGATGTGTACTAGTTTGTTCCCCTTTTCCCCTTCGCGTGTCGCAAGTGTCTCCAAGACACTCCCGGTTCTTTCTTTTACATAAGATTCAAGACAATAGAATGATGTTTTCTATACTATGTGTGAGTATGTTATATGAACATGTTATAATATTCTTTGATAATGCTCATTTTCGGCATCATCCACCATGACAAATTGCTCCAAAACCGCAACACCAACGAGACATGAAGATGAAGATGATCGTACATCACGTTCCTTCGGGTCACCACCTCCGGCCCCCATTGGACGCTGGCTTTCAGACTCAATTACCTCCCCAACCATGTCTCCCGTCCATCTCATATAATCTTTCCCATTCCCCGCGACCACCATTCTTACTGAGACATTAATTTCCAACTGACCATTTCCCTCTCCCAGATCATATTTCAGTCGGAATCCTTCCGGTATATCACCTATCCGAGGCGGATATCGCCCACCAGTAGTCTCCGGACTACCCATCGGTCTCACGGTGAGAATAGCGGGGTCACAGGCGGATATAAGCAGCTCCCCATCTTTGGCAATGTAGCTGCTCACATAAGTGGCGTTGCTTGGGTCATTCATGGCGAGATAACTGAACCATACGATCGAATATGGACCTAGACGGCCGTGACCCCAGTACCAGCTCTGGACAGAGTCTGTAAAAGGTTGATCAGACCAATTCTGTAACTTGATCAGCCGAAGTTTCACAATTTTTCCACCAGGCGGCAAAATCACTTACTTTGTCATGGTACCCAGGCCCTCGGAACTTCAGCGTCGACCCATGGATCTGCATGTCGACCTCACCCATGGCGTCGGGTATGAGATTGATCCATCCGATATGAGGTGCAATCTCAATAACAGTCTGGCCCTCTTGAATTCCACAGGGCAGATTATACGGTGCTCGCTTTTTGGCAAATTTAGCAAGCTGTCTGTTCCTGCGATTCGAGTCACTACATACCGAAGTCAAGGTAAACCGCCCTTCGACCTGAAGCTTCTCCGACGCGACAATAATCTCATACTGCGATAGATTCTCTGTGAGAGCAGCCCAGCTAAATCCCGTCGAGGCCCACTCGCCAGAGCTATTGGTGCCCGCGCCGTCGACGCCAGTCACGGTCGCCACGGTCGCCGGGACAGAATCGGCAAAGACGGTGCCGTTGGCGAACGAAGCCCATAACCAAACATTGAGCACGGAGGTCTCATTTGCATCGAGGAATGGAAACCCTTCCGCGGATGAGGAGAAGAATGTGACGACTAGGGACTCATCGGGGTTGGTCTCCGAGACGGCATCGAAATACCACCATTCGAACACGGTGCCATTGATTGAATCTATCTGGGGTGCATCTAACCTGGAAATTGATTCTTTATCAAGAGTGGTCTCTGGCGTAGGAATGTCAAACCGAGCCTTGCTAGTTCCATTTTGTACAGTGCTGGGGATATGGTAGGTCCCGCTGCGAGAGTCCCTGCCAGCACGGAGGAGATATGGCAAATGTCTCTCGTTGACCCTATGCTGACTAGGGAATGCTGGTGTCTGTTGTGCTAGAAGAGCACATATCAAGAGCAGTGGAAGCATGATGGAATACACCTAGGGAAGAATGCTTGATGATGGATCTCAACTGAGAAAGAATTTAGTCTACCCACTATCAATTGGGGGCGGATGGGAAAAGAGAGAAACGAGGTGAAATATCTCACTTGCATAAGGTGCCAGGATGCAGCAGAGCTGATCCCCATGTGGGCTTCGCCATATATAGCAAAAAGGGGAAAGCAGCGGGATCCTGGGGGAATCGATTCAAAAAGTATAATTTCAATTTCCATCCCAGGTCAAAGAGAGATGGCGATCCTTTACTGGTACGGAGAATCCTTCTATCGTTCCTTGGTTTCGTGATGGCCCAACACAATGATGTCTATTTTAGTTTACAATGGGGATCTATACCCTTTTCCCCGAAGACACAAAAATAGGAGGTCACAAGATCCATTCAGTAGATACAAATCCATCTTAGACAGATTCACTCATACGCGTTGTCTAATTAGAATGAGACAGCCACGTAGCTACCTAGTGAGTGGCTGAGAGAAATCAGCATAGATCTAACGAACTTCCTTATTTCAAGGATCAATAGGAAATAGATAGCCAATGATGATTGACAAAACCAGGGTTTGAAAGCTGTTTTATTAAATAAATTAAGACGATTAATATACTTCGATTGGAATTCCTCGGGATATCTTCCATCTCATAATTGACGCAGGGGTGTTTATATACCGACATTGCCCATCCCATTAACATTTCGCTTAATCGCTTTAAATCACAGAGAAGCAGGATAGATACACACGTCACACATGAGTCTGATAAGCACATATAGTAAACATAAATCCGGATAGGGGAAAAAAAGGGATAAAAAAAAAAGTTCAGACCTTCCCATGATGCCCAAATCACAAACCCTTCGCCGAAGCTCGAAATAAAAGAAAAAAAAAACACAAATCAAAGTCAAATCCGGTAAGAACCCCGACTCCCAATGCCTTGGTAGATACATACATGTCTTCAAACATCACCCCCATAAGATATGCATATAGGGAGAGTTCACAGCAAGGACGAAAGTGTCACAGGCGGGAAGACTGGAACACGTTCAACCTCGTCCATTAAGGAGGGGACTGCCGTCTTCACTCCGCCCTTCACCCTTTATATCGGCCCCGGTTTGGTTGCTATTCGCATCCGAGTCGCCGTCCTTTCCGCAGCCTTTCACAAGAATATGTCGCTGTCGGCAAAAGTCAGTATGTGGGAATTGTCATATGAGACTGCAGATGACATACCTTAAGAGCATCCTTGCGCGAGAAGCTTTTGTCACAATGCGAGCAAGGGAAAGGCTTCACGGCCAAATGAATACGTTTATGGCGCTTCAGATCGTGATTACGGTTGAAACTCTGGGGGCACTGGTCGCATTTGAACGGTCGATCTGCCGCGGGGGCTGCCATGCCGTGCGGTGGTGGATGGCCCCCATATAGATGTTGAGAGCTGGCGACATGGCCACTGTTGAATCCTGGTAGAAGCCCGGTTTGCATTCCGCCCATCATCGACATGGGCCCACCGGGGCTGTGCACGTTGGTCATGACGGGACCGTTCATCGCCGGGAGAGAATAGGAGGGCCATGGCTGGCGGGGATATCCTAAGGGCGGTTGCCCGGCTGATGGACTGTGAACAGGCATTCGTCCTGGTGGGTGGATGCCAAGCCCGGTGGGGCCATACATGGGAGAGAAGCCGGCCTGGTGAGGACTGTGCATAGGAGGAGAAACGGCATACATATGCTGGTGTTTGGGGGCATATGGATCGTTGGATTGCAGTGGAGCGGGGGATGTAGCGGGTCCCGCATGGTACATGGTCATGGCAGGTTGTGACACGGAGGGAGGCATGGTTGACGGGGCGGGTAAAGCTTGGTAAGATAATGTCGGCCCTTCATATGGGTGCGGCAACCCATCCGTCGTCGGCGGCGATATTACCGATGAGCGCTGCATACCGGACGACGGCGAGAAGGAACTTCGAGCCGAGTATGGATTTACCCCGGATCCCCAGGACTGTCCGTATGGATTGGCGGCTGACCAATATGCCGGCGGCAGCTCGGAGGACGCGCCTGTGGAAGGAGCCAATGGCTGGGGTGTGGCGTGTTCCCCTGCTTGAATTGTGGCGGGTGGCGTTAGTAAGTTCCCCACGCTCACATTCACTGGCGCGTGGGAGACTGGGGGATGGGTAGGATGTCCGTACTTGGGTGCTGCCGCGCCAGCACCCAACGTGAACGGGGGAGGTGGGAGCTCAAAGCTGGGTAATGTTGGGGCTGCAGGACGACGAATGTTCAACGGCGGGGCTGACAGCGCGTCTAACGCTGGCCCCATTCCCGCCGGCGCTGCTAGAGTCGCCAGATTGGCGGATGGGTCCCTCACTGGTACGTAGAATTCGGGGTCGTTGATATTGGAGAGCTGGCCGAAAGAAGATCCGTTCAACGCCCAATCTCGATCGCCAGGTACGGCCCCAGAAGGGCTGGTAGAATCCAGGAGGGGCGATCGTCGATCGCTGGGGCTCGCGATCGGTATATGGAAGAGAGTCGAGGGACTCCGGTTCTCCAAGAAATAGGGGAATTTCCGGAGGGACTAGAGAACTCTCGAAATAAAGTGACAATGGTAATAAAAGAAATCCGAAAAAAGACACGGGAGGTGAGATTGTCACGGTCGACGAAAGCGCGTGTAGTACATGGTCTCGGGGGGGAGAAATGAGTGAAAGTCGAAACACTAAGAAAGTGAAGCTGAGAGGAAGAGAGATGTGGGGGGGGGGAGGTGGGCAAAGGACCGTGGCGTTGGAGGCGATAGCAAGCGCGGGGGAAGTGTTATACTAATAAGAGATGTCAGGAGTTGCCTAGGTATAATTAACAGAAGAAGCACAAAAGTAAATAAGATGGATTTTTCTCTTTGGGGAATGGAGTCGACGCGGGTCTAGCCAGGTGGCCACCGTGGGGAAAGGAATGGGATAATGAAAACAGTCGTATATATTGTATATTAAATAGAAAAGCACGGGAAAAAAAAGGGCGAAAAAGGCGAGCAGAGGGGTGTCAGCAGAACGTGGTTGACAGCTAACTAACTACCGGTTGGCTTCCAGGGCTGTTCCGGATTGTCGACTGGAATTTATATTATTTGTCTTGATATATACAATCCAGGGATTTGGTTTCTTCGTGCCTACTTTCTGTTATCAACTTCAGAACAAGATAGCCCACAATATATGTATACTACCTATTTGATAGCTGAAAACCCAAAAAGACCCTTCTTCCTCGAGGGAAATCCCTTGCGTCCGACTGATCGCGTGAAAATAAATGCGCTAGTGTAGGGACTCCGGAGAGAATCTGTGCTAGCAAAAGAGTGGATCCGGCTGAGAGAAAGAAATTTATTTCGTTTGGGAAAAGAAAAAGGGAAAAAGGGAAAAAGAAATGGGATCCATACTTTTCTACTATCACGGTAAGATTCCCATCCAATAAGGAGACCAACATGTCAACGCACGGACAAGACCGGAATGGCCAGAATACGAGAAGCCCATAGAGAAGGCAGAGGCAAGCGAGCTTGTCTTGCCGGTCATTCGTTGGAAAAAAAAAACACATGATCGCGCAATTCAGTTAAGCTGCTTTTTCATATTTGTCTTTTTGTTTGAGCATCCCTGTTATAATATACAGCCTACTCGGACCAGAGGTATATTGGAGACCAAACCGCCGTACCTAGGTATGGTCTATGTTGTCTATCTCTGGTCTGCGGATTATGGTCAGCTGCACTTCTTTTTTTTGCCCTTTCAGCCCCCAATAGCCAAACTAAAAGCTCGATTTGATTGGTCCCCGGAGTTCACCGGCCGTGGTAGCTTCTTTCGTTTCCCTCGTTTTGGCTTTTTCGCTCTTTTTACTTTGGTTCGGGCCTTAAAGGTCACCTCAACTCTCCCGACCTCTTTCCGAAAGCCAATCGCCTCCAGCATCCACTCCCTCGGGTTTCCCTCGCCCATAGATCTATATAGATACTAGTAGTGCTTGGGTGGCGGAACGCCAAATGAAACGGGTCTCGGCTCCACGCGAGAACCTCGCTTCAGTCTCCCGACAGAACATGTCTTATCCTCCAATCAACCGACAGAGTCATCTCTTTCGCTGCCTTCTGCACGGACGTGGCAGATGCTTATGTAGGGGGAAAAGGGGGGACATGCCCTGTCGATCGATATCTATCACCGTAGCCATACGTACTCTGAATCTACATAACTAGACAAGACATCAAACTTGACAGAGCTGATCTGCCGTAAACAAATCATAACGTGGTCAGATTCCGAAGACGTTGTAGATATGTCCCGAATACTCCGCAGGGGCCGGTGGTTCCATCTATGCATAGCTGGTTCCTTGGCACAGCTTAGACATGTCCATTGGCACATGGAATTTCATATTGCGATCCGGTCCGCATTTCCCCCGTATTCGGTAGCGAGCTCGGTGCTCTCAAAAAGAAAAGAAGAAAAAGAAAAAGAAAAGGGGGGCAAGTCTTAGACACGCGGCGGAGTCACATTCTTGGGAACTGCATACCTCCGCCTAGGTATGTCTAGCCGACGACAGACACAGCATTTCTCCATTATTGTACATTCTACACAATCCATGCAATATACTGACGTTTGTTAGACAATCCCGATTTATCTTCGATTCAAAAATAAAGTCCACCGCGTCTGTAGCCGCACGTCGCCTGCCCGAAAAGGTTGATATCAGCGACGATCGGTTGATCATCAACAACCTGTGGCCCCATCGTATGCTGGTTCCCGGTTGATCGGCCTCGCACTGCCTTTTCTCGGTTTGGAAGTGCAATCCCTGGAGCTATGGTTCGCAGCCGATTAGTCGATCCTCTCATGCAAGGCGGCTCCTACAGTCCAGATGCCTCTCCCGATGTGACAGCACGCAAGGATCCACCTGGCTGGTTTTGAACGCCTTAGTGTCGCCTGCATTCGGCTCTTGCCGGCGTGGCTTCGGAGAGGCTCACGGTTGGCGTTCACGATCGTCCCCGGGAATGGCGTTTCGTGGAAGGTTGACT